TGTCATCTTTACATAAAACGTAAAATGCTCCTGTTTTTTTAAGAGATTTGAGGGTATTCCAATAAACGGCTGGTTGCCTACGTTATATTGATATACCTCTAATATCCTTAGTAATTTAAGATAAAAGTGAGATAGAGAAAACTTTCATAACCTTTTTTTAAACATTTTAAATAAAATACCGCCAGAAGACTTAGTTCAATAGATGCGTTTTTTTTTTTGAGCTACCACTTTTGCGCTTAGTAGGGCAGCATGGAGCTTTTCATATAAAACTTATATAAAGATTAAAATAAAAAATAAGCAAAAAAAGATATTGCATAAACTTGATACTTTCGATACAAAGAACTGCTGTATGTACAGAAATTATATGTAAGTTATTATATATTGCTTATTTTATTACTTTTTTTATTTGTTATAATAAAGGAGAATGGGCAAATCCATCTAGATTGCGCTTGACACCTTTATGTATCAAAAATCTTCTCCTGAATTATCATTTCATATGTGTGATTATTATTTAAATATTAAGCGAATTTTTAAAATAATAAATAAATGGCTATTAAACTGAATAAAAATTCAACCACAGAATAGACCATATAACCATAAACAAAAGTTGTATCACCTAGTCGATACTATCGTAGGAAAAAACATTGATTATATTTCTTTATTTAAATATTCTAAACAAAAAAACGAGTGTGCTTATGACCACACGACTGAAGTGAAACTTCTTTCATATTCTAGCTGTAAGAGAAAGAGAGAAAGAAAATGTGAGCGCGCACTGCCCTCTCTTGCTCCTACACTGTGATACAGACAATAGGCCTGCACTGTGCTTAGATATACGGAATGTATTTGGCTATGAGAGGAAGAGAGAGAGGAAAGGTGCACGCGCACTGCTTTCTCTTGCTTATATCCCCCACTCAACTCCCGTTCGTCTCGCCCGATCACACTTTTCGTAACGCTTACGTTACCAGCTTACTCCCCAAGGCAATAAAACGTTTTATTATAATTGGAGGCATAGAACAATTGTAAATAGTCTGTAACATTTTTACCAACCACCGTAAATGACTACGAAATAATGATCATTCGTTATTTCGTAGTAATTTTTTTCTTTCTTTTCTTTCTTTCTTTATTTTACCCAAATCGCCTATTCAGAGGGCCTGGGTTCAAATTCCGGTGAGGCAAATGTTTGTATGATGGATATGATTTTACCAATATTATATCATGATAAATAACATTAAATTCATAAAGTTATCATCTGTAAGACCTGTGTTGTGACTATCTCACTGTACCAGGGATTGACCTCTTTCATTGCATCTAAAAAAAAAACTTGTCTGCGAACTATTTTGTTCATCAAAATAGACCGCATACAAAAACTTTTGTATGCAGTACTCTTAGATTAAAAAAGGGAATATATTTTTGTTTAAGTTATCAGTTATGTTATATATAATTACTAAATCATATATAAATTAGCTTAGGGTTTGAACATTTAAAGCATTTATTTGCATTGAAAAATAAAACATTTATAAATCGGTTGTGTAGGATATCGATTCCTATAAAATCCCAGAAATACCATAAGCAAGTGAACGTAGCTGTCAACTTCTATTTCCAGTATTAGTTGTGTTTGTTTGTTCACTTTGTTCCGAGTGACTAGTTTTCACTTTTGAATTGAATTTGTGTTTTCAGTGGTCTATTGTGGCAGAATAGTTCTAATGTTGAGTTGAGTAATCCTCCGTTAATAACTGTTTTTTGGGAAAGAGAGAATTGGACTCGACATTGTCCTTTAGTGATTCTGTGACAGAGATATTTGGACTCTTAGTTTATTGCAATTATTTTTGTTTACAATGGCATCTGTTGTTACACATGAAAATGCTGGCAGTGTGTATGTAAAATGTCGATTTGGATAAATGTGTTATCAATAAATAATTAAGTATCATTATTAAAATATTTTGTCTTATTTTATTTTTGATTCCTAAACCTTAAATAATATTTTACCATTGTTGTGTTGACAGAGCATCAAGGTGCAGCTTGAGAATAAAGAGAATAAGTATAAATAGCACTCATATAACCGCACCTCAACAACGCCACATTTATTGAATCTGAGATGTTTGAAATAAATAGAGATAGGTAGCAGCTCACCAACGCAACAGTTTACGAATATACGCTGTCCGCTGATAGGATTTTACGAAGTGCATTCAATTTTTGTTTCACTCCCAGTCCAAAATAGAAGACAAAAGGTCACAACCTAATTAAATACAGTTTAAAGCAGTATACCTAGTAATAACTAAGTATGGTATAAATATCGAATTTAATCGAATCTAAATATGACTAAACCTTAAAATGCTTACGTAATATAATATTTTCTTTAAACCACCACTTAAGTTTCTAATGATATTTTGCTTACGCAATATACACCTGATTCCCTATTGTTTAACATTTATTCCAATAAGACGCAATGAAAAAAAAAACTAGCCCAACTCCCATAGTAAAATGAGCATTCTCCTTTAAAGTTGATGTTATGCTATAACACTAAACAATATTTTCGGTACTTAATTCCATTGGTTGTGGTGGAAATTTGGGGTAGGTTTTATGGGGCGCAGGGGGGATTTTAAAAAAAATAACCTAACCTAAAAATTATTTTTTATGCATATATAGCAGTTATGCTTACTTTATATACAATCTTTATATAAAAATATTACATACAATCACTAATTTTAAATTTATTTCAGGGATTCAATATATTTTAAGTAATTCTGAATGGTATTGTTAAATACCATAAATTATATAACAATCTATTCTTAGTTAGGGTAAAAAAACAAAGTAAATATACTATACCGTAATCAGTTATGAATTAGAGAAATACGCTTAAAGGAGAGACACAAATAACAACCCATTGGATGATACGGAAATAAATATTTCACTTAGAAATAACAATTACAAAAAACTAAATGAAAACTACTTACTGGACTGGAGCGCAACGAAACGACCGTAATTTGAGGTATAGCGCTATACTTTTCACATATTAAAAGTAGTTTTAGCAATTGTTTACTTTTATCACATTAAATCAAAATATTAATTGTCACAAAAGCTATAGTTTTTTAACGTTCTTCCATTTCTGGGAAGGCGAAGAGAACAATGCCCATACAGCCTAGGCTTCCGTTTTATTAATATTCTTTTTTTTACAAGCTTCTATGATGTAGTCAAAAGTATATTTTTTTGAGTTTTTGTCTTTGGCGGGACTTCATCGAGTGCGGTTGACGAGTTATTTTTATATTTTTAATAAATGGATATTTTGAAAGAAAACTGATATTTTCTGTTACAACTGAAGAATCAGTGGAATCTTTAAAATATACACTATTCCGATCAAGTGGACGTGAGAACTTTATTGTAGTGTTAACTACCTCACAGAAGCTTATCGAGAAAGCTGGCTCGATACACTTCGTGCCAAATACGCCAAGAACAAAAATTAGAATTTGTCACACTCACATTCTAATATAAAAAATAACAGAAAACTGAAAGTAGGCTGTATGAGCATTGTTTTCTTTGCCTTTCCTAAAATGGGAGAATATTAAAAAAAGTACTTCTATAGGCAGTGTTGCCAGATCTCCCGATTTTACAAGAGATCTGTTTTTCTGAAATTTCTACTGTTCTACTGTTTTTCTACATTATTCTCTTGTTTTTCGTAGAATATGGTTTTCTTTTTTAAATTGCATGTTGAGTTGAATTTTTCGTCATTAATAATGTAGGTAACCTAATTATTATAAAATAAATGTTTTTGTCTAAAAAAAAACAAGCTTTGAGGGCTGACAGAAGTTACAGAAACACATTCGTCACTGGCCTTTATCTTGATTTGATTTACTAATAATAAAATCGGGAAAAGTACGCTTCTGCATCCACTGTTTTTCTTGCAGCTCTTTCCATACATCTACTGGTTTTATAAGTTATTTACGGGATTGTTACCATATACCTTGTTTTTAGCGAGTTTCTGATATTTCGACACTGTTGCAAGCGCCATGATCACGGAATAACTGAAGTAATTGCGGGTAGGCTGTTATTGGCAGACATATCGGTCTACCCTCCGACGAAGTCTTTTATTGTGTTCGATACCCGTACCACTGTTCACTTTCTCACTATTCACTCGAAACTGTTCTCGACACACAACACTTACAGTATCGGATCGCAACACGACACTTTTTTGATTATTTCCGCTTTTACACATACGAACCACAGGATTCCAGACACTCGACAATTTAAACCCGTCCTCACGATTGAAATTTTTATGTTTTGTTATTTCAATCGCTTCCCTGACCAATCTTGGTATGTAGTATGTAGTGGCATTCTGTCGAGATAATCTGTGGGTTATGAAACTCAATCCAGTGATTAGGACCAGAATCTATCAAATGTTCCGCGATGGCTGATTTCTGCGTATCGTTGTTCTTGATTGCTTTTATGTGTTCCCTCATTCGGCATGATACTGTTCGCTTTGTTTGGCCAATGTACGAACTGCCACAGCTGCAATCGATTCTCCAAGGGGAAGTTGTCTTTAGGAGACCGTAGGTATTGTGAAACCTTTGGCACATTTACTGGTTTTTTCTACAACGCCTCCCGATTTTTAAAATTTGTACCTGGCAAAACTCTTTATAGGTGTCTCTCTTCGGAGTTTTTGGTTCTGCATCATCTCTTTCTCAGGGGTTGATCGCATTCTCTTATTGGTCTGTGATCGCATCAGATGAAGCCTGTAAGGCCTCTAAGGCCATAGGCATCCCCCACGGGTGTGATAGTCAGTAAGAGTCTGACAACCGCCTGTAGGGTATCCATGAGGATTTCACACCCGATTTGTGATTTTGGGTTACAACGATCTGCGCAACTGAAGAATTAGTGGAATACTTCATTTCAGTCAAGTGGACGTGAGAACTTTATTGTAGTGTTGGCTACCTCACAGAAGCTTATCAAAAAAGATTAATATTTGAATTTATGTATACGACTGAAGGACTTGTATCCATGGTCATCAATAATTAAAAAAAAACTAATCTGTGCTTCTACTGTAGTTTTTTTATTGAAGTCACAGGTTGAAGTTTTCTACTTTAATTAAAATTTTGAATTTATTCTTAGTCTTACATTAAATATAAGAAATATGGCCTTACCACAAAAGAAATACTACCGACAACGTGCACATTCTAACCCCATAGCTGACCATTGTTTCGATTAGTAAGTTGTATTAAACTTTTATCGCGTAGGTTATGATCAAACTTAATTAAATAAAGTTACAATTTTTTAACGAGTTTAAAGTTAAAACATACAATTTATCGTCAGTCTAATCAGGTTCATGCATTGATATTGCTTCTGCTAACTACTGCTGTTTTTGTACAGGAGTATTTTTTTATTATCCTGTATGATGTTGATTACTTACTTTGAATGTTAAAACAGCCCTGCTCATCCTGATGAATATAATTGGTCTAATTTATATCCAGCGTTACATGGAAATAGTGAAGTGGAATTTTTAGATGTTGGTTGTGGTTATGGAGGCCTTTTAGGTATGAACAATTTTGTATTTTTCTCAAAGTATTCTGCATTAAACCATATAAGTATGATATTTAACTAGTATCTTCTCTATTGTAAAAGCCAAACTTGGAACTGAATAAAATCAGACATTTGTCCTCAAAAGCCAGTCATTATGGTTTTTCCTTTTCATGCCTTGCTTTTCAGGCGATCCGTTTGGTAAAATAAGTTTACAGAAAGGCTAGACTTAACTAAAAAGCTACAGTTGAAGGACAGATGCAACCATATTTCTAATAATACATATTTCAAATGTACTTACTGTATATGGTAATGTTTTTATTTTTCAGTCACTTTATCTCCAATGTATCCTAAACAATTAATGTTGGGATTGGAAATCCGAGTGAAAGTTTCAGACTATGTTAATGACCGTATACAAGCATTAAGAGTACAGCATCCAGAAATGTATCAAAATATAGCTGTGCTGAGGACAAATGCTATGAAATATTTGCCTAACTTTTTTCACAAAGGACAGGTCTTGATTTCTCTTTTTATAATTTATATGCTACTAACAAACTAATGTAGTACATTACTTCATGTAGTTTTCTTATTATTTTAGTTACAAAAAATGTTTTTTTTGTACCCTGATCCACACTTCAAAAAAGCTAAACATAAATGGAGGATAATAAACAAATGGCTGTTATCAGAATATGCATATATTCTTGCAGAGCAGGTATGAATTATAGTCTTGCCCCCTTGATGTTGATAAATGTTTATCTATTCCTTTTGTCTCAAATTTTAACATTTTCAGGGTATTGTGTATACAATAACTGATGTTAAAGATTTACATGAATGGATGGTTGTACATTTTGAAGAACATCCTCTGTTTGAAAGATTAAGCAAAGGGGAATTGGTGAGTAATGATTTTTATGAAAGATGTTTTGAATTTTGTCACTTGATTAATTGCAGTCATTTAACTAGTATAGTCACTTGAGTGGTTAAGTATTTAATTTGTATACCTGATTGATTGGACTTAACCAAGACTAGTATTTATATTTTATTTTAGCACCAATAAATAAATATAATAAATATTTTCAAAACTCACACCAATTAGCCTAGCCCCAAAGTAAGCACTGTAGGCTTGTGTTATGAGATACTATGGTAACAGATAGAATACATATGCTTTAACATGTATAAAGTATATTTATATAGAAATACATATTAAACATCCTTGACTGGAGTACAAATGCTCGTATTTATCACACAAACAGCTGCCCCCACTGCACATTGTATTTGCGCCAAAAAACAAATCCCTCTTCTGTTTATTGCTGTAATTGAACAAGGGACGTTAGAAATATAATACAAGTAAAACACCCACATGGTTATCTTAATAACTTTTTTTTGTAAAAAGAAGCCTTATCATGAAAAAACAATAAAATTAATTCTCGAAGCATTACCGACAAAGATATTTATATTAAACAAATGTGGTCTAATAGAACATATTTAGGCACGTTTTTTGCAATATTTTTTTATTTAAATCTAGTTTTTTTTTAAATTTTTGTTTTTATTTTTTTGTCGACACTTATTGTACCATGCAAAACTAACATTTCAAAAGACTACACAATAAATAAATATTTCCAACACTCACTCCTATTAGCCTAGCCCCAAAGTAAGCACTGTAAGGCTTGTGTTATGGGTTGCTAGGGTAACATATAGGATACATATACTGTACATCTATACTTATAATAAATCTGTAGAGATGTCAATTCTGTACATGAAATATATTTTTAAAATAACTATCAGGGGGTGATTAGTGATCGATACTGATGCCAAAAATGCAATCAGTAAAATTTTTGTCTGTCTGTCTGTCTGTGTGTATGTTCCTTATAGAAACAAAAACTACTCAACGGATTTTAACGAAACTTGGTACAATTATTCTTCATACTCCTGGGCAGGTTATAGTATACTTTTCATTACGCTACAATCAATAGCAGCAGAGTAGTGAAGGGAAATGTTGGGAAAACGGGAGAAGTTACTCCATTTTTTAAGCTTCCGTCGCGGGTGCAGCCTTAATGATTAAATTTACATAGAAATCATGTATGACGGAAATATTCTACATAAAATTGTCTAAAAAATATCCCGCAACAGCATATGTCTATATTTTATGGTTGACTCACAATAACACGTGTAATTATATAAATAAAGTCATTCTTTATAGCACAAGCCTGAGAACAAAAACTATAGTTTACACTACAGCTCTACACCGAAGCGAAGCGAGGGCGGGCCACTAGTATATAAGTATATTTATATAGAAACTAGCTGACCCAGCGAACTTCGTACCGCCCTAAAAAAATAGGGGTTGTCCAGCGGACAAAATTGTGAATCTAAACCATTCTCAGATCCCCTTGAACACACACAAAAAATTTCATCAAAATCGGTCCAGTCGTTTAAGAGAAGTTCAGTGACATACACACTCACAGAAGAATTATATATATAATATAAAGATAAAGATATATATGAAACATCCTTGACTGGAGTACAAATGCTCGTACACAAACATCTGCCCCCACCGGGACTCGAGTCGGCGACACCATTAAAACCCGGCGTACAAATCACTCAACCACGGAGGTTGTAGTTTTAAGGCAATAAACAGAAGAGGGAATTTTTTTGGGGCAAATAAAACTCTGTGCACCGGGATTCGAACCCGGGACCTCTCAAGTAGGCGACTTTGACACCCAGCGTACAAACCACAGAGGACATCCAATGTTTATTAATACTGCCTATTGACTTAAATAATACAATTAAATGAATAAAATAACGATGCATTCAACTTCAATTATGCTTAATTTACAAATTTCAGGAATCTGATCCCATTATAGAAAAGTTGTATGAGAGTACAGAAGAAGGACAAAAAGTAACTCGAAATAATGGAGACAAATATGTTGCTGTTTTCAGAAGGATTTCAGATAAATGGAAAGACTAGCAGATTTATTACAATAATTTATTCTTACACATGTATATTGGGACTTAAATAAGAATAATATAAATATATGCCTTAATCAAAGAAAACTTATTTACTTAACCTTTTCTCTAGCAAACTTACCCATCTGCTTAATGGTCTAGATATATTTAGGTGCCTTCGCATGTAGTTAGCTCCTGTAACCATCCAATCCCTTCTATCTAACCACTGTTTTTGTGTTAATAATGATAGTATCAAGGCAGCCCAAACTTCTGCACTATTCGGGTACATGTGTAATCCTTTTTTAGCAAAAATAAATGCTTTATCTTTGTCACCAGCTATATGCTCAGCAATACTAGCTGTAGTTATAATTTTTGCAGAATCAAATTTACAGCTACTGTTATTATTTGAACACATTGCTCTTTGAGCAAAGTGACTGGCAATTTTTACCTTTGTTGTAGTTTTAAGGCAATATTCAGCCATGTAAAACCAAAGGAGACCATTATTAGGATGATCATGAAGAGAGTCGCTCAATAGCTTGATTGCTTGTTCTACATTCCCTTCAGAGATAAATGGATATGATTTTAAAAATCCAATATGAAATCCAAAATTTATATCTGTTTCGTATTTTTTCAATTCACTCAAAGCAAGTTTAGTTAAACTCTGATCAGAATGGATTAGGCCTAAGGAGCAGATTCCAAATAAGCTGTGGGCTGTTGGTTTTGTCTGAGATATTTGAATACTGTGGAACAATACAGTTTTTGCATCATCAGCTCCTTTAAACATGTACATGATACCAGCCATAGCAACAAGTAAATCAGCTTTTTCATAATCATCATTACTCAACCAGTGTAGAGCAGTATCATACACTGAGTAGGATTCTTCATAAAGACCTTTTTTAAATAATGCAAGTGCTAATCCACATGTAGAATTCAAACTTGCCTCTGTAATAGCCTTATATACTTTAACAGCTTCCTCATATTTCTCCATTCTTAGCAAAATGCGACCAACATTTAATAATATAATATTCTTTTTATCATTTTCAGCATATTGCAATGCTTTTTCATATGATTTTAATGCTGCTCGTAGAAGTCCACTTCTTTCTTGTAAAATCCCCAGAATATTACAAGCACAAGCATTGTTTGGTTCATAATTGGAAAACCATTCAATCAAGTCAATAGCATAGTTAATTGCATATAAACCGTCTATAACATATTTGTATTGAGGATCTTCAGTGTATTTATTATCCTTTAAAGTTCTGCATACCCAATCTGCATAGCCAAGAGCACTTTCTGGATGATAACCTAATCGAGAAGCATGTCTGAATAGATCCATAGCTTCTTCTTCTCGGATAGACTCTGCTATCAAAGCTTGGCCAATCCAACTTTGTGGATATGATGGCAAAGTAGACTGACCTCTCCAGAAGCAATAATTAGCAAGTTTGTAGAGTTTAATTTTCAAGTATAAAGTTCCCAAGTTGCACCAAATTTTTGCAACAGCCCACTTCCTTGTTACTAATAATGCTTTGATAAAACAATGCTGTGCTATATCATACCTTTTTTTAAAGAGACAGATTTTACCAAGTAAATTCCAGTTGCGCCAAGCAGTAGGTTTATCTTTTACACAAGCAATTGCTAAATTAAAAGAAATATGACAATCAATTTCTTTTTTAGTTTCATGGTAGTAATCCAGATATACAGATGCTAAATCATAAGATGCAAATTCTTGCTTTTGTTTAGCAATATGTGAATAGCAAGAAATTGCTTGGGGAAATATATCTATTTTTTCTTTTTTAACAATTTCCCCATCACCATATAGTAAGTCTTTAGTATAAACATAGGCAAATATGTTTGGTAATTTTGTTATAAATATTAATGTATCACCCAAAAGTTTCCAAAAACAAGTGAGTTTTTTTTCTTTCAATAGTGCTGTAATGATATAATCTACAGCATATTGAGCACAATCTCTAGCAGTACCATACAGTTTCGCTGTTACTTTTTTCTTTGCAATTCTCATCCAAGTTTCTGCCATTCCTTTAAGGGCCAAAATAGAGAATGGATCAATGAGTAATACTTTTTTGAATGTTATTATAGCATCTTCATATTGTGTCAATAAAGTGTAAATATAGCCAATTCTGGTAAGACAATAAGAACATTTGTTAGGATCCATGGCAATTACTTTATTATATGCTCTTAGTGCAGATGTGTATGAACCACGAGAATAGTATGCATCAGCTAGACATTCTAAAGCTGTTACATTATTATAGTCACTTTTTATCACAATTCTAAAATTTATAATGGCATTTTCCCATTCTCTTCTATTCAGATAATGTAACCCTAGTTTAAAATATAGCCAAGGTTCATTTGCCTGCAATGACCTTTCAGCAGCTACAAGAAATTTAAAATCAATCTCCTTGAGATTTAAGTAACTATATGTCGTGCTCAATTGTTTTACAATTTTTGTGTTAGTATCATTTAAATCATAAGCTTTTTCATAACATTTTTTTGCTTTGACCAAAAATTTTTTCATTAAATAATAATTACCAAGATAAAAGAATGTATCAGCATGTTCAGGGTCAAGTTTAGCTGCTTTCAGAAAACATTCTAGTGATTTTTGATAATCTTGCATCCCCCAAAATGCCCTTCCTATATAAAACTTTTTGGAAGATGTGTCTTTAACATTCTCCAATAAATCAACTGTTTCTTCAAATTTACTTTGTTTCAACAAAATTAGTGCTTGAAGAAGTATGTGATATTCTGTGTTCTTCAGATTTTCTAACAATTCATCTGCACTTTCATTGTTTTCTATGTAGCATTCAGCTAACATAGCTTGCTCATCACTAGTGAATAATTCAATAGGCATGTCTTTAGTAGCTGAAATAGCTTGCTTCCATTTTTGCTGCTTTGAATATGACACAAATAAAAACTTTTTGAGGTCATTAGCAAAATGGGAATCTTTTACTTTATTTAAAAACATGTTTGCTAATTTTTGTGTTACTGACCATTTCTTGAGCATAATTGTACACTTTAAAATAAATGTAACTTCAGTGACATTGGGTTGCTGATAATTTACTAGTGGAACACACTGTTTAAATGCTTCTAAGAAATTCCCCTTATCAAACTCAATCATACTCTTAAGAAGAGCTGGGTATACAGAATTTTCTATACCACATGTTACCTTTCCTTCATATATCTCAATATTCAAATCACCAAATGTCATTTTTTTTATAAATTTATTGCACAGGTAACTGCACAGCCATTCTCTCAATACTACATTATCAGAAAAATATTTAAGATTAACAATTTCCTCCACTGCCAAAGCTACATTACTTTTTTGAGCAATCACTTTTCCAGTAATCATCTGTAATGTTTCACTGTGATTATTTTGAGGCCTCTCATTGAGAACATTAACAACTAAATTAATATATTTTTCTCCACATTCAACATCCACTTTAAGTAGTTCAATTAATTGGTGTTTAGCTGCATTAGACAATTTCTCATTTTTGTTTTCAGAAATATAGTTGATTAGTGTACCTATACAGTCACTCTCTTTTAAAATACACCCTAATTGACCATATTTATCTAGCACTTCCAAAGCTTTGTCATCCTCTAACTGTAATTTAAGTATTTCCTTGTAAACTGCTAACAGTTTTAACTTAGATGAAGTTTCTTCTTTCCTTTCATAGTAGTTTGCTAGCCCTTGCCAAGCCAGCGGATGATCAGGTTTAGAAGCAATCGCCTTTTGAAAAGCCAAAGGAGCTTGATCAGTATTTTCCAGGGACTTGCCAAGTAAAATCAATCCGAAATAATTTTGTTTATCTTTTCGTAAAATGTTTTTACAACACTCTTGTGCCTCTTTATAATTATTTTCATCAATAAGCTTTCTAGCTTCTTTGAGTAGTGCTTTTAAATCGCCCATCTGGATAAATAAATGATAAAATAATTCTTACACATAAACCTACACGTTAAATTTTATAGTCAAACTAACTCACCTTTTTATTGTTTTCCCATATAATATTTTTACATAAATTTCAGATCAAAAGAGGTACCAAATATTTTTTTAAGTTTCTCCCTTATTACGGAAGGCAAAGGGAACAATGCCCACACAGCTTAGCCTTTTGTAATAATAATCTTCTTTTTTTACATTACAATGTCGGTGTGACGCATTCTAATGTTTCTTGGAGTGTTTGGCACGATATGTATTTGTGAGGTAGTCAACACTACAATAAAGTTGTCACGTCCACTTGACCGGAATAGCGTATATTTTAAAGATTCCACTAATTCTTCAGTGATGCAGACGGTTGCAACACAAAATCACACCAATTTTACTTCACAATATCTACTATGAACGAATATAAGATTAATTAAATTATGACGCCCACCGCACTCGATGAAATCCCGCCAAAAAACCGAGGCTACAAACACAGACCAGTTAGAGATCTATCTATACAAACTTCATCTTTTTTTTTATATAAGTTTTACGGCCTTGGAGATTCCCATATTGGCCAATCATTAGTTACAGTTTGAGCGTTTTCCATTTAAAAAAAAAAGTAAATATAAAAGTAAATACTTTTCATTGGTAACACTGTTACCAATGAAAAGTATTGGAGTTACCAAGCTTTAGTTGGCATTAGGTTTTTGCTATAGTATCGTCGACACAGTGCAACACAGTGTCGACTTTTTTTTCTAAATGGAAAACGCTCTTTGTCTATAAAGTCGTGACATGAATGTTTGAGGAACTAACATTATTCATGTGTCTGGCAACACCAAACTTATGTACATCAGCTGTCATCGAGTTTCAGTTGTGGAACAATTTTCCTTTTGTATTTTTTATTGTTTGGATTAAACTGTAATAAATTAAGACGAAACTACGCAGAAAGGTATAAAAATAAGTAAAGTAAATCGGAGTGGCACGCGGGAAGTGATTTTAAAAGTTTTCCAGCGATGTTTCGAACGACGAATTTTGTGGGATTTGGATGATGTTTATGGGCGAACAGCATCTATGACGGGTTTGTGATCGTGCAACTATCTGCCTGAAGTTACAAATTTACGCAATTTATTTTGAGACCAAAAAGGCATTGTATACATTGCACAATTTTTAGGTTAGATTGACATTTTAAAATAGGTAATATTGTAATACGACCATTTCTTTTGATACGTTATTATGGTTCAACTCTGTCAGGTTTACTACCAATTTTGAATTAATTGCTTCATGTCAATAAGTTATTGTTTCTATTCCGTTACATATTTTTTTTACTTTTTTTTGAAGTTATAATTCTTTAGGCGCGTTATGAAAAAATGATGAGAGTGAAATTTTAAGATGCGCGCGCATCACTGTAACACAAAAAATAACAACTTACACAATTTTGTGTTTACCGCACATTAAGAAAATCTACCAACAGAATAGAAATAGAATCTCTATTTAGTGGGTGCTAACGACTGCATTGTGAAGGCCTATCAAAAGTATTTATTAATATGGAACAACGGAACTAAAGCGCGATTCAGGAGACTACAGCGCCATCTCTTGACCATTGGTGTAGTAGAACCAAAAACCACATCTTTATTTTTTGTAATAAAGTAACAGTTATAGGTATTCATATTTATAATATTTATCCACATGTTTCTAGTTTGTATATTCGGAATACGTGTTTGAGTTTCATACAAGTGCAAATCACATATGTTCTAATAAATTATATTCAGTAGCGGTTTTAATTGAATATTTTGATTATTTATTTATTTTTTCAAATTAAAACTGAACTTTATTGACTGTGTCCTTTTCCAGACTTTTATTAATTTATTGTAATTAATTATTTGCATGCAATTAAAAACTAATTTTAAACGATGCCAAAGAAGGATAACTTCTCACGCGCCTACATAAGTACACGCACCCATTTTTTTTTCAGGAAAATCAGAGAGTCGGATAGTCAACGAAGGTTTTAAGAATGATGGAAAGTTTGAAACTCCTGGGAAAACAGGCAAGGCCGACCAAAGAAAGAAATGGTCACATAAAGAACCATGGCTAGATGTTTTTAGTGAAGATACCTATCACTAATTTTACTAACTGCACATTTACAAATTGTTTCTCTAAATAAACTTTTTATATACTATAAAATGATTCTTAGTATTATTTTCTTAACAAGTGTGTTAAAAAACGTCGTATGATGATACTTGTGTGTATTGATGATTACCTAACGGCTCTGGTCTCAATGGCACCTCAGCGGTAATCACCGACATTACACACTTTTACACTATTAAGTACTATTTTATCTATAATAATTTTATTCTGATTCAATTAAATATGCTTGGCTAAACTTTTATAAGCATAGGTACCTACCATATATAAAACAGAAACAAAATACGAATGTATAGTGTGTCTTGTTAATTAGCCATTTTACTTGAATGAACTGCTAGTATCAAAATCATTTTGGTCAGACTGTACAGGGTTGCTACATGCGTACTAGTGGCGCCATCATTTAATGTCACGACTTTATAGACAAACTGTACAGTCGGACCAAAATGATTTTGATACTAGCAGTTCGTTCAAGTAAAATAGGTAATTAATCCATTTGCAAGAAGGCGTAATATTAGACGATGCAAATGTGACGTCTATTGCAGAACATGCATTCAGTGTTGCCACCTTGGTGGTTTTTCCACCAGAACTGGTGCTTTTTCACGGCTTCTAGTGGTATATTTTCATTATCTAGCGGGTATATTTTTTTTTGTGTTTTTTAGTGGTTTTTTAACATGAAATCTAGCAACATATTTTTAAGGGGGAAATCCCCTAACTTTCCGAAATTTCATAATGTTCTATGGTTACTCTTATGGTTACAGGGGAATTCCTACACGCGTTTGTCTGTTCAGGGCTTCCTTCAATCGTTCATTCTGTTTCAGGAATTAGGTTCGCGTTCATTGTATTGTTACAAAGTGTAAAAGTTTGATTTGATAGAAACGTTTGTAACAGTGTGTGAACTCCTGAAGCTGTATGTTTAGAGTATTCAATTATATGTCATTATGGAAATTCTGTTCAAGAAAAAGAATTACATACAAAAGTATAGAAAAGAATGAGAATCACTCGACGAATTCCAAACCTGGCTTAAACCTTTAGCTTAAATTTCACATTTTGTTTAAGATTTATTTCTTGATTATAAATAATGAATGTAAATACATATTTACCTGGTTTTATTTCATTCTCTAGTACTACTAAGGTAACGCTCGGAAAAGTTTTAAGTTAGTAAAAACAATATTGCCATTTTTTTAAATAACAAAATTTTACTAATTTAGAACGACTGCAGGATACAGTTATTTCTGTAGCATCTCATATATATTCACTGGTTTTTTATTTAAATTAGGGTTTTTTGTTATCAGATATGTAATTGTAATTTAGCGGATTTTGGTGTATTTTATTAAATCCAAATTTTTGAAATCTGGCGATATTTAACCTTTGACTTGGCGCCTTAAAAAAATCCAAGGTGGCAACACTGCATGCATTGCCAGGTCTATTTACGGTGGTAGGAGAGCCATCATTTAAGATGCAGAGATGTAGTATCTCTAACTAGTCTGTGCAGTGCTGCCATATCTACCAACTTTTTGGTAGATCTACCAATTTTCACTTCAGTCTACCTATCTACCACCCTAGACCTAAAAACTACCTATTTTTTAATTAGTTTGACATATCACCACTTTGAATTATTTTTATATCGACGAGCGACGTTGTGATGTATTGCGTGAGCCATGCAACGATGCGTCAAGCATACATAGAGTCCAGGCCATAAACCACAAAAAAAAGGAACATTTCGCCATGAATTCGGCGTTCGCACCATTTCGCGCCCATATTTTACTATTCCTACTATGGCCTATTCCCGGTTGCTTTGTTGCGGAATTAATGTTGAATCTTTGCTCCTGTTTTATTGTAAAAACTAATTAACTGCGTATTAACGGTGCTGATTGCTGTTTGTTCTATGTTGCGTGCATTTATTTATATAATGGATTCTGACAGCAGCGAAAGCGATGCACATAGTTCTAGGTTAGGAACTTCGCCACGAAAACCTAGAAAAAGGCACTATGACCAAAAATATTCGAAATTATGGGAGAAAGACAAGGAATTTGCAGGTTGGCTTTAAGAAATTACTAAGGGTGCCGGATATTTTTATTGCAAATCATGTAGGTGTGATCTGAAGTGTGCTCTGCATTGCATTGCATGCATTTTTAATCTTAAAAAATCTTCTAAATTGAGGTGGTAGATCTACCAATTTTGCATTTTACATTCTACCAACTTCTACCAACATTTGGCACATAATCTACTAATTTTCTAAAATTCGGGTTGGCAGCACTGAGTCTGTGGCAGAGATCAAACTCTTCTGATATGTCATAGATTTGGACACCTCGTACTTTGTTGTTTGCACAACCATCTGTAACCAGGTATATTAAAATTATCAGTACATTTAAGCCAAGTTTCATTTAACACCAAAATATCTATATCATTACTATAAATAAAGTTTTGAACTAAGGCTTTCTTTGGTTTCAAACTGAATATTATGTTGACACATTTTTAAATAATTATAATTGTAGCTATCCATTTTTACTAACACTTTCTATCAAGGTTTGCTTAATTGTCTTGTAATTTACTGCCAGTTTATTATCTTTATCAGTTTAAATTGTAAATGTTTTAATAAATGCATTCAATATTGCCTCATTATTAATAAATTCTAATAAGAAGTCTTTATTGTCCATTTCTATGTTTTATGCAGTGGTATGCCTGGGGATAATGTTTTATTGTAAGTTTGTGTTGTTTATGTTTATTTGTGGAAACTGTGATGTTATAGTAATTTTATTTAATATTCTATTCTTATTTTCTTATAGTTTTTGTTTTTTTATAGGGCATGTATTTGAGATTGCTATATGACCTCCCTTACAGTTGACACATGTAGGATTTTCAGTATTGTCACATTCCTTGAATGAATGAGGACCAGTACAAATAGAGCAAACAATGCTTTTTTTACAAAATTTGGAAGTATGACCGAAGTTCATACATTTATAACACTGTAAGACATAAGGGTAAGGTAAGGTTTCACATAAGGTTCTACACGTAAAGCACAAAGTTCATAGGTAACATAATCTGGTAAAACATTTCGGGCAAAAGTAACAGATATTGTTTTTAATGGAATAACACCTTCTGGAGTCTTCTTTGTGAATCTTCTGATTGCTAATATTTCTAAGGAAGATACTAATTTGTTAAACAGGTTCTCATTGCTCAACTCAGTTGGAACAACTTTGATAACTCCAACGCACTCTACATTTGATGCAGGGATGTAAGCTTTTAATTCATGGTTGGTTAAAAAGTTTATATTGTTAAGGAGAGCATTTGCATTTTTTGGGTTGTCAAAAATAACTGCATATTTCATTGCATTAATTCTTTTCAGCTGCTTAACACCTTTTATGAAACAACCAAATATATTATTCAAGTAGATCGGACTTTTATTGCCAAACCTCTCGTCAGGCTTAGAACTTTCTAGATATACAATAAAACTTGTACCTTGAGCATTGTGTGGGTATACCCTGATGTGATCCCTTTTTCTAAAAGGTGCATACTTGTTTTCATGTTCCTCTTCTGACATTGATCCATCAGACAGGAGATCTTTACGCCTTTTATGCGTTTTCTTTTTAGACGTATTCATTGCGCCGCTTTCAGTTCCCATTATTTCATTAACATGTGAGGTAAATCGAAATTTTTAATAGATTAAATTAATTTTAAAATTTCCGCAAGAAAAATTTAAACCGCTCGCTTCAAAGTTTTCCCGCCAATCCAAACTTCATCAAATGTGACCACAGACTACTTTTTTATGTTTTACAGCCGTGAAATTCTCCATTTCGGCCATTCAGTTGTTCATATATATCAGTTTATATATCTTCGAAAGTATTCATTACATATTCAAATAATATAGGATATGTATTTTGTATGATAGATGGCAATTGGCTAGGTATTCTGCAGTTATTGTATATCTCTATTAAGTCATCTATCAATAAAATTTTCTGTATATTGAAGGTTGGGCATTCAAAGATAAGAAGCGGTAAAGTTTATTCATTGTTTGAATTGCAATATCGACAATCATTTTGGTCTTTTAATTTAATTCTATTTAAATGATCTGGGAATCTTCCATTACCAATTAACAAGCGATTCATAGTAGTAATATATTTTCTAGATGGTTTTAAGCTATTGCATAGATTTTATCGCGGTCACTCAGCGCCGCGACCGAATCAAGACACTCCGTAACAAAAAAACCTTACACGCTCTGAATGAACTTTTGGTTGTGGTGGGATGTTTAATTGAAAGGCTGCAGTATATCCATACAATTTTAATATGGCAACCAGCGAAAGAAACCCATCAACAAGGTTTCAAAAATACTTAAATAAACACCGAAATAAAACCATACCGCAATTCACAATAACTTAGCGCCATCTATGACAGGCGTTGTTAGCTAATTTTATCCTATTAACTAATATCAACTGAAACAAAACCATTAGGCTAGTTTACTCATGTCGAATTGTATTAAATAAATGTTTATTTCTTAAAGTATTTGGTCTAAGGAACCTAAATATATCGATTTCACTTCATAAAAGCAGAAGATTGCTGTAGAAATTTAATTTTAAAAAATATTTTTTAGTCTATATTTTTTAAACACTAAAAACGCTGTTCGCCACGTCCGCAATGATTTTGACGTCTCTTGTGGTAAACAACTAAATGTCATTCGCGTGTTACTGTAGGTGGATTCTTTCGTCTGACTAAATTTATCTTAAAACACTTTTAACTTTAGGAAAGAAATAAACAGTAAACTTAGTTTTTTTTTGACAAAACTAATTCTGGTTGCCGGCTTTGTAAAAGCAGAAAGCACAAATCTGCCAAGAATTGACGCATTGATGGTTGGTGAATTTGTTGCACTAAACCCCGATTTCTGCTCTGCGGAGCAGAGAAACGACAAGGCATCTATGTAAGTACAGTGCATTTAGTATTACAATGGTGCCAATTCTGGCGTCATTCTCTAAACTTAAAACTAAATTTAACATCAGTCTCTCCTTTTCATTCTGTATGGAGAATGACAAGGATATACTGCTGTCAAATTTAAGTTTAGGTTTAGAGAATCATGCCAGAATCGACACCAATGTAGTAATAAACATAAAACTGATACAACATATGAATAAGTGTAATAAAGTTGCGTAGGTTAATTTCTTTCGGCACTTTAATCCACAACTTTCCTGGAGTCTTCAAGGATGTGTTTTTATATACTCGTACAATACAGTAATGATAATAACTTTATTTTTCGTGGTATTTATTAGAAATCATGTTTTTTTTTATTATAACCTCAGTTTTAAGTAATGTTCTACGTGTTTACGAGTTTTTTTTTTTTTTTTTTTTTAATGGCACGACACGATTTGTGCATTGCCAGTGTCAAAGGTAGGGAAACATTAGTAGGAAATATGCATTTTGGATCGGAATTTAGAGGATAGGATCAGGAGACAGAATTTGTATTTTTATATAAATATACATACATAAAATACGAATAGAGATGATTACACTCTAATATTATTTGACATTATGAAAGATGCTATACATTTATAAATCTGTAAATAATTACAGAAGAGTAGGGTTATTACGGATGTTGGAAAAGGAACATCTAAAGAAATAAGGCCATTTAAAAAAATATATCGATTGTATAGAGGGCAGGAAAACAGGATGCGGTTAAGATCCCCTGTGTCCATTCCGCACCCGCAAGCAGGATCACTGACAATTCCAAGCTTAGAGAGATGTGCTGGTGTAGTAACATGTCCAAGTCTCATGCGCGTTAATATGCTAGTAGCCGTCTTACCAAGTTTAGCTTTACGAAACCAGAGCTTTAAAGGAATATTAGGTTGTATTGTAAAATAGTATTTTCCTTTTATTTGTGCACTACTTGTCCAACTTGTAAGCCATTCACTTCGCAAATCGCACAATGGTAGAGATAGCAAGTCCTGGCTATAACATTTATAAGGAACCACGTCACCACAATGCACTGCCTCTTTGGCTAACTGGTCGGATTTTTCATTTCCCTGAATTCCACTGTGACTCGGGAGCCATGCAAACTCTACCATGTATCCCATTTTCATGAATTTATTTAGAAAATTCCTTATCTCAAATATTACAGGAAAATATGATTTAGTACGGAAAGGGAATTTATTTAGGGCTTGAAGAGCACTCATTGAATCGGAAAATATTACAGTTTTTCGCAGTTTCATAACAAAGATATATTCAACAGCCTTTAATAAACCAATACATTCTCCGGTAAAAACAGATGTCTCCGGAGGAAGTTTAGTTTTTTGGACAATAGAAAACTGAGAGTGGAAAACTCCTACACCTGTACACTCAGACGGAGAGGACTTAGAAGCATCAGTGAATATATGATGAAAGTCGTCATATTCAGTATCTATAATTGATTTGAAGGTTATACTTGGGTGTGCATGGTTTTTATCAATTAAATCATATTGAATAGTTGGTGCTATTTCTAAGGCATCATAATCAATAGTAAAAATGGGAAGATGGTTTGATCGGTGTATAGGTGATTGTATACTTATATACTTTCGATAACTAACTATCAAACATGGGAGAGATTTATGTGCCCAGTAACTTGCTGATGTTATTTCTTCATTCAAAGAACAAAGTAGATTTATAAGAGGATGGTTGGAAAATTGAAGTAAACGGAATAGATATCTGTCAGCAAGAAGTTGTCGTCTAATGTTAAGTGGGGGTTCACAAGTTTCAATTTGCAATGCATTAATTGGGCTGGAGTTATTATTCGTAACGCTTTCGACTGAACGTTATCTAGCTTTTTCAGTGCAGTAGAATTGGCAGGTTCTAGGAGAAAACTTCCGTAGTCCAGTACACTTCGGATTAATGCATTATACACTAGTTTTAAGGATTGCGGATGGGCCCCCCACCAAACTCCTGAAAGACATCGGAGAAGATTTAAAAGTCGTTCAGTTTTACTTATAATAAAATCACAATGTGCACTACCGGTAAGTTTGGAATCCAACATGACTCCCAAAAAATTTACTTGGGGTTCAATGGGAATTAATATATTATTATAATAAATTCTAACAGGAGGGGGATTCTTCTTTCGTGAGAATATTACAATAGTACTCTTTGAAGCAGATAATTCTAGACCGTTATCGCTCATCCAAGAACTCAAAGAACCAGTGGCGGATCCAGGATTTTGGTTTGGGAGGGGCTTGACGTAGTTGAAGGTAGGCTTTAATAAAGCCTACCTTCAACTACGTCAAGATAAACACAAAAAAGCATTCAAAATTTTATTTTTTTTGTCATTTAATGCATAGTGAGTCTCCTCGAGTGTCTTTTTGAATATTCTTCAATGACTTCGACTGGTTGTAGGCTGCGGGATATGTCTCGGTGAATATACATTGCAGCCAAACCATTCAACCTCTCTTCAGTCATTGTCGTGCGAAGGTACGATTTTATTAGTTTGAGCGAAGAGAAGCTGCGCTCCACACTACAAGTGGATACTGGTAATGTAGCAAGTATTTGCAATAAAATTTTAACATTTGGGAAAAACTCATTTGCCTCTTGATGGGCCTCTGCTGCTGTTTGGGGAAGATGTTCCCTGTCTTTCCAAAGCTCTTTCCAAAGAGTTATTTCTCCTGATAACGAGAGAGGATGAGGTAAGTCGCTGCTGTAAACACGCGCAGCTGCCTCTATGGAGTTCAGATTTTCTATTTTTACGATGGCACTTGGTATAAGGGTGAACAGGTCGAGAATTGAAGAGTGCTCTGCTCTCGAAAAGCGACTCCTAAGCTGTCCCAATACAAAATCGATGAAAGGAAGGAATACATTCAATCTGAAACAAGATTTGATATGAAATTATTCTTTAACTCGAAAGAACATAACAGAAAATAAAGAAACGCTGCATTAAGCAAAATGCGGGGGTATATATTATATGCTTTATTAAGATTTATTTTACCTGTAGTATTCCTTAGCATCAGGCGCTTCTATATTTGAGCGATGAGTTGAACGTTTGGTGGTTCTGGGTGCCTGCACTGGGATGTCCAAAGGCTCTACAATACGACACGCCTCTTGGAAAATTTCTTCATATTTAGTTTCTCTGTACCTTTCCAATATTCTAATTACACTGTCTACCATCTCATAGCAAAGGTTAAGGTCTAATGCAACAGCCTGAAGTTGCCGTGAAAGCGAAACAGTAATTTCAAATACAGCGGCGGTTACCGCCAAAGGTAAAACAAAGTCAAATCGTTGAATGGAAGCCAGAAGACTTGCACTTTTTGAAGACGGAGAAATTCTGTCAAATTCTTCAAGGAATTGTATGATAGAGTCAAAGAGTTCTTTGAATTGAAGGAGTGCATCATGCCTTTCAAGCCAGCGTGTATCACTTAGATTTTGTAATTTAACTCTTTTCGCCTCAGGGTGTTTTTCAAGGATGGCTTGTTTGATAAGTCCCAATCTTTTTGATGATTCACGCACAAAAACGGTAACACTACTTACAACTCCCATCATATTGCGAACACTAGGTAAGCTGCAGGCCTTTACGATAGCTAGGTTCAGTTTATGTGCTGCACAGTGCATATAAGTCGCTAGCGGTTGAAGCTGTTTTATTTGGGATTGTACGCCACTATACTTTCCTGACATGTTAGCTCCTCCGTCATAACCTTGACCTCTCAAATTCTCAATTTGTAAGCCAACTTGATTTAATTCTTGAATGATTTGATTGCTTAATGCAGCACCAGTCAAGTCAGTTGCAGATAGAAAGCATATGAACTCTTCGTGTATTGTGCTCTCTTTTATATCCAAATACCTGATACATATACTGAGTTGTTCTGTTCCACTGGCATCGGTTGTTTCGTCGCCAAGAACGGCATAATATTTTGCTTCTTTGACTTTGTCAAGTACCTTTTTCAGTATAACAGAATGGCAACAATCAATCAGCTGATTCTGAGTTGTTTTGCTTAGATATGTAGCATTTTTTGGCGCTGTTTCTAAATGTTTTTGGAGTGATGAATCACCTGAGTCAATACGAAATTTTAACAGTGCTCGAAATTTTCCTTGGCCGATATCATCACTCAATGTACCATCATCTCGGTGGCCTCTTAAGGGTATATTTTCTCGACCACACAGTATAATCGTCTTAACTATAGGAATCAGCCGCTCTCTATTTGATTTAATCATTTTAAGTTTCTCAGTTTCGATTAAATTATTTACAGCTTTTTCAGGGTTTTCATATGAACTTTTAAAATTTGTACTTTTTAACACCGCCATTTTGTGGTAATCGGTAGCGGAATGGTTTTTGAAAATTTCTAATGCTTTTTTATATTTGCAAAGTGGACGAGTCACTAAAGATCCTAAAGCCACAGAATGCTTGCCCCCACTATCTGGACCAGAAAATAGTACGCAAGGCAAACAATATGCGCCGTTCTGTTCTTGACTATAGACTAGCCAGGAGTATTCCTTTAGCCAATCAGATCTGAACTTTCTTTTTTGTCCACCCTCTGTCTGCTCTGGATATTCATAACTACGAGGTGGTTCTAAAGACTCCGTCAGATATTTATACTTTTTCTCGTTACTTAGTGATTTTCCTATTGCATAAGAAATATCAAAACGATATTCAGCGCAAGCAGTGGATGTACTAGCCTCTGGCACTGGTTCCGGCTCTGTAACAACAATGCAGTGTACAGTCAAAGAAAGAGTCCACTACACCACCCGCCACCCGCCCAACACCAACCGACCAAAAGATTCTTTTTTAAAATACAAATAGTAATACTGACTGTAAACCTACAAAAATTTTGTGCCGAAATTAGGCTCATTTTATTCCTACTTTTGTAGAACTACCGATTTATAGTATTGCAGATGTATAGTGCGCTTTATTGTCATAGTTATTTAATTTATGTTCGTCTGTTATCTGTCACTGTACCTAATGAAATAAAAGAAAAGAAAATAAGAATAAAATAATCCAAAGGATGTTGTAGTTATTGTAGTAGGTACTTACCTGATGAATTTTGGGTCGACAATATTAAGTTGCTGACGTTGTGTCTCGGTAATATTGGTTCATTCATTATCGCGCGATTCGTCCTCCTCTTTCTTTCGTTTCGGAATAAAAAACGAACGAAGATCTCCTTGCTTACTACGTTTTGATGTCATTTTTTTTCAAAATTGAACAAAAGCAAAGCACGCCCAGACCCAAATAACAACTTAAAACACTTGAATAAGCAGAAGCACTGCGTAACACACCCGTCTATTGTTTTTGTGCAACTAATCAATCAAAATCAAATCAAAGCTCGCTCCGCCCGCAATGCTACCAACACACACCCACGTACCGGCCGGCCGTACGCTGCGTACGGCCGGCCGTGGGTGTAGAGATGTGTGCGTACGGTATATCTCTATCTCAAGCACAAGTACCAGCGCAGCTCGCGACAAGCGCGTCCGCGCTCGATTGGCGCGCGAATTTAAAACTCGTCACGTCACAGTTTAAAGTACCGTACAGTTGACCCAATAGATTAGATTTTTCATGATGGGAATCGTGATATATAGATTCTTCCCCACTGTAATAGTATAACAGTATATTATTTATTCTCTGTTAAGAGTCTAAGAAAGTAAGTAGGATAATAAAGTGTGAGATTTGTCAGGGGCGGACCCAAATGCCTTTGGGGGGGGCTTGAGCCCCTTAGCCCCCCCCCTGGATCCGCTACTGCAAAGAACGTAAAGCTGAGTTAATATGCAAAGAAGAATTATCTATGTGACGGTTTGTAGAATAAATCAATAACTCATCAGCGTATTGCAACAACTTAATATTATTTTCAAATAAAGTGTCAAAATCGTGAGTATATACACTGTAAAGTAAAGGACTAAGAACTGATCCCTGGGGCAAGCCTCTTCATACAGTTCTTTGTATTTCAAGACTATTCGGTAAAATTTATTTATTAAATGAATAATTTCATTTTTTTTGCTTAAGGCACTACGGCAGTTCCACTGTATTATCTTGTCTGTTTGTCTGTCCATTGATGAATTGAATGATATTTTTAGTAATCTGAGCAGCGTTGGACGGTGGCAGGATATTGAATTGAGTAAACACATTGAAGAGAGCAGTAATAAAATCAGGAGGGAGTTGATTCACTGAGGATGTTCTGTCATCACTTGTACTAAGACCACAGCCATTGTTAGGGGTAGGAATTGCAAATTCCTTCAATATAGTATTATGGGCTATGGTATCATAGCCTTTTGAAAATGCAGGCATATTATGCGGTTTCTTAAAAATAGTTTTTTTATAAGATGTTGTGTGGTTTATGTTACTATTAGATAAATTACTAATCATAGGTTCATTTACTATTTTTGTGGAAGGGGTCATTAAAGTATCAGCATAGGACCTAGATATGGGTGGAAGTAATTTTGATGCTTCTCCGTATGATACACAGTTTTGTGCCATGTATAATTTAATTTGGGATTGCCTAACATATTCCGGACAGGATTTATTATTGGCGTAGTGATGCCCATCACACCAGCAGCAGAGCGCATCTTCCTCTGTGATATTGCATGAGTCACCTGTATGATTTTGACCACATTTAAAACATCTAGGTTTAGATCTACATTGAACTTTAGTATGTCCGAAACGGCAGCAGTGATAACATTGGATTGTAGGAAATATATACAGATCCACATTGAGTGCATTGTAACACATGAAAATTCGTTTTGGTAAAATTTGGCCATCAAAGGTTAAAACTATAGTTTGGGATGGCTTCCAGGTAGGAGTTCCATCTACAAAGGATTTATAATTTAGTCTCCTTACTTTCAGAATTTCACCACAACCTATGGGAACAGAAATATTACTTTTAACTTCCTCCAGATACCACTCTGCAGGGACACCTCTAACTAAACCCATTCGTGTAATGTTAAATGTTGGAATATATGCTTTTAAATTATTTTTTGACCAACTACTATGATTGATGAAATTATTTGCATCAGTAAATTTTGAGAACGAAACTTGCATTTTATTTCGCCCAATCTTTTTTACACTTCCATTAATTATATTGTAAAAAGAGTTTTGTTTGAGAAATTTACCAAACGACATGGGATGCATTGTGATTCCGTCTGATGATGAATCTTGCTCTCTCTGTACATGCACTACAAAAGGTGAAGCATCGGTTTTGTCATAAAACTTCCTGCCTATAGGAATCAGTACTGGGGAGGGTATGGACACAGGAGAAGTTTTAGAGTCATTGACACTCAGGCTATTTGATTCTTGTTGGACTGGCGTTGCGGTGGATTCATAGCAACTGCAATCTGTAACTTTAGGTTCTGACGAGGAATGTTTGCGCCTTTTTTTGTTGCAATGTTTGCAAACATGGAGCCGGCTCCGTTTTAATGTGCGACTGGACATGGAACCATCTGTTTCCATACCAGATTCATTATTTGAAGTAATGGTAAACAAATTACTAGCCGGGGGGACACATCCCCCCGGCTCCGGGGGGACGTTCATACAACTATAACATAATAATCAAATTTTGACTTACCAAGGCAGCAGGGACAATAAATAAAGAAATACACTAAATTTATATACAATATTAATAAACAAACCTATCCGCTGATCACTATTTTAACTTCTATTAAGTAAATATTTTCAGATGCCAAAAGAACGCGTCCGCCAAGTTGGAAGTTTCCCGCGCTCTCCAACTGTCTCTTTCTCTCTCGTGTTTACGAGTTTTTGTTTACCACAGTTCACGTCATAGCATAGATAATCTATAGACTAAAATGGCCGACAGCGTTTTTGTATGTTCATGAAAAGTCTATTTTAAAATTAAAGATTTGTAGCTTTCTAGGTTTAAAAAAAATACAATACATTTTTTTTCGGTCTAATAGAACAATTATTAACCATTTAAAACCTTTTTCCAAAAAGGGTCAACTAGCCTAACGCCATCTATGAGAGGTGTTATAAACAAATTAAATATTTTAGTTTGTTTTTAATTTATTTATTTTTATCATTTTACATTTATATTAATTCTATATATTAACATTAATTTATTTGTATATTACTGTAGTTATAAATATTATACATGCGTGGGTGGCATGGTGCAAGGACATACTGCAGAAATGTCGTTAAAAAAGGGGGAGTAGATACATCATCATTAGTATATAAATTACATCCTTTTTTAGGGTTTATAAAAGGACTCATTTTTTATATTTAAACATCTCTTTTCTTATTTCAATGGACTTTATTAGTGTAGTATGTTTATGCAGGATGTTGTTTTTTTTGAGATAGTAACGGTTTTGGATAAAATTAAAAAAAAAAACCAACACACCAATTAGCCTAGCCCCAAAGTAAGCACTGTAAGGCTTGTGTTATGGGATGCTAGGGTAACGGATAGAATACATATACAGTACATATATAAGTATATTTATATAGAAATACATAATAAACATCCATGACTGGAGTACAAATGCTCGTGTTCATCACACAAACATCTGCCCCCACCGGGATTCGAACCCGGGACCTCTCGAGTCAGCGACACCATGAAACCCGGCGTACAAACCACTCGGCCAAGGAGGTCGTAAGTCGTCAATTATTTCTTCATATTTAAAAAAAAATGACAAGCTTTGGAACAAACACATCGCGTTAAATATCTTCAAATGGTCTAAAATTGTGGGACAGAGGAGATCATTCTTGATTTTTTCCAATTAATATACTCAATACATTATCAGCATTAGTCTATTAATATCCCCACTGAAGGGGCACAGCTCAGGCTTCGACAGGAGCTCGAGATAATAAGTTTTTTGTCACCAATCAAATTGCCGACCATTTCCAAAGTTGCTTAACGTTCACGAACGAAAGCCGAACGCGCTAACCACCTGGGCTATCAAGCTCCGTACGTACGTACTCAATACGTATGCCATCAAAAACATAACTTGTAAAAAAACCAAGTCAATCGCATGAAAACACAATGTATCTCACATATTATATAAAGTTAGATTGTTGAGTGCGATTGCCAAGTCAATTTATTTATTTAAAAAATACAAGATTTTCGATATTGGTATGGTCAGTATAAGATGTTGATATGTGAGCTAATTCCGTAATAACTCAAGACAAATGACACATGATAAAATTATTGACTTCTTAAACCACCGACTAAAACATTATCAGTAAAACAAAAAACTTTAATTCACTGAAGTATATCAATTCGCTATCCCCATTATATTACAAAGAATAGATGAGTTTGGGTCAGTTACGCAGTGTTTTGTGACAATATACTGCGTTTGCTATTATTAAGGATGTAAAAGCAATTAAATATAGGCAGGGTATCCGATAAAAGGCAGCAAAATAATTGGAAAGATTTTTGCACAGCAATATAATTTGGAAAAAATATCTTTGAATTTTGTGCATAAAAATAATAAGTTTTAAAACTATAAATAAGCTTAAATCTAAAGAAAAGTTTACTAGAAAAAAATTCGCGTGGATTTTTTCTAGTAAACTTTTCTTTAGATTTAAACATCTAGCAGTTAAATGATAAAAATTAATAAAAACATAACTATAATTGCTATTTCTTCTTTCAAATGTTTAATACTTGAAAAAGTATTCATTTGACATTGTGGGTTACCTACAATGCGAAGAGATGGCGCTGCCTTGCAGCTTAAGGCTAGGAAAATTTCGACGCGGCCAATAGGGCCGTTGTAGCATAATGGTCAGTGTATTCGCCCGGATTGCGAAGGGTGCGGGATCGAGTCCCGTCCGCTGCCTTGTCCGCGTGGATTTTTTTCTAGTAAACTTTTCTTTAGATTTAAACATCTAGCAGTTAAATGCTTAAAAATAGATTAAAACATAACTATAAATAAGCTTTCTGATAGACATTTAATGAAATGATAATAATTAATAAAATAATGAAAACATTTTGTTTTCATTATAAACAAACTATGTTCATTCATAAAGAACTGTTCATTCAAAGATCGTTCATTCTTTTAATGTCGCAACCCTAAGGGATGTATTACTCTGCAAAAACATCGATGTTTTTTTTGATTCGAAACATCACAACTATGAATCGATGTCTTTCGATGTATCGGATGAAAACATCGAGTATTTTTTCTAAAATTATATTACAAAACTCAACTAATGTGGAAAGTGATTATCTCAAAAGTGGCCATCTTTTCATAGTATTTCTTTTAAAATTGAAGTTTATGAAAAGGATCTTAATCCATTATTTCATTATAGTTTAGAAAATTATTAATCTTTCATAAAAAATAGAATAGTAAAAGTAAATACAAGTAAATCCATCTATAAGCAAAATCTGTATTAAATTTTACAAAAGATCAATTTAAAAAACACTAAATAACCCGCAACATTTTTACTAAGTCTTTCAAAAGAATATTAGAAATATACTTCAATGCCATTTTGTTTCACAAAACCAAATGTAATTAAATGTTTAAAAACATAGAAACAAGCCGACATGAGAAAAGCAGTTTTTTTTTATTGTCATTGCACTGACTCTTGCGCAGTGCTGCCAACATCGGATCCATATTAGAGAATTCGGAATAATGACCCGTTCATAATATTAATAAGTGGTCAAACTAAAGTTTTTTTTACTGAGGTCGAGCCAAAGTGGATATAATCACTATGTGGTCAAACTTGTCTATTACCAATTCGCTTTTTTTTTTTAAATATTGATGCATTGAGTATATTGAAAGCTTTTCCAAACATCGGATTGATTCAATGTTTTGCAATGAAATCATTGCAAACATTGATGTTTTCGATGCTACGATGTATATTGAACATCCCTAGGATGTACTGAAGTCTGTGGTGGCCGAAATGGAGAAATTCAAGGCCGTAAAACTTAAAAAAAAAAAAAAGTAAAGTAGTAAACAAACAATCAAAGAAAGAGTAATATACTGGAAACAAACAATTCAAACAAACGGATTTGTAATTTGTCTTGCTTGGTTGTTAAATCCCGATAAAGCCATTTATTTAATTAGTGTCTATTTTTTATTTTTTTGAAATATTTTCCACTAGTATTCCATAATCGTAAAGAAAGGAATCACTTCGATTTTATTCTCAATAGAAATGACCACCACCCAAATTATATCAATTTATATTTCAAAGCTCAGTATGTTTCAATGTTTCATTGTCTTGAAACTAGCAGAATTATGTGCTGATTCTAATATAAAGTGTTATTTATTATAGATCACCCGTTAAAAGAAATTCGTGAACGGTCATTGAAACTATTACTTACAAAGATAAAACTTGGTTGGGAATTAGAGGATGAATTGTCCTGCACTAGAGAGTTGATTGAAGCCTTATTGAAATGGTTTCAATATCCTTCGCTTTCCCTCCACAAAGAGGCTTTAGATCTTTTCACCACCATTCTGAAGGTCTCTTTACACATTTTACACTTTTTGATCTGTATCTAAGCTCAATCTGAGGTACAAACTGCATTAAATTATAGAGCTAATAATTTATTACTCGAAATATATTGATTATTTTTTATTTGTTTCTTAGCTTTTCACGCACATCACTCATTAAATAAAACTAGTTTTTCATGGGTTAATGATGTTGCGAAACGTCAATAAATAAATAAAGTTTAGTGCATTAACCCGTAAACTAGTTTTATTTGATTATTTTTTATATACGTTGGAACAAATAACTCCACACCACCGGTCGTTAAGTGTTAGTGGGAGTCCAAAGACGAAGCCAGCTGGTGCAGAAGTTTTCCTTGTCGCACCAGCTATTGTTACCATGCTAGCTCACAAGTCGCTTGTTCTACACTCTCTTAGGTTGTGTTTTGTTTCAGACAAAGTCGGGCACATATATAGCTAAAGAATATGGAATTGGAAACCTTTTATCCTGCCTTAATAAAATAAAGCATCACATTAATGACCCAGAAGCCATAGAATTATTTAATAGTACTATTGAAACTATGAAATTTTTGAATACTGTGGATTCAGAAACTGATGTTTCTGTGCCTCATCTTAACTTACCATCATTTACTAAGTAGGTATTGTTTATATTTTTCTATTTATTTCTACAAAATATTATACTTCTGCATTATTATAACTCTTACAATGAATATTTTATGAAGTTTGAAGAAATTATAATTTGTTTATTACAGTTCTGAGGCTGAAGCAGGAAGTAATAGTGGAGAGTACAATATAACAAATAACCATACTTCAAAGGAAACATCAATCTTAAATGAAGATGATGAGTCAGGGGATCACTTGTAATATTATTTTTCTTTTGCATCAAACATATTGGTTTGTTCTGTCCTTAAACAGACATTAAGATATTAATTGTTTTCAGGCCAAGCCAAGTGAATGGAATAAAACTTTTTTTGTTTCCCTGGGTAGATCTAAATACTTCAGATTCAAAAACCATGTTAATGGTGGAAGATGCATTGACATTATTGAAATCAGTTAGAAGATGCTGTAGATTCATCTGCAATGTATTTTTGCGAGATTTCCCTGCAGAGATATTTTTGAATAGGCCTACTATAATAAAGGTACAGTTATTAACCATATAATTGCTTTACAGTAAAAGTTGTTATGTATATTAGTTGTAAACATCTGACAATCCATACTCCCAAAAATTTGTACCCTGTTATATACTTCAGAACAGGGTACACAGCATTCGGGTTATACTATGTAGACATTATAAAAGATATGTGAGCAATAAAACATAACTATTTATCATCAAAACTATGTTACAATCATTAAGAACTGTTATAAATATAATTAAAGGAGGACAGTTTGATATATTACTCTTTTTAAAGAATTCTAGATATTTGGCAACTAGAAAAGTAGTGAGTTGCAATGAAACAACAGGTGTGCAAGTAGATGTAATATTGTACCATAATGTTGTAATGCTATTAATTTATCAGTGGTTGCCTATTTCGACTGAAATTCAACCTTTTTACAATGGAACATTAATGAGTTGCTTTTGTCAAAGAACTTAAGAGGATGCCAGTGATGTTGGAAAAATTGGTTTCCCATACAAACTTTTACTTAAAGGTGTAACGAAGTAGTGGGGGCCCCTAACAGGTCATAGTTTAAGATCTGGCAACCCAAGCAACCTATGTATTTCCCAGCAACGGTCAAAGTGCGAGAAAGGTTAGATTATTATCGTCCCTGGGCCATGGCCTTACCTGCCCTGCCTTAAATCTAATAACCCATCAAGTTCTTCCAAAATCTACAATGATCGGGAATTGGATTACGCAAAGCGAGGTTATTTAACCTCGCGCTTGGCCAACTTCGATGACTAGGCATATAGTATGGGTTTCTATATCGTTGAGTGCATGGAGGAAAACATGGTTTGGTGCAGGTTTTTTAACACTGTAGCAGCAGTGAGTAGGATGAATATGCCAAATTGTGAGCAATTTGTGAGACCGCATCCCAAAGAAAGTACTTACATTAAATTGTCTGAAGTTGTTCAAGTATGCACTTGTAATGCATTATTTAAATTAAAAAATATCAGCTTTTTGTATTCCTACTCAATATAAACTTAAATAAGGTATGCAAAAAGGTTATACCACTCTATGCGCAAAATGGGCTTATTAAAAAATGGTAAATTTAAAAAATCAAATAACCCGACTACTTAAATGTTACTTACTTCAAATAAAAAATTAAAAGAAAAAAGCGCAGTGTAGGCTTCCGTAGTTTCCTATAGTTACCACAATATATTGGAGCAGGAGTCTTTATTTTCTGTATCGGAAATATCCATCTTTATGTTTGATGAATATGAGCATTTGACCTCCAGTCATGGATGTTTAATATGTATTTCGATATAAATATACTTATATATGTATCGGTATATGTATTCTATCCGTTACCCAGTGCCGTCTTTGACCTAGTGGAGGCTCTGGGCATATTAGGATAATGTCGACCCTGTGACCCCCGTTTGGTGATTTAACAGGAACTAGGGACTTTGTATTTGATCTGAGGGGGCCCCCTATCGATCGCGGGGCCCTGGGCACTTGCCCAAAGTGCCCACTGGGAAAGAGGGGTCTGCCGTTACCCTAGTATCACATAAGCCCCAAGCGTCTCATCGGGGCGGCTGAGGGGTCCACCTCTCGGGAGTGCACCAATTAGCCTAGCCCCAAAGTACCTAAGCACTGTTAAGTTATACTTCAGTAACATGAAGTAATATGATTAAAATATAATTTGAAAACGGTATAATTTAGTTTTTTATCAAGTTTTAATGGTCTTAAATACCTAATATGGTAATTTTTTTTTTCATCATTTAATAAGAAGAAACTTTATCACAGTTTTATTGTTAGTACTTGTAAACAGTCATATAAAATGAAAAATGGTGTATCTTTTTTTTTACAAAGTTTTTGCCTTACAAATTAAGATGATGATTGATTTCAGAACTTACTGGCAATATCAGAAGGAAACGATGGAAATCAAGCAGAAGAAGCATTGCAAGTGCTTTTGTGTCTCACTAAAGCGCTTTACAGAAGTCTTATGAAGTTATATTCTCTAGACATATTGCATGATAGTATCAAGGTTAACGACTAAAATTAATTTATTTTATTAATTAACAGTATTTAGTTTGTTTGTTCAGTGGGTTCCTACACCAGGTGGATCGACGATCTGCTGAAGGTCGCGGGAAGCTAATGGATGCCAGTGGCGAAGGACCGATCGGTGTGGCGATCCCTTGGGGGAGGCCTGAGATGATCATGATGATTTAGTTTGTAACATTATTTAAGTTTGCTATATTAATTCATAACAAAAATATTAAATACCTTACATACAACATAACAAACAAAATCGGAGTTACGTGGGTGGAACGTGCAGCCAAAATCTATATAAGGTAATAGGCACGGAGCGTAAGGGGACGTCTACATAACTGACCGTTCATTTGATTATTACAAATATTTTCTATTGACTCGGTTTATAGTAAGTGTTAGAACAAAACTAGCTCCATAATATATATTGTCATAGAAATTTTGGGGCTTCTGATCAAAAAAACCGCGACAAGTGGTTTGGGCAGTCCTCTCGTGATGTTAACATAACATTGCCTAAAGAATTCTGAAGAGACCGAAACAGGTTGAAATCTAAAGGTGCAAGGTCAGGACTATACGGCGGATGCATTAACACCTCCCAGTCAATCTCTCTTAATTTTTGCTGAGTGGTTAAAGAAGTCTGAGGTTTAGCGTTAGACATGATAAAACACCACACCCCTTCTGTTGATTAATTCCGGCCGCTTTCTTTCAACTTCTTGCTTTAATCTCATCAGTTGTTTGCAGTAAAGTTCACAATCGATGGTCCTGCCTGGCGGTAACAGCTCATAATGAATAATGCCCTTCCGATCCCACCATACACTCAGCATCACCTTGTTGCGAGATAACCCGGGTTTCGCCAGAGTCTGTGAAGCCTGATCAACCTTTGGCAACGACCTTTTTCGCACGTTGTTGTTGTATGTGATCAGCTTTTTATCACCAGTTATCAGCTTCTTCAAAAATGGTTCGGTTTCATTACGTCGTAATGAAGAATCACAAATGAGTACATGGGTCATCAGGTTTCTTTCAGTGAGCTCGTGAGTCACCCAAATATCGCCCTTTTTTGTGTACCCAGCTTTATTCAAATGCGCAAAAACTGTTTTGTGGTCAATTCCCAGTTCTTAGGCTACGTCGTCGTAACTACTGATATGCCGATCTTGCTCTACTTTTTCAATTGCGATACTTTGTATCCGTTATATGGCGACCAGAGCGACGTGCATCTTTGACATTAAAATTTCCGGACTGAAAACGTTTATACAAAATTTGTGTAACTACTCTCACAGACACTGCACTGGACCTGTGCAGTAGTTACACAAACAGTAAACATCACATTTTTTTTTTGCGGCTTGCGTTGCATTTTTACCTTTTGTGTAGTAAAATCTTGACAGTAAGAAAAACAAATGAAAATCACACATTTTTCAAATTAAAATTTGGAATTTTCTTCTTTAAAATTTAAACTTTTTAATGATACCAAAACCAGCCTGATACAAATGGTATAGCCAAATAGATTTTATTGCAAGTTCATACATACTATAATGCAAAAAGACTTTCACCAGCCTTTAAGTTAATGGATGGATAGTTACGTAATTCATTTTTAACAGTTAACAGATGAACAAATGAATGGAGTATGTGGCATACCTATAGACCTACAACAGATAATAAACAATGATGAAGTTAATATATCACCTTCTGAAAATAATCTTATGGTGCTGAGACAACTGCCTTCACCAACGTACACCCTGGACACCGCACATGCTGTGTTAACAACTATGTCTAGGAGTATTATAGTAGTTGACACAGTTAGTAAAACTGAAATATTAAATTTGGTAAGTAAGGGGCTTGCTTCATTTTAAAACGAAGCGAACTTTGTTTTTTTTTAAATGAAATCATAATTGCATATTTCATTTATGTTCATTTGTAATCATAGTCTCACTACTATTTTCTATTGTAGAAAGAAATAAATAAATGCTTAGATCTGTTAGAGAGTCTAATAAAGCTACTGTTAGCTTGTGTTGATGAATGTTTCTGGAGAGAAGATCATAGTACTAAAACACACAGAGACATAGCACACAAGAGTTGTATGGTTATGCGTCTGTTGGGAGACCTTTTGGATAAGTACAGGTACCGTATAAATTTGCTACTTGTCTTAAGAAAATTGAAACTAGTTAGTAAAAAAATCAACATTTCTTGATTACCTGACTGCATTCGCTATCGAGTTAATAGAGAATTCGAAAAAAAGTTCGAATTCCCGATTCGAGAGGCAATAATCGATTAGTGATGAGAATACAGCAATCGAGAAATCGACTTGTTCTTTAGAAGTTTTCTGCTCGAGATAGAGCTCTAACAGTAGTGTCTATTTCGAGATTTATTCGATTGAAACGAGAATTAGGCCCCTGGGCGAATGCCATAGCAGACGTATATTACAAGATCCAAGAGACTTTACTTATTTTCTGATGGACAAAATATGGATTATCGAGTATTATTAGTGTTTTTAATGAACGTATACACATTCTAGCTAACTTGTGCTGTGGTCCTAATTTTCTGGTATCAGGTGGCACAGGCACGTAAAAAATTTACTCACTTTACTTACAGTCTATAGAAATATTCTCAGTGATTGTTCTAGTCTTGAGCATAGTTAGAAAGGGATGTCACTATATATAGCCATAGCGACATCCCTTTCTAATTGTACTCGAGTAAAGATCAACACTTAGTTGTCATTCTGTAATACGGGCCTTAGACTGATTCCTACGTATATTGTAGAGAATATTGCAAACAATTTGAAATTTACACTGCCAGACACATTCCGTCAGCAGTTTTTATTGTCCGACACTTTTAATATCGAAAGCAAAAACACAACCTTACTTATTGTCTGCAACAATTTTGATAATTAGATAATAGGAAATTATTGTAACATTGTAAAAGGCTTCCTTTACATTATGTATAAGATTAATGAAGCTGTATTAAAAATGCACTTAAGAGTGGATGCGAGATGAGAGATAATTGAGAAATAGGGATTTAAAAAAAACCTATTCCTGTCGCGTGGTAAATACCGTGCGATACAACAGTTGCAAACGCTGAAAATTGCGTATAAAAATTGCAAAATTCAGCTTCCGACGATTTCCACCTCGAAAATTAGATATATGTAAAATAAATTTTACCCATATAGACCAGGGTCGATAATTTTTGAGACCAAAAAAAATTATAGTAGGATGAAACCCATTAGAAAAGGTAGAGAATATAACAAAAATAAAAGGAAAAATAAATTACGGGCGATCTGAGGTCGGGAAAGGGGAGGGGGTGAGTTTTTAAGGGTAAAAAATGGTTAATCTCGATTTCCGGTAAAACTGCAAGTCCTATGAAAAAAAGTTAAATGGCAAAGTTGTAGGTAATAAAAAGATCTACAACTTTTGTATCGACACTTTTTTCACATAACCTCAAAATTTATGTGAAAAATGCGAATAACCGAGTTTTTGGTTTTTGATTTTTATTTTTTGCAAAAAATAAAAGGTGTCTGGCAGCATAATTTCAAATTGTTAACAATATTCTGTAAAACATACGTAAGAATCAGTCTAAGGCCCGTATTACAGAATGACAACTAAGTGTTGATCTTTACTTGAGTACAATTAGAAAGGGATGTCGCTATGGCTATATATAGTGAAATCCCTTTCTAACTATGCTCAAGACTAGATCAATCACTGAGAATATTTCTATAATATGGGCCTAAGACTGTAAATAAAGTGAATAAATTTATTATGTGCCCGTGCCACCTGATACCTTTTTTTTTTAATGTCTAGAAAATGCATTTCGCATACTTCGCCAACCGAGGGTTGCGGACGAAGCTATCGGGGACTCCTCTCCGCCACTTCAGGGAACACAAGTGCTCCGAGAAGCAAACGGGGCCCTACCTCGCCAAGAAGGCGACCCCCACAAGGGCGACCGTAAAAACTAGACAATACTCCTGCACCGGTCACCCGGCGCGCATTATGAGGGACCGCGGTCCCTCCTAGTGCGCACCGGGAGTGCGAGTGATGTGGCGGTATCCGTTTCCGAATAGTCCGCCCACCCGCAAGGTGATTGTCCGCAAGCGGACCCGCCCCGATGAAGATGCCCCGGAGTATTAGGGGCATCAACATCCAGAGAGCTTGTGCAATGCAAGCCTGGCCCCCTCAGGACAGACTCGCGGCCCTTACGAAAGTGGGAGGGAGAGCGTAGTTCTCTCCGTCCCTCTCTCGTCCCCCCTTGGCCCTGAAAAGGGCCTTTTGAGCATCGACCAGCCACTAGCAGTGATTGCTAAGAATCATCGTGGGGTGATGCTCCTACCCCCTGGCCCTGAAAAGGGCCGTTTCCCCGCTCTGAGCCCTGAAGGGACTCAGCAACCCCCGGCCCTGAAAAAGACCTTTTCTCCTCCCGCGGCCTTCAATAAGGCCATCCCCCGTGCTAGGGTGGCAAGAGATGCGCTGGTCTTCTCCTCCTTCCCCCCCTCCTGCTCCGGAAAGAGCCAGCGAGGGCCTGTTCCTCGCGGACTCTCTCCGCAGCCTCCTTCTGCGAAATGGTGTCTTCGCAAAAAGCCACCATTGCCTGCCAGGACCTGTCACTCTCCAGCATGGCTTTGACCACGCTGGGCAGTGAGAGGTCCGTTCCCAGGATCGAAACCAGAGTGCCGCGCTGCCGAGTCCACGCCGAGCACACCTCCAGGGTGTGCTGAGCTGTGACCACTGCATCACCGCACTCGTGGCACGAGGGGTCCGCCTCCCTCTGTATCCGATGCAGGTACCTTCCAAAGCATCCATGCCCGGAAAGCACCTGCACCAGACGAAAGGTTAGCGACCCCGACCGTCTGGAAACCCACTCCCTGAGAACTGGACGGATCGCTTCAACCGTCCTGACGCCCGCCGTCGGACTGCCGAGACGCCCCAGCCAATTCTCCATCAGCACCTCTCTTGCCTCCCTATGCACCTGCGCCACCTCCTCAATAGATGCCACCTGATACCTGGTAATTGGCCCACAGCACAAGTTAGCTAGTATAAGATCATTAAACACACTAATACAATTAGATTATCCATATTTTGTCCATCAGAAAATAAGAAAGGTCTGGTGGCAACGATATTAAATACCCTAGACACAACTACACAAACAAAATCGAGCCCGAAATATTACTATTGGACGATCGACGGAGCTCCGTAAGATGATCGCGTATTCCAAAACAATATGAGGCATTATTTAAACATTGAAAGTCACCTTTAATGCCTACTGTCTTAATTAAAATGCATGCGTCAAAGAGTTACGACAGTTCGAAATGCAAGTTCGTAAAATTTTAAGACTTATTGCTATATGTGGAAGAATATAGACCTTATTTCTTTGACGCTACGCTCAATTCTGAATGCGCTGTTACCAATATAGCAGGTACAGACCGCGAAGAAAAGAGATGGCTATATAACCGACTATGCAATTGAATGTCACAAATATTTTCTATTAAATCAGTTTATAGTTAGTATTAGAACAAAATTTGCTTCAAATGAGTGAAATTAACAAGCACCTTTCGAAAAAACGACACTTTACGTACCTACTATAAATATTTTATTTCGTATTTTTCACGGAGCTCTGCGGCATCTTGACTTTTCGCGCGTGACTGTGAACCAAGAAGTGCTTGAGTGGTGTTCAAGCACTGCTTGATTGGGACCACATTTTGAGCGCACGTGGTGTATCTAGGTTATTTAATGTTGTTGTCTGGCGGCCAAGACTTTTTTGAAGTACATTTACTAAAGTAATTGATAAATATGTACTTGAAAAAAATCTTTTATCGAATAAATCTAATATAACCAAATGCGAGTTACACCCAGGTATTTAAAAATCCGCCGGTGTTATTGACTTAAAAATGATATTATGATATTATCTGTTTTAAATTTGAAATGTAAAATTTTAATTTTACTTATTTCTTATCTATTAGACAAGTCCGTCCGTCTGTGGTGCTGTTTCAGCGGCCAAACCGTAAGAGATAGATAAAGAGAATATTTAAGTTATAAGTTAAGAATAGTCTGATAAGACTACAAACCGGATTTGAGTAACGTAGCACTTCCGGTTTTCGAGAAACCACACAAAATCTCCGAAGTTCTCAATTAATTAAATACATTTTTTTTTAAATCAGGTTTTGGTGAACATTTGGTTCACTGGTTTGCTATTATCATTAAGGTACAAGTCCGAACTGAACCGCAGACCACAGGCCGCAGCTGCAGATTGCAGGCGACACTACTAGTTTCTATTTATGACTAAATACGCGTCTCTAATGACTATAAAGAGCAATCATTATTTCTATCAAATTTAGAACTAATTTCGAATTTAGAATATGGAACTTCATGGACGCACAAACGACCAAACGGCCATCATAGCGTTCCGGTACTATAAAAAGGGCTTCAGAGAAAGCAACACCTTATGGCCTTGCGCTGCGTTAAACCGGAGCACAAAGAGGACTTCCGCTCCGCGTGCAGTTTCATGTAATTTTATTGAGCACCACCGCGACGCACGGGAGACCCGCCTCAGAGCGCGTTTATATGACATGAAATATCACAGCTTGTCGGCCGCGCGGCGACAGTACCGCGATGGCGCAGCGGCCGCGCGTTCACCGCCTGGTGGCCCCACCACTGCGAATCCGATTCATTTCCAGTTGATCTTTTTTAAAATTCACACGTATTTGTTATGGGCTATTTGACTAAGAAGAAGAAAATTATGATTGCATATTACTTGTACCGACAAAGCAAAAAAGAAGAAAAAAAGAAATGTAGAAGATTTTGGTTTCATTCTATTGTAGCACGGCGAGAAGAGTTTGGTGAATTGCATATGCTTTACAACCAACTGCGAGAATATCACATCTCACAAAACATTTGATGTTAAAGCATTCGAGTGATTCGAGCGAGGCCGCCGTGAGATCGAGGAGCGGTCGCTGCACGATCGCCGCGCATTTAGTTACTCACAAAGAATTTCAACGTTAAGTCCTAGTTAATAAAACATAATTCTGCTATGACTGAACAGTTATTACGCGGCCACAGCGCTGTCGCTGCGCGGCGGCCGCAAGAATTTTTTCGCGTCGTCAATGTGCAGCCTCACGCAGCGCTGCTCTATGAAATAACATGAAAACGCGGAGCGGACGTTTGCTCCGTGCTTTAAATATTATTAAATTGGTTATCGAAAATATTTTAGGAGTGCTTTTGTCAATGCTTCTGAAGCCGATTACAAATGGGCCGTGTGGTTACGTTTAGTGGTGTCTGCAGAAACCCTTTTAAAATGGGCTGGAAATTCTGCTTTACCACCGACCACACTCGTCGCAGCCTTGCAAGTAGCACAGCTGGACCCAGCACTTCAGATACTCTACCCTGAGTTGAGTGAGAGGATCACATTGGCATTGCAAGTGAGTATTACAAAGTTTAAGAAATTGGTACGTAACAGAATATTGGATATAAAGGAACATCTTCTTAGTTAAAAACTCAAAGTATATCATGTTATACGATTTATTATGTATAAATTTTAGTACGACCTTATCACCGAATACCCGACCTAGACTCGATTTACCCAATTTTCAAGCGAGCACTTCCCGGTGCTTCTAAAGCTTATCTTCATAACAAAGATGGTTTCCTAAGGCCTGTGATTCCATGGCTACTTTCCACAGACGACCTCACTGTAGTCTTGCCTTGTTTAATATAACTTATTAATGTTTATTAAATTTCTCTCTTACTCTAGATATCAAAGTCTTCGGTAAACCAAGAATACAAAACTAAATATAGAGAGTTGTTAAAATTAACATCAAGTATGGATGATGCTGTTAAATTCATGAAGAACAAACATTGCCGAAGCGCGAAGGCAGTTCTAAATATCATCAAGAAATCATTATCAGTGCTGGAACTTCATATGAGTGAAAGTTATTTGAATGATGTAGCTGATGTACTTTTAAAAAAATCTAAAGATTTTAATATGGACGACAATGATTGGAACTTAGCTCGCAGCATAGCTTTGCATTTGATGGCCCACAAGGCGGAATGGGTTTGTGCAAAGTTTTATTCTGAGACTGCTGAAATGGTGAAATATGTATTAGTTGGAGATGAGTTAAATCAGACTGAAAATGAAAAATGTTTAAACCTTTTGTGCGATGTGGGCATTTTGACGGAAATTTGCTGCCATGGTCTTTCTTCAAAATCAAAACAGGTAAGATTTGTTACAAGTATTAAGTAATATGTAACTACTAGCAAAATACTTGAGTTGGCCTATTTAATATTGTTAGTATTTTGTTCTCATGTTTATTTTATGATAAATAACTTACAAATACATACCACTAAAGCGTAGTCACAAGGAATCGCGGGAAGAGATTAGGTGTTCTAATATTTTTATTCTTATATTTTATTTGAGTACAGTTGGAAATGAAAGCTTCAGAAATAATGTTATATTTGCTGCGTGGACGGTTAGCCCTGAGCGAAGGAACGTGGTGGAGACTTCTGGCCAGCTTGCTGCCTATACTGCCGCTGTTGCATGTGTACGCTGAACATAACACGCCACTCGGTAAGTTATATTCTTTTTCACCTTGGTAGAAAGTTTCATCGCTGATTCTGTAAGGTGAAAAATTGGAAGCCTTCTCTGTCAGAAGTGTACTTCTGATATTAATTTTATCACTTTATTGTCATGTCACAGGAAAAGCTATATGCAAGTCATTGGAAATGGATATAGCGACGTGCATGGGCGTGCCCCTAGCGGAGGTGGTGTCGGGACTGGTGCGTTCGTTGTTGGTGCGCTGCGTGGGCGTGCAGCTGGATGCGGCGCACGCGCTGTGCCGCCTGCTCGGTCAGTCAGGAGGGGGGGGGGGGGGGGGGGGCATAGACGTTTTAGCCGCCTCCCTGGCGGAGGTGGTGGTTTTTATATATTTATCCAAAATTTTAAAATTTACAAACCTGCTTTTGCTATTTATTTAAATGCACTTTCTGCTATTTGATTTGTTTTATTTTCTCGCCAGATGATGACAGATACTTGCCACCAAAAGAAGCTTTACGTGCTGACGTGCTAATAAACGCTCTGAAAAGAGTGCAACCACAAGACTTTAATGTCGACTCTTCGAGTTCGCCATCGAAAAATCCACAGGTTCGGTTTACTTTTTTTCCTATTTTCTGGTAATTAAACAACATTGTCTTAACATTTAGACAACTTCTAGTCTCAACCTATGTATTCTCTTCTTTTTATACAACCCTGGCTGTTCGAGAATAAGAGACGCTGATAGATCAAGGTGGCTAATTTTGTTCAATCTAGCTCCTAAACTCAGGTTTTGCTTAACATCATTATGTAGGAAGGATTTTTTGATAAAATAAAACTCATTGCTGATTTGCTGATGATAGACCACTGGCTGTCTCAGTATCTGACTTCCATAGTTGTGTGCCAAATTTTTGTAAAAAGCTGTTATCTCGTGACAACAAAGTGCATTTTCAGATAACCGGTTTGTTACAAATCTTGGACGTGTTGAAGCAAGATATAATACTGGACGAGCACGGTACAGAATACGTGACTAGAGATTCTGTTCAGCCTACTTTAGAGCCGTCATTACGACGTAGTACGCTTCAACAACTAGCCGTATTGATGAGGCAGCAGGATTGTCACGAGGCGTTCTTACAAAACGACGGCTTAAGGGTTATCGTTGCTGTGTTGAGGTAAGGCTTACTGATTTTTTTACCCGACTGCGCAATGCAAGAGCGCGAAGTGCGACGTGTTTAACAGTCTATATATGTATGTTTATTCCTTTGTGGCACACTAGAGACCAAACGCGTGGACCGATTTTGATGATTTATACATCAATCGATTCGTCTTAATCATGGGAGTGCTACTAAAGATATGATAATAATAAAAAATCAATATGGAGACAACTGGGCGCCATATTGTGAGAAAGAAAAAAAAATAAGTTGCCGAAATATGTCGAGTGGGGTATCATTGTCTAGATAATCGAAAATCATGTTTAGGTTCCTTACACCATTTTTCATTTTATATGATTGTTTAGGATCTACAACGATTTAAAGTTGTATATTAACCACTTGCGCTTTTAATTTCAATCTTACGTTCTCGGATCTTTGTAACTCTTTCACTCAAAAAATACTAAATGAATTTTAATCAAACTAACCAATAATAAAGCTCATACATAATAATAGCATATAGATTATAATTTATGTTGTTATTTGGTGAATTGGCCAAAATATAACAATAAGTGTCACGTGAGACGGAAAAAATCTCCCATCTGCGAGCCAATTTGGCCTGCACTGCAAAAACAATAAAAGTTACATGAATATAATGTATGGTGGAATTCAATCTCTTAAATAGTTCTAAAAAAAAGCCCGTGACACCATATATCTATTTTTAACGTGTAAGCCATTATAGTTAAAATAGTGAATCAAAAATAAAATGTTATTTGAAATAAATTTCCAAAATGCATATTTTGTATAAACAAACTGTTTTTATCAAAACAAATATTTTTATCGCTTTTGATATTTAAAGACGATAAACTTTGCCTTTTGCTCTGTGTAATTTCGACATATTTAATAAGTTACAACGATGGATGTTACGAAAGTGATGGATTTTGGTGTTTATAAACGTAGATAAAACCTAGGAGGAAAAGAAAAAAAATGGGCTACTCACAGTATCTAACCCTATACGATGTACTTACAATAAAACTGTGATAAAGTTCCTTCTTATTAAATGATGAAAAATAAGATATCATAATAGGTATTTACATTTTTTTTAATTTAATGAAAAACTGAGAATGAAACGGTTTTCAAAGTTTATTTGAACGATATTACTTCATATTATTCTGCAAATAATTCTGCAAAATTCGAAGCAAATAATATAAAGTTTTATAGGTAAATCACCCCTCCCATCACCCTACCCCTATAGATATTTCGATAATGTAGCTTAGAACCAAGGCCCCATCTATTTCTATAGGGAAATTCATCATAATCGATTTAGCTATTAGGGCGCGGAATCGTAACAAACAAACTCACTTTCGCATCTATAACAAGTGATCCGCTCCGACATTGCATGAGCGAAATTTATTTAAACGGGATATATAGCTTATGTCACTCGAATATAATGTAGATATAAAGAAAATAAATACTTTAAAAAATCCTCTCGGAAAAGTTGTTTGAATTTTTCAAGTAAAAGTTTTTTTAGTTTTATAAATCGAGCAGATTAATCAAATTATTGAGATTAATGCTTAATATATTAAATAATGTAGCTGGCTACCTTATGGTGAATGAATTTTCGAAATCGGATCAGGTTTGAGAGATTATTTGTTACACACACACAACTCTTGCCTCTTTATAATACCTACCTATTAGTATAGATAGTTAGGATAATAATATTTAAAGGATATGGACTGCATTTGTGTATATCACAAGATTTGCATACAGCCACTGCCAATTTTATTTAAATAAAAGTAAATGATTTTTTTATTTACTACTAAACAGAACATTAACAGTCGGGACCCATTATTGAAAACAAATTGATCCTTCCTTGAATATCTAATGGGTCCCGACTGTTGAAGAACCTTTGTTCCTTACTTAACAGAATTATAGACTACTGTACTTGTATTTTTCTTTTCAGTTTTTATTTGAAGTAATATTTAAGCAGTCGGGTTTTTGATTTTTTAAATTTACCTTTTTTTATATATTTCTTGGCTTATTATCTTGTTTTGATCGTTATTGGTGATTACAGTAGCTATTTTAAAAAGTCTATATGTTGCTGCCCGGTCGTATAATTTGCCACATCATTAAATTGTTAGGCTATCATGAAAAGTTGCCATATAATTATTGCACTGCCGTGAGGGGACACTTGCTTGACCATGGTCAAAACATCTTCATAATCTGTCTGTATTACATCATCATCACTTTTGGAGTTCTGAATATCCTTAAAATCAAGCCATAGCAATACCGATAGTCGGTAGGCCCCTAGAAGGACTTTTAGTGTTATTTTAATTACAGGATGTCTTTGATGGTGGACGACTATTTAGCGTATCCGGAGTGTGCCATTAGCTGCGTATCTATACTGAACAGTGTTTGCTTCGTGAGTAGGCATAACTTGGCTAAAATCAACGATCTACCCACATTATTGCTAAGAGGTAAGTTTTTGCACCTTTTTTTTTAAGTATAAATAGTTAATTAAACTGCGAACATGTCGGCGGATTACTTCATCAGTTTATAAGCTTTTAGGATCATAACAAAAAGGTGTAAAATAATGAAAAAACGGAAATGTATGTTGTTCTAGCAACGTTATTAAATATCCTAGATTCACCAACACGAACAAAATCGTGCCCGAAACCTGTCCAAAAGGTACATTGGACGATCCACGGAGCTCCGTAAGATGATCGCGTAGTCAAAAACAATATAAGGCGTTATATAAACATTGAAATTCACCTTTAATGCGAACTGTATAAGGTCTTAATTATAACACGTGCGTCAAAGAGTAACGACAGTTTGAAATGCAAGCTCGTAAAACTACGACTTATTGCAATATGCGGAAGAATATAGACCTTATTTCTTTGATTCTACACGCAATTCTGAATGCATTCATAGCAATATAGCAGGTACGGACCGCGAGGAAAAGAGACTGCTATATTACCGAGCATGCATTTGAATATCTTAAATATTTTCTATTAAATCAGTTTATAGTAAGTATTAGAACAAATTTTCTTTAAATGCGTTTAATTAACAAATATTGATTGTCGAAAAACGACACTTTACATAGTATAAGTTTTTTTTTTCGCATTTTTTCACGGAGCTCTACGGCAATTTGACTTTCAACGGTCCGCGCGTGACTGCGAACTAAGAGGTGCTTGTGTGGTGTTCAAGCACTTCTTGATTGGGATATATTTTGAACGCACGTGGTGTATCTAGTGTATTTAATATCGTTGTGTTCTAGTCGTTTCGTAAGTATTGACTTCCATAGGAGTTTGAGAGTATTCTCTTGTCATTGTTTAAATAAGAAACCATAAAACCATTCGAGCTCAGGTGCAAGGAAGAATATTAGCAGCTCCGTCTATCGTATCGTCATCTAGTTAGTTCTTACGTCCAGTAGGGGTTAGTTTTCATATAAATATTGACGATGCGATACGATTACGGAGCTGTCAAAATTTGTTCTTGGGCCTCTGTTCTTGAGTGATGCTGTTGATACAATGAGTTTTTATTTTAATTTTACAGTCATATTAGTATTTCCGGCTAACGATTCAGCAGTTTTGATGTCAGCACAAGTGCTGGCTTTAACCGCTTGGTCTGGATTCGTCCTCCAAGAGTTGGATTCTGATAGGAAGCGCGTGCCAGCTTTACCTCACTGTGTTACCTTGCGAATTTCGTTACCTTTCATCGCTAACAGCTATTGGCGTAGTAGCCCTAATGCCGAACATTCTTCGATTGGTAAGTTTACTTTTATTTAAAAAATATGCAGAAAATTATCCCACCCTGGTTTTGTTATTTTTCGTACTCTTAATTTTTTTAAGAAATAAGTAATAGAACTAAATACGTAAACCCTTTTTGTAAAATAAATCTTATAAGAATATTAAAATTTTATGTACGTTATTATACTGCTATGAGGCTATAGTTAAAAGTTACAGACCTCCAACTTTTTGTATTGGCAATACAGTATAGTTCAAACTTCATGGAGGCTGTGAAGTTAGCGCATGTTGTGCCGCTGTAAAGGAAACGTAGCGTGATTAAGGTGTAAATCTGCACATTGGTGCGCTCGCTGCTTACTTCAGAACTGCCAAAAAGTTTGTAACGCACTATCACTGCTGTGCTTCAGGTTTTAAATTAAAAACAAAGTCCCGGTTTGCTTAACTTAGAATGGCTAGCGAGCAGTGACGAGTGGCGGGCAAGTCTCCGCGTGCGCTGGTGGTGCGCTTACGAATCCTTCGAGAGAGTGTTAAAGGGGGCGCCCCCTCCCCCCGCACCTCTCTCCCTGCAGCCGACCAAGCACGACCGCGTGTTATTGAGAGCCGCCTGCCCTCAACACTCGGCAGCCAGTGCACTGCTGGCCTTGGAGAACGCCACTTCGCACTCGCAAGTCATCGAAGCGTTATGCCTGTTGGAAAGGTAACTATCTCCCTGCAGCCGACCAATGACGACCACGCGTGATTGAGAGTCGCCTGCTCTCAACATTCAGCGGCTAGTGCACTGCTAATCTTGGATAATGCCACATCGTACGCAACGCTGTGCTTGTTGGAAAGGTATACATAGTAGCCGCTTGCAGGAATACTAGTGGGTATTGAAAGGAATTTCTTGAAATTACCTCTATCTAACAGTGAACTCACGACTCATCATAAGTCCTAACATACTACATACATAAAAATACCATTAAATGTCTGGGCTTATCACGGGCGCTTACATTATGGTCCTTCGAGCCGGATCTTTTCGGAGATGGCTTGTTATTTTTGTAGAAATGCCGTTATTATCTGTAACTGTACTTTTTTGACTGTTCTGTGCTGGCATGCCCGTGATCTCACAGAGATATATTCCCAATTCCTTCATAATAGGCTTGTGTCCACTAACAATAAATCGGATGGCTAACAGTTTCTAAATATGAATTACGATATACAGATAACGAAAAATAAAGCTATTTATAACAATTAAAGATTATTATTATTTTTATGAAATAAATTAGGTAATAATAGGCATAAGGTCACGTGATAGTAAACAACAATCAGAAAGACTGACGTCACTCCGTGCAAAACATTACTTGTGGTTAAAGTTTTCATAGATTTTATTGATTTTTCATGTGATTGTTACTTTGATACACTTTATCAGTTTGTTCTTAGATAATTATTGTAAGAAAGCCTAATATGTATAGCCATCGGGAATTACCAAAGCATACATAATAATAGTTTACCCAAAATAAAAAACAAACCTTAATATGATACTTGGTATTATTAGCATATTATTAGGCAACTAGAAGTAATACAAATAAATATACTTAACTCTCAAATTGACTTTAAGTCATGCCATAAAACAAAATTTACTTACCTAACCTCAACCTATTGTCATTGTTTTATCAATTTAATTTATCCAGCTTGTGTAACATTTAGATTACCTAGATTATGCTATGCTAAATACTTACATCAAAAAGATCTTCACAAAAATACATTATTTTATTTGTTGATAAACAATGAATACCATCCCTCCTTGCAAGTTCTAGCCATTTTTACTGCTTTTGTAAGTTGTTTAAAAGGTATATAAATAATTTGTCTGGCGTTTTATGCTTGTACTTTTACACTGGGGCACTATACAGTACTTGAAATACGATGGATTAATTTTTAATGAAATAATTCTATTAGTCAACGTACAGCATACTGTTTGTTTTGCACGGCGTGACGTCATTCAAGACGCCATGACAGTCATGAGCGCTTTAGAGGGAAAATTAATATTTTTGTTAAAATTCAAAATACATATTGTTAATGTATTATTTTATTTAAAATTATATTTTTTGGGGTAAAATAAACATCAACGTATATGATTAACCACTTTTTAAAATTTAGGCAACTAGCCTATTGTCTGGAGAGACCGGCATGTGTGAGGCCAGTCAATCGATTCACTATTTACCACAAATCACAAACACAAAATTGTTCTAAGGATCGAAATGTAAAGGCTTCTTTTATAAAATTATATGCCATAATAACCTACCTTGAAATTGGATCGCTTTTATTATGCTACAATGTATTAAATGTATTTACTAATAAGTGCAATTTAGATACATATTCATGAGCTTCGCGACTCCTTGACGCTTACTTAGCGGTGTAAGTCGTATTTAAAAGTTTTTTTATGTTAATTTTAGTTATTTTATTTTAAGTTTCTATGTTGTTTCTTATTTAATCTATGTTGTGTTACTGTGTGTTAGCTTACGTGTTTTTAAATACAAATGCTAGTTACGTCCACCTGTTGCCCCTCTCGACTGCGGGCGGGGAGTTTGCCGCGTTGCCATGGCAACACATGAAGCGATTTCTGCGCGCACCGCCAGCTTCGTCGCGCGATACTGCGCTACTTATAGCGCTGATGCACTTCATAATAGTGTACATGGACTGTACACCTTGTACTGGTAAGTAAAATAATTTACGTCAGCATTCAGAGACGTTAAACTAAATTAATGCTTGTCAAAGTCACGTGTTTTCTCATTTTATTGCTTTCACAAGGAAAAGCCACTTCATGAACTTGAACAAATTTAAAAATTTAAGTTTCAGGATGCGGTCTTCATAAATTTCGAGATTGTCAATTATCTAATTATATTTTGCACTTTAATGTAATATAGCAAAATATAAGTTCTTATAAATTTCTTAGTAAATATTGGTGAAAGAAAAGCGTTTTAAATTGCGAGCCCCCTATAAAAATTGGCGATGATGTTTTGCTACATATTAGACCGGAATAAAATATTGTTAATATTTATATGTATTATAAGAAAGTAATTTTGTACTCAGATGGCATCGCAACGTGGATAAAGTCGTCATTCATAGATGGTGACATGACTGTTATAGCGCTATTGAGTCGGGACCAGCTTTTGCCACAACAAACCGCGCAGGAGAGCATTGAAGTGACGCAGCTTCACATCCATATAGTAAAAGTGATACAACGTTGTGTCAAGAGATTGCAACATGAAGATTATGATACTGGCAAATTGGAGAGCTTATTGAAAATCATGCTATCCTGTTTGGAGAGAATAGACTTGAAGAATTTTCACGCTTTAGGTATTTAATATAAAAGTGTGGCGATTGTCTTATTAATATGCTTGCGAGATACCAGGGCTAGAATGGCGACATTGCAATTCATCTGCATGCGAGTGGGTCATTTGTTGGTCTTTGGTTCTTGGAGATTTTTTAAATATATTTTTATCAGATAGGACAACGGCTGTAGCGACAGCTTGTATCAGTATGAAATATACATAACTGTAAAATATTAATAAAAATAAATAAAAAATATATTGCTATCTATATATGGGAGGAGCATAGATTTTCGGAAGTTTCGATTCGTTTAAATCGCTACGATAAAGTTTCGTTATTTTTATTATGTGCATTGTGCAGTGGTGGTCGTATAATTATAAACACTACCAACGGACCTTGACATTATGTAAGATACTTCACCGCAATCGTTTTTATTTTGAAATGAAACAATAAATAGGACAACATTATGTTAACATGTTAACCAATTTATTATTTATTAGAAAAACAATATAAATCCCTTTACACAGTGTAAGTGCAGTTTCAATATTACATATTACAGTTTTAAGATATGATATATAGTTAGAAACAACAACGAAAAAGTATAAAACATTTTTTTTAAGTATTAGTCATAGTTAATCAGGATCAGCAGAATATAAAAATCATTCAGTAACAAGGTTGAATAGGTTTTTTCTGTAGAGTGATTAGATGAAGTAAGAATACGCGAAATAAAATTTTACAGTAATAAAAAATACGGTTTTGATCGAAGTATTTGCTAATGACAAAATAAATACTTGCATTACAAAGCTAATGTTCATTGTGTCAGTGTTTTTGTAGTAGTAATAATTATGATAGATAATCGTGTACATTTAAAGTACAATACATTATATAAAAAGTAGATTACGATTTAAACCACAAAATAAATATATTCAACTAAAATATTTAATTTAAACTACATGGTCACTAACATTATGGTAATGAGTGGGATTGCTACCAGTACCTTATTTTTTGTGAGTCCCCGATATTCATATTAGTAACATACTTATTATGGCACCTGAAACAGTGGCGAAATATCTAAATTTGGTAGCTATCCCGCTAATGACTATTTAGTATGATATATTTTTGTTTAGCAACCCTACTATCACGTGAGATTTGGGATGGTTAAAAAAAAACGCTTGGATAAAATTAAAAAGCTTTAATTTTAATATTTTCACGCAGGTTATCTCAATGAGTTGATGCTTTGCATCAGAAACGTTTTACACTCCCGTTACTGCAAACTGTCGGAAGATACCTTTGTATTCGCAATGCGTGTAGTTACGAATACGCTAAGTGGTTGCGCCTCCGGAGCAGGGCGTAAAGGGCAAGCCTGTAGACTTGATGCCATCCTGTCACTTCTGGCGATACTGAGGCAAGCACATGGGGAAAAAATACCGGTGCAGGTGATGACACTCATCTTTTATGAATTATATAATTAAACTATGTATTTCTAGGTAGATAAAAGGTGTGTTTATTCTATTTTATTAGTCCATTAAGTACTCACTTTATATAATGGTCCTGTTTACCTTTTTGGACAGTCAATAATTCTTTTTAAACACTAATTGTATAATAGTGTTTAAAAGCGATAACTAAACGAACATAGACAAGGAAGCCTGCGCAGTAGCAATATTGCATACAACATCATTTACTGCGCAAGTTTATTTGTCTGTTATTTTGCTAAAGATGTTAGTCACGACCTATAGGTAACTCGACAATATCTTTTAAAGCTTGGTTTAAAAGCGGAAACCTTTCATTTGATATATCGTCAACCATGTTATTTTTTTTTCTTAGAGATGGTCAGAGCTGTGGCATAGTGACGTAGTTTTAGCGGTGTTTGCCAGCAGTCGGGGCCATTGTGCCGAATTGCGTGCGGCTTCTCTGAGCACTATTGCAACCCTAGCTCACTACCCGCAGTTACTACCCCATCTACTGCAAGGTGAGTGAGATGACGATATTCAGTAATTTTAAGTAAACATATACACATCATACCTAGATGGATAAGAGTTAGTAACGCATTGTTTTGTCTCTATTCATCGCAGTACAAATGTCCCTTTTCAGAATCCGAATCAGAAATAATTGTTTATTCAAACTTTACATGCACTCATTGATGTCATCCATATACATTTGAAACAAAAATATAACTTTAGAAATAATAATAAATAAACAATATATCTATATTGGAATGACGTGGTCACGTGAATAGAACAATGGGTAATTAGAATCAAGTTAATTCGTCTTTATTGATAAGGTGCTACAATTTCAAAATATTTAACTTAGCAAAAACAGGTACGGCATTGAGATTTTTTAGCTCGAATTGTATGTAGGAGCAACATTTTTTTAGAGATATATCTATAATTATGTTGTAAACTGCAACCTCTTATCTGCAACGGCCGCTACATTACATAAGGGATCAAGCAAGATATTGGTGATATATTTATAATAAATTTTAAAAATTCATTGACGTTTCGGAGTGCTGCCGCCGTAAAACTATAGATGGCAAAAAGTGGCCCGCCCTCGCTTCGCTTCGGTGAAGAGCTGTAGTGTATACTATAATTTTTGTTCTCAGGCTTGTATTATACCAATGAATTTCTTTTTATAATCAATATAATAAATAAATATAATAAATCAATTATCTTATTCTCCACTACGTTTTTTGCTTTAATAAAGTAAGCAAAGACATATCTTCAAAAAATATCTATGAGTTATAGCACATACTTGTTACCTTGAATGGATGTTGTGGACATAGGACCTCCCAAGTAGCAATGTATCAATTCCAAAATTTAAGTGCTAGTTTGCCTTCTATATGTGCCACATAAAGTTCCTTATTCACGTCTCCATAGGCAACACCTATAACAATAACATTTACTCATACCTATACGGCACAAATGACCTAAACGTTTATACCATAATTTAATACGTTTTCGTTGGTTTTCTTTTTATGTGGACAATCTGGGCATTTGTGACCGGGTAGGTTACAACCATAACATATAACGGAGTGACTTTTTGATTTGGGGCTAGGTTTCTTGTTATATCCAGCTTGCAAAGCAGTACCTGATTTGTTTGCAGCAACGCTTTTTGTAAATTCGTTCATAAGTTTGGTCTTAATCATTCATGTGGTTTTATTCATACCTGGGACACTCGGAAAGATTTGAGAAAGTAAAAAACTAACACCTATGAATAAAATATTTTTATTAAATCTTTTCAAAGAACTCTCCACCAGTCTCTCTAACAAAGTTTCATGCGTCTGAACCAATTTTCCAAACACTTATTTTCCAGTCCTCCGCAGACACCTCTTCCACTGCCTTCTCAAACGCTGCTAGCGCTCCTTCCTTCGATGAAAACCGTATCCCTTTGAGCTGATTTTTTATATTAGGGAATAAAAAGAAGTCACACGGAGCCAAATTAGGACTGTAAGGAGAGTGTCCCAAGACTCTGACTGGTGTGGAGTCCAGGAAGTCCTTCGTTTTGATCGCAGAGTGCGCGGGCGCTTTGTCATAGTGAAGAAGGACCGGCGGGGCCCGGTGTTAGGTCGCTTGTTATACTCATTGCAGAAAAAACTTCTGGCAGGCATTTTGTGCTATACCATTCGGCGTTGATGCTGCTGCGCTCCTCGATCGCTTCACTTTAGTAGGCGTTGGTTCATTTTGAAACAGCCAAACTGTCGAATGACGCTTTTTTTTCTGGATCGTATTGATAAATCCAGGATTAGTCACCTGTCACAATATCGTAAACGCGCCGTGATGAACCTGCATCAAATTCTTGTATCATATCACTGCACCAATCCACATGGGCCTGCTTCTGAGGTTCGATAAGGTTGTGCGGCACCCAGCGGGAAACTATCTTCCTTACGCAAAGGTGCTCGTGCAAAATCTTGTGAACACTTCCTGAACCAATCTGCAGAGTATGCTGAATCTCTACGTACGTAATTCGTCTGTTTTCTTGAATTATTTTTTTTACTGCCAGCACACTTTCTTCGGTGACGGCCGTCGTAGGACGACCACTCCTTTGTTCATCCCCCAAAGTAAGATGACCGCGTCAGAACTCGCTACACCAGCGGTAGATGGTTGCTTTTGAAGGTCTTTCATCCATAAAAGCAGTTCGAAGTAGATCATCAGGTTTTAAACCACATTTAAAATCGTAAAAAATCATAGCACGAAAATGTTCTCGATGCAGATCCATTTTTGATTAGACAAGAATAATTTAATTAGCTCTCGAAAAAATGCGAAATTAAAGGACATTCGGCAAAAATGTGTGGACGCTGCATCCACATCCGCCACGGCTTAAACTACATTTCTTTGAAAGGTATAATAGTCATGATCATCTGTGCCAAAGCGCATCAAATTCCATCCCGGGGGTCTTTAGTTTTTTTTAACCTACATCAGCTCAGGTATTATGGGAGTACTTCACAGGGTGCAAGGGTGCCCCCTTATGTTATTCTGCCGCGCTAGAGTAAATCCAAAAATCCCCGTATGGGTTGGGGGTTTTTCAAACATTCTGTTCGTTATAGTAAATTGTCTTCTATGTAAAACGGAGCGACCAGAAATCACACAAACTTGTCCACGCTTCGGAGAAAACATGATTCCAGTTCATCCATACTAATTGACAGAACCAATAATCGTGTTTAGGGTTGCAACGATATATCGGAATATCGATAATATCGAGACCAAAATATCGATATTTATATCGATATTTAAAATTCACTGATATCGATAATATCGATATCGGAAATTCCAAAATATCGATATTTCGTAGACTAAATATGAACACAATAATATTAATTAATTTACCTGCTATGTCTATCTACATTGAATAATATCGACATAACTATTGCTTTGAAATCGCAAGAGCTTATATATGTATTAAAAAAATCTTGAACCCCAAGAAATATACTAAACTGGTGTGGATTCTGGCATGATTCTCTAAACCTAAAATTAAATTTGACAACAGTGTATCCTTGTCATTCTCTATAAGAATGAAAAGGAGAGACTGATGTTAAATTTAGTTTTAAGTTTAGATAAATAGCCAGAATCGACACCAACGTATATAGGTATAATCGTATACCTAATGGTAACTCATGCACTTAAATAAAATCCTTGCCTCTCTTTCTAGATAATTGTCAACTACTGATTAATTGAAATTTAATATCATTGAAATGTAACACAAAATAAAATTAAGAATCTTATACAAATCGTAAATTTTTTAAGCTCGCCAAGTCAAGAAAGTAAGATAGGTGAAGACATGGGCTGCTCCTGATGTGTGGGTTTTACTAATACATAACAATTGTTTTTCATATGATTATCTATTCTGATTTTGGCTGCGTGCAAACATTTTAAACAAAATAAATATCTTTGATTTGAAATAGCTTTTGATTTGATACTTCTTACAGCGTTATAAAAATATAGAAATGTCGGATATCGATATTTACCTGCCCACATTATAAATATCGATATTTCGGAAACATTTGCTTCCTCTATTATAGGTTTTGGCTTTACAAACTAAATTCAAAGCAAAAAAAAGAAAAAAATATCTATATATCGATAATATCGAGTTAAAATGGTCGATATATCGGATATCGATATTTTCCTGACTTCGATATAAATATCGATATAAATATCGATATTTCAAAAGACTTTGCATCCCTAATCGTGTTCCAATGTCCAAAACGTGTTATATAAAAATCAATCAAGTACAGGGAACGCACTATCACAACGAAGTAAGACGAGTCCACTATTTGCAACTGCAAGTGAAGGACTTGCTGAGATCGTCAGTAAGTGTAAGCGTAGTATGGTCGGCAGGCTTTGTCGTATATTTGGTTGTATAGTACGATATATTATTATGATTATTACTTATATAAAATGAAAGTACTATAAAATGATTTTATTTAGCTACTTAAATATGCCCATGTCATATCTTTTGACTACCAGGATATTTTTTTACGGTGTCATAATAAAAAAGAGTAGTTTTTCATAGATCTATCGATTCATACTAATTACATTGTTGGCGGAGCTGGGTGTGTTTTGCCCATTGTCTTTTGAAAATCGAACATTGGTCGAAAGGAAAAAAATACTTTTAAATAATCGAAGTTTTCAAAATAATTACATGTGGCCTGTATCTTATACATAAAAACTTTTTTGCGCTAAATAATTGAGTGGCCTGTGTATTCCAAAGCTATAACCAACGGATCATAACTTGAAGTTAAGAGAACAGCTGCTATGCTAGCATCGTCCGAACACAACCACTTAAAAAATACTAGCAAACCAGTGAACCAAATGTTCACCAAAACCTAAAAAAAAAAGTATTTAATTAATTGAGAACTTCGGAGATTTTGTGTGGTTTCGTTTGAAATTCGTGATTTCTCGAAAACCGGAAGTGCTACGTTACTCAAATCCGGTTTGTAGTCTTATCAGACTATTCTTCACTTATAACTTAAATATTCTCTTTATCTATCTCTTACGGTTTGGCCGCTGAAATAGCACCACAGACGGACGGACGGACTTGTCTAATAGATAAGAGATAATTATTCAGAGCTGCTCGTGCTGATAACGTGTTAGAATATTTATTCGAAGATGACAAAAGTGATATAGATAATGTGTCAATAAGAATAATATTTTTTTTACATGTAGATTACCTACTGCCAGTATACTACAGCAAATAGGTAATTAATAATGTATTTTCATTAAAATAAATTTTGATATTTAGCCACTGTAGAATCGTCTTTGGCACAATATGCGGCGCAGATATTCGCTGAAACACGAGAAGCTAACGTCGTCCGAGCGGCCGCAGCGGATCTACTGACCGCCGTCGCTGCGCGGGCGTCACCACACTGCGATGTGAGTACATTTATCATCAAACATATAGACAGACTTGATAAGTTAGGTTCAAACTACTGGATTTTCTATTGTTGCTAATAAAATTTTTATATTAAAAACTCAACATAGACAAGCACATGGCCCGCCGGATGGTAAGCGGCCAACCATAGCATATAGAAGCTTGCAATACAAAAAAAAAACACTCGCGCCGTTACCTAAGCTAACCTTATCATTACTACGCTTTAGCCTAATCAATACTTTCGTACTGCCTGATAGCATGGGGTGGTGCAAATAAAACCAATATGATGACGGTTGAAAGAGCACAGAGAATTTTGCTGAAAGTTATGACATACAAAGCCATATCGTTACCCAACGCGAGTGTTGTACACAAAATGTGATGTGCTCACAGTAAGACCATTATTTATTTTACAAACAATTTTTGAACAACATAAAAAACTTACTGAATCCCGCCACAAAGTGTAACAAGCAGAAATAACAGATTTTTTCCCCAATTAAATTTATTAGAAGATTCCCGTGTTTCGTTAGGAGATTCCCGTGTTTTATCGGCTCATATTTATACAACAAAATTAATAAAATTATTAACATTTGTTCTCTTAACCATCACCTTTGTTAACAAAAAATGATTAATTGGCTAAAGTCTCAACCATACGCTGGAATTGAAAATCTCTTCAAAATACCTATACGAAGTATTATTTTTTTAAACTCATATCCAATTTGCACTTCCTTTTTTGTAAACAGTGTTTTGTCTGTAACTAAAATAATGGACGTACTTTTAAGTTCAACCAAATAAAATACTCACAAAATAACACACCCGCCCGCACCCATTCTCACATACATACATACACAAAGTACAAATCCCACGCAATCCCGAGCGAGAGTTCATTGAGTCAAGTGATAATTTTTTTCACAGGCACTTACTAGCTTAATACTTATCAGTTATCACATTAAAATCACACATTTCGATGTGAAAGTTTGAGTAGGTAGATGTATAATTGTTATTATTTATAGCTGGAAATATTATTGTAAAAGTATTTTTTATCACTTAAGTTAATTGTATCATTAATTACTACCTATATTTATACAAGTAAATACAGTAGCTCCTGCTAAACGCAAAATTACAAAAAAAAAGGTAAATACAGTATGTCCTTGATAAATACAGACAAAAAATTATTACTCAATAAACCAAACCTACTCACGCTTTCTATAAGTAATGCATGTATTCTAACTTAAGTCATTAGGAGGGAACTAGTGCCTATATTACAGGCTCGGCCTAGTTTAGGAACTAGTATATTGTATACTATCCTTAAATCAAGTTATAAGAACGTAGGTAATTACATATTAATTTGTTAAAATATTTAAGTTCGAAGTTTCTGTGGTTCTTGTATCTCATCCTAATTAAAAGAAGATTTATAAAGGCCCGGGCCACATAGTACGCACTTGGCTAGCTAGTGTTTTAATCTCGAAGGGTAAGAGAACACTGGGATTTATTATAGCCATTTCATCGTCGGTTTATCGTTAACATACATACATACCATATAATTGGATACGAAGTGCGTTGTGAATAATTTATAGTCTTGTTGTAATGATGTTCTGATTGATTACGGGCCACCAATGAGATGGTTGTTTTACTATCGGTAAAATAATGTATAACGTACGGCAGAAAACACAACTTTTAAGTATGTATATTAATGACATGATCTCATTATCAAACAGTAAATATATGACTTAAAACTGTATGTTGTGTGAAGTGAATTAGATTTTTTAAATAGTTTGCAATAATATTCTTTTAAAATCCATTAACCACTTATAATCCTTTGCGGCATTTGCAAAATATCATGATTTAGTGAATCAGGAGATAGGACTCAAAAATACTCATGGTTGAATGTTATTTAAAATTATAATAAAACAAATTATTTATGCCACGGATGTTTTTGCTTCGTGATTTACACTAAAGAAAGAATTACATCATACATAAGGTTATTAAATATTAACTTATAGTGAATTATAATTAAATTCGATTTTATCTTTTTTCATGCTATTATGGATTTACAGATTGGATTTCTGAGACAATTTTTATGTCACGTCTATAAAAGTGATAAGATATTTTTTTCATTGATATTATATGGTTATCAAGAAATCATAAAGGAAATTTAAATGCATTTTGCTATTGTGATGATTTTGACATGACAATTATACCTATTTTTTTAATTCAAGCATTTAACTAGATTTAACAACCTTGATGTTTAAATCTAAAGAAACTTGAAGACGGGATCCTGTCTGAAACCCGTGATGAACTCGTAACAAAAAATATAGGTTTTGGTTACGATCTCATCACAAAGAAAGAGGTTTACGTCAGTAGTTAAGAATGATTTATATAAGTAGGACTTTTAAGGAACTGTTTTTATAATTCTCAGTTTTTTTTTACCAAATTTATTGTCTGATTGTCGAATGGCGTGTCCTGTAATAATTATGTGCTGCTACTTTTGTACATCCTTTTCACGTCACGGTGTTCTCTGTAGTAAATTGAATGCAGAATGCGTTGCCATAAACTTATTCTGAATACAATGGGTGCCATAAAATACTAAGTGCGAGTGAGTATATTCGAGTCACAGGCGTGGTGGTACGTCAACAAGCGCGGCCTTGAGTGAGCTAGTAGTGGTCCGAGTTTATCTCCGCGCTCACGCTCACAGGCGATACATATCAATTGGTGGGTGACTGTCGCCGCGTCCATAGGCGCCGCTTTCGCGCCACTCAGTACCCCGCCCGCTGCGACCGCGTGCCTATCGATTGTTTACACACAAAGAAAACCAATATGAACGCATAACCGGCGTTTCGATCAACAAGTTATTGTGCTCAATAACATTCAGTGAACTCAGCAGAAATGTTTTTCAGTGTAACGTTACTCCTTTTGATGATCATAACGTTTTTAACGTTTACGTTAGCTGTTTTCCACTTTACTACAAAAGGCAGGAAATATTGGCAATTGAAGAATGTACCGTATAAAGAGCCGTGTCCGATATTTGGAAATTTCGGCCCAATTTTCACGATGCGAAAAAGTTACGCTAGCATGTTGAACTACTTTTATGACAAATATCGGAATGAGAAATATGTGGGTATTTTTCAAGCACGCAGGCCAACACTCATGGTTATCGATATGGATTTGGTAAAAAGTGTATTTTCGACAGAATTTTCGAATTTCAGTGATCGCGTTTCCGCAGTTACAGATACACAGCGTGAACCATTACTCAGAAATTTGGCTAACATGAGTGGAGCAGAATGGAAAGCCATGCGACATATCGTCTCTCCTACTTTTTCGTCTGCTAAAATGAAAGCAATGTTTCCACTTATAGCAGATTGTGCACACACCATGAAGAAAATTCTTCTAGAAGAGGCTTCAGCAGAAGTTGATATTCCCAAACTTATGTGTAGATACACCACTGATGTCATCGGCAGTTGTGCTTTTGGGGTAGATCCCGGATCCTTAAAAAATCCTGATTCACCATTTCTAAAGATGTCATCGAAAATGTTCAAGCCTGATAGATCTACAATTTTAAAACGTTACTGTAGAGTGTTCTTTCCTAGATTGTTTAAGCTGTTGAATCTCAGGAGCTATTCACCAGATGTAGAAATGTTTTTCACCTCTATCATCAAACAAGTGTTATCAGAAAGGCGAAATACTGAAATGGTGCGACATGACTTCCTGCAATTGATGTTAAACGTGCAAAACAATGATTCTACGTTTGTTATGACGGATGAACTAATAACATCCAATTCATTTATATTTATGCTCGCTGGTCTGGAGACATCTTCGACTACGTTGTCGTTTTGTCTTTACGAACTAGCTAAGGACAAAGATGTACAAGATAGGGTTAGAAAAGAGATAATGCAATACTTGACAAGTTATGGTGCACTCAATTACGATTCCGTTAGCGTTATGCGATTCACCACACAGGCAGTAATTGAAACATTGCGACTGCATCCTCCCACTCCAATGACTACGAGGCTTTGTACATCACCTTGTACACTCACGGGGACAGATTTGAAGTTAAAAGTAAAAGATCCGGTATTGATACCCATAATATGTATACAGAACGATTCGAAATATTTTTCCAATCCAAATAAATTTGATCCAGAAAGATTCGATGATGACCTAAGTCCACCAGGTTTCTTTGCATTCGGTGATGGACCCAGAAGTTGTCCTGGTAAGTATAATGTTATTAATCATAATGTATCTTATATCAGTCGAATAAAACAAAATGTTGACGTTTCAAAATATGCAGTGCTTTGTTTTTTTCGCCTTAACCATTGTAATGTTAATTTTTAAAGTGATCTAAATACAAAACATTGACTGATGTTATGTAAACATTATTCAGTATCGCAATCTTGATTTTGATTTCGAGCAATAAATGATCGTCACAAATGAATACAGTGAATTTTTTCAAACATTCATTTTACTTTTTCCTTTTAGGTGAACGTTTCGCCCAACTGATAGTGGTAGCTGGATTAGCGACAATATTGAGCAACTTCTCCGTAGAGCCGTGTGCTCGCACCACACCTACTATCCAATACGACTCGCGCAGTGTGATGTTAAAGAACAAAGGAGGAATATGGCTCAGATTCAAACCTTTATAGAGTGTGGAATATATATTATATGTAACAGCTTTAACTCTATGAATCTACGTGTGATTGTATGTTTTTTTAAATTCTGTTATAGTCAAGTCACTTAGTTGCAGCATGTTTAAATTATTATCGGCGTTCTTATTTTTTTATAGAATATGAACCCTTTTTATATACCTAAAGGTAATTTATCAGGTGCTATTATTTTGTACTTAAGATTAAGTGGTCGATATTATTTTATTATCTTCCATTAATAGAAATCAACGTCATTGTATGAGCGCAAGGTTTGTAGTGTGTATTGTGACCGTAAGGCATGAGTAATTAACTTTCAGTGGTATGTTAATTATGTGTAATATTTTCAAGTATCACTATATCGACCGCCACAACTCCTGTGTCACCGGCCTTTGCTACTTAAGTAATTTATTCGGATATTTGGCCGGCTAAAGTGTATTTATAAATAAGTTATTTATAAATTAGTTATAAATATGTATTATCGGTAATGCATATTATTTGTAAATTGATTCTAATATAATTTTAGGGGCTTAAACAAAGTGGATAAAAGCATATCATAAATGTTTAAGTTATATATTAAAAATGTGAAATTAATCTCAGTGTTTCAACAGTTTTTATTAAAGGTTATGTCCTTTTTTTTATAGATAGTTTAAGTTGATACTATGTGGGTTGTACCATGAAGGTTTCCGTAACAACAATTTTTTTTATTAGTTAATTTTTTTTAAATTAAGTTATGTGTTTTATTTTTGAGTTGATTGAATGAAAGGTAAATTATGGTTTACGATTTATGAAGTATTGAAAAAAAGCTACTTACTAGATCTTGTTCAAACCAATTTTTGGTGGAAGTTTGCATGGTAATGTACATAATACATTATGTTAGTTATCCTTCTCTTATTTTAGAGTTTACAGGGCACACACACACACACACGCACGCATGCACGCACGCACGCACGCACGCACGCACGCACGCTCGCACGCACGCACGCACGCACGCACGCACGCACGCACGCACGCACGCACGCACGCACTCACGCACGCACGCACGCACGCACGCACGCACGCACGCACGCACGCACGCACGCACGCACGCACGCACGCACGCACGCACGCACGCACACACACACACACACACACACACACACACACACACACACACTTTATGACAATGAAGTATGTCCCCCCGTCCCCCCGTCTCTCGCTTTTGAAATACGATATCTACAAAGGATGTTCATGCGCAACGTGCAGCCGTTTCTCGTCTAAAAATACAAGTCCAAACAGGGCGAACTTTCTAAAAAAAACTTTGTTCGAACGCATTGCATAAAAATTTACTGCGTTTTGTGAGCTGAGTCTTTCATCACCTGTTATTTTAAAGTATATCTGGTCACGTCCATATGCCATGTTCACAAACCGGTTCTAAATACCTTTAGGCATTGTCCTAATACAACGCGATAACGCGAATGAGCGATGCGATCATCGTACGAGTCGACGATCAAACATATTGATCTAGAATAGGTGTCCTAATAGGCGATCGCGCGATGCATTCGCGCGACTAAAATGTTTAAATATCTATTCGCGCTAACTTCGTTCGCGCGAACGCGCAATCAAATCTATTAATGATGAATAGGTGTCCTAACTGAAGTTCGCGCGATGATCGCGTCGCGTCGATAGGAAGAGGGGAGAGGGGCAGGGCTAACCCGTTCCGTATTCGCGTTCTATTAGGACACCCAGTTCGCGATCACGCGATGGTCGCATCGTTTAAACGCGCGATGATCGCGTTATCGCGTTGTATTAGGACAATGCCTTAGAGATTCTGTTTCATGAAGATTTATATAGGTAGCACATTTCGATTTTTGGTTACTTTATTGCATAAGACGTTAAAACGCAGGCTACATCTCTAGCACGTAAATAAAAAAACTATATGGCCAAATTTTTTATTTATTTCAAAACCCTTTAAATTCGCATCTCGTGGTAGGTCAGACATCCCTCTGATTCGATCATACGTAAGCGTACAGGTACGGTACCCCTAGCACGAACTATTATCGAATTCGAATAGTTTGCAAATCGAAATGCCAATTTTGTATGGAAACTTGAACAGCAGCGGCACACAGTACGTAACGAGAACTAAAAATCAGTACTCATTTGTCAATGACAATTCGGACTCGCAAACGACACGAATTCGATATTGGTCCGTGCTAGGGGTACGGATCTCGTGATGGTCGTGCGTCTATCGCTGTGAACAACGAAAACATCGATGCTATATACACCCCGGCAAACTAACAGAGGAAGGAAGCCTGCATTTTTACATTCAAAAACTTCTAGTGCGCAGTTAAATTTTTTTATGGCAAAAAGTTTGCGGCTACCAAGGTATAAGTAGCGGTAGCGGCGAGATTCGTCACAGAAATCTAAACCCAGCTTTCAATGGTGTTATTACTTTGTAACGTTTCACTCACAGACGGTTATTCAACGGAAATTGACTTGCAACGAAATTAAAAATTTCATGAAGTGCTGCGTAGTTTGTTAAGAATTGTCTAATAACCTAAAGGCAGCTTCTGCGCAGTCGATGACTCAACCTGACCAAATTCATAACCAGGTAGTTGCGTTCAGTAGTTTTACGTGATTGAGTACAAACATACAAACCTTCATATTTATTATATTAGTAGGATCTTACAATGCACATGCATTCTATTTGTAGGTTTTTTGCGGTTGCTGCTATAATACATTTTATATAGGTAGATAAAATAAGGAAAACAATATTGTTTTCTTTATGGAAAGTCCCATGATGATTATGCATCGATGTCAATATTGCGTAATAAATTTACATTTTCCTGCTTTAGAATTTGTGAGACACTTTATGACAATGAAGTAAGTCTCAATGATGTAGAAAAATATACTTTTAGTGATAAAAGTATATTTTTCCACTGCACATGATGAAATAGGTGTTAAAAAGAATCATGCACCTATATTCTGTAAGTTCATTTTCTATATAGCTTTGTCGTCTTGTCGTATTTTCTCCATAGTCGAGTAGTATATGTGTCCCCGCACACGGGCCACAACCACAAAACGCCGCCACGGGCATATATCCTGTAGTTTTCATAAATTTTATATGGACTTGCCACGTAGCGTGTGGGGACCACTGGCGTTTACTGTGTGCGGCGAGTCCATATAAAATGTATGAAAACTACAGGAAAATTGGCGTTTTGTGGTCGTGGCCGGTACTCGTGTGCCCCGACACTAAGACACAATGTCACAAAATTGATTATACATCGAAGCGAAAGGTAGCTCGCCACTCTGACTCAATTTACCCATGTACCTCAGACAATCTACCATATCGAGAAAATGCCACTACTAGAAAAGATTACAAAAAAAAACAGCACCTATATGTGGTGTTGGTGTTAAAAAGAATCCTGCACCTATATTCTGAAAGTAGTTCTGTATTATTTACACAAACATGACAATTTATATTACATTAAAAAGTTTATCTCTTAGAAAAATCAAATTACATGAATCACATTTAAGCGCACCTAGCGACATCTATTGTAAAAAATGCATTTCCTTCGCAATAAAGCTGCCACCTGGACGTCCTAGTTAGAGATTATTATTATTATTATTATAATACGATATAATAAAATTTAACTATGTTTCGTCCAATATACTGAAAGTCAACAACCTTTCCAATGTTATTGTTATCGTTTTACGCCACGTGTACTGACGTGAGTTTAACATGTTTTATCCATTACAAAAAAGAGTACAACGCCGTTAAAAAAGTTTTCACTTCAAAAAAACACACACACCAATTAGTTTACCCCCAAATTAAGCACTGTAGCTACTATAAAGATTTGTGTTATGGGATACTAGGGTAACGGAAAGAATACATATACTGATACATATTATCGACTTTTAAAGCATGATATACATAACTATTTCATTTTTAGAAAATTCAACATTATGTCTTACGAATCCTGAAGTATTATGAGTACAGTAAAATTCGGAACAATTCCTTTTGAAACATTGTCGGAGAAAACAAGTTAATATTAATCTAATGAAGAAACCGCATAATTGCTACAAAGTAAATAATAGTAGGGTGATTGATCCAAATGCTAGCACTGCACCAAATAATCAGCACTCTGAATAAATAGTAAAATAATAAGGTTTTCACTAATTAATTTGGGTTACCACTTTAAAAAATAAATAAATTGTTGTTTTTGGAATCCTACCCCTGGCAATACCATACTTTCCGACTTCAAAATGGCAATAAAAAATTGTAAAAATACGTTTGTGTCCTGCAGTTCGTCTTATTTTTGCCTGTTCTTAGAGATCGAAGGTAAGTTCACGTATTTAAATATTATATATTAATACTTTTGATTTATCTGATTTCTTAGATAGTTTATGAGGATAGTTTGAAAAGAAAATTTTGAAGTTATAGTGATGTGGTGCTGATATATGGATCTAATATTTTGCGAATTCCAAATTATCAGCACTGGTGCTGATAAATGGAAAATAGTACGTAAATACTTATTCCATATTTTTAATTGTAAACCGTGTTTATTTGATGCATAAAATTCAACTTTTTTCGTATAAGTAGTTTATGCCTTCGGAATACAAATCTTAGCATAGTGCTGAAATAACATTTGCTATTTGTCAGCATAGTGCTGATAATTGGATCAAAAGCATGCTGATAATTTGGTTCTCCAAGCATTTCATCATTTTTCCTTTTTCAGACCCACCTACCATGAAACCAAAGGAAGTAAATAAGTCAAATAAAAGAAAAAAATACTCTTACGAAAATCTATTAAAAGACTTTGATGCATTAGAATAGGGTATGTCCAAAAAACTGGCCTCGAAAACCTTCAATGTACCTAGACGAACTATCCAGTCGCGATTAAGAAAGCCATGCAAAAAGCTACCAGACCCTGATCCAATATTGTCGAACGATGAAGAGGAAGTTTTAGTAAAGTGGGTTTTAGATTAGACTGTCGGAAAGGATTCCCAAAAAAAAGACTGATTTATAATTAAGTGTAGCAAGTTTCTTAAAGACGACAGGAAGAGATAACCTCTTTAAAGATGACATATCTGGTAGAAAATGGTATGACCTTTTTATGTGCCGTCATCCAGAACTCGGCGAACGCATTTCCGAAACTGTAACATCAGTCAGTGCTAATGTATCAGAAGAAGACATCAAAAGGAGGTTCCACAAAATTGAGTTTTATCCTAAGGAAAACAACTACTTTAACATCTACCAGAACCTGTCTCGTGTTTTTAATGGGGACGAATCTAACTTTCAGTTATATCCCAAGAGTGGCAAAGTCATTTCATTACGAGGATAAAGAGACGTGTATGAAGTTGATCACGCTGCAGCCAAAACTGCCTTATAGATAGATATTACACCTCCACTAGTTCTGTTTCCCAATGATATAAAATCATCAGCCCCAAATGAGTGGGGCATTGGTTTAAGCTGTACTGGCTAGATGAAATGTGATTTTTTCTATGATTATATCATGAATGTATTTCATCCATTTTGTTGTGTAGCAACAAAATAAAACTAGATAAGAAGGAAAAAAAAATCAAAAGAACAGTATAGGAATATATATTTACAAGATAAAGTACTATTTACAGATTATTAAAAAAAATATGGAATATGTGTGTAGTGTGAGTTGTGAAGTGGGCGTGGGTCGTCGGCGATCTTCAGGGGCGGCTTGAACGGTAGGTCGTGCTACAGGTAGATGGACGGCGCTCCTTGGAGGCAGAAGCGCTCCTGTGCAGCCGTCTTAGATCTTGGCCTCCCCTGGTGGTTGCTGGCGGCGCTGCTGGTAGTTTGGCCGGCGTATATCGGCCAGAGGCGGGCGTTGAAGAAACGGCAGGAGTCGGTAGAAGGCGGGCTGAAGCAGCTGGAGGCTGGCCGAAGAAGCTGGAGACCAGGCGCAGTCCCACCGATGAGGTTGCGAGAACGTGTATAGTAGTATAGTATTGGAGTTAGGAAGTTGTTTAAAGAGCCAATAGGTGCTAAAAAGCTTTGAGGTCTTTCTTGAGTCCCGGGGCAGTCGGCCCCGGGACAAGGCCTTTTATTAATTTAGAGCTCGGTAGCGAGCTTTCAAAAGTTGAGTAGGCAACTTTTGCCGTAGAATTGAATAAATGATCAGGGAGGCTCGGCCTTTTATAGGTCCGGAACCATTTGAATTTAGACACGGTTCGAATCGAGCCAAAAAGAATCAAAGTAAGTGGTCTGTGGAGGTTGAATAGTCATAGACGTAGTTGGAGAGAGTATCCGTGTCATGGGTAGCCATGGCAACGGATAAAAAACATTAGGTTGTCATAAAATGTCAATAAAATAAATAAATTAAATATAGATAAAATCAAAGCATAATAAGTGAAAACAAGTAAATAACAGAATAAAGAGAAATGCCGGTAAGTGTCCAGCACTCTGGAATAGTGATTTTCAGTACAGAAGAAATTATTATACGTATTTACAAAGTGATGAATAGTGTGTGATATTTTTGAAATTATGTGTTTCCAGGAATAAATGATAAAATATATGATGATGCCTGATGAATATCGATGATGTTATATGATAAAATGTGCGAAATGGAACCTATGATAATCGAAACCATGAGTCGAAACCATATTAAGGTACGTTACAATTTCACACCATACTATTTTTGATGGGCACAAAACACATCTTAGTCTTGAAGTGAGTGAATTGTGCAGCAAGTTGGGACATTATTTTTATTGCTCTAGAGCTAGCCGACACATGTCAGCCTTTAGATCTCTCAAAAATGCATGGAAGGAAAGTAAAATGGAGGAGAGATCACCCTTTGGAGATTCTCAGAAAGTTTTTTTTTTATTTAGAGTTTACCAAGCTCTAACTAAAAAAAAAAAACTAAAGGATATATATACTATAGGAGGTAAAGATACAACAGTGATAAATGCATTCAGGACCATTGGGTTATATCTCTGGTGAAGCCATCAACTACAAAAAATGTCTGGGTAAAGGAAGTAAGCATGATAAAAAAACAAAACAAGACAAATAAAAATTACAAGAAGATTCTAAGACACGTGAAACTTTAGAAAAGATTGTAGGGCAAGAAAAAATTACATTTCTGCAAAGAACGCCGCTTGAGAGTCAAATAGAAACGGAAAGGATTTTAAAGAAGAATTGTTGTTATTTTGATGATCAAACTGATGCGTCCACAATGTCCACATCCCAAGAAGCTGTTATCGAGTTATTCGATATTGATCAATTGGAAATTAATAATAATAGCAGAGATTTTGTAGATGAAATGCAAGCTATGATCTCTGCAACCACTAATGAATCATCTGCTAACAATACTGAAGATTGTCTTGGAAGCGCGCAATTCTTATGTCTTGATAGTCAACAATATTTACTAACTCCAGTAAAATTACAGTACGTATTGGTTACGGAAAAAACGCCTGAACGGAAAGGTGTTAAAAATGTAGAGAGATCATCATTCGTTCTTACTTCAGCTGAATGGCAAAAGACTGAACACCAAATTAAAAACTAAACAACTTAAAGAAGATGAACAGACAACCCGTAAGAAGAACACATTACTGAACAAGACGAAAAAATAACGCGAAAGTAGAACCCGCTACAAATAAAATAAACAAAAAAGCGAAAGAGACAATAGCTACTAAAAAACAAGAGAAAAAAGCGAAAACACAATACAAGAGACAATAGAAAACAAGCTACAAGTGACAAATGAAAACAAAATAAAAGAGATTAAAGCTAACAAAACACAAGAGACATTTATGACACATGATAATAATATAAAATTTTGTTAAGTTTATAAATACAAATAGATATTTTTTTATCCTATTATATTAGTCACATATTAGCCACCTATATTAAAAAAAGTCAATAAAAGAGATTATAGGTACTAAAAATCATTTTTATTTCATATAATTTCAATACCACTATCATAGTGCTGTTAATTGACTCACTCTATGCTATTAATTGGTGGTGATGGTGCTAGTAAATAGTAAGATGGCCATTTTTTACTCTTGCCCATCTAAAAAAATTGGGTAAAGATAAACTTTTTTTTAAATAATCATCTTACTGATTGAATATTGAAACTAGAAAACTCGTCATAACAGGTGAAACAGCATTTTTCAATGTGATAAACGGGCTTAAGTTAGGACTAACTCTTAAAGTGCTGATAATTGGATCAGTCACCCTATGTATACTATTTTAGTAACTGCGCTTGCATGTACATACAAAAGATGCGTTTGTAATACGTCACTAACGACAAGTGCGAAGCACTAGAAATATAAGAGGGCGACTGCACAAGTCATGAGCTTTCCGGTCGTCACTTCAACGTACAAAACTTATGATGCAACTAAAACTCAAAATACCAATCTGTTAAACACGTCATACACACAAATAGGATAAGACTATATTAAAAACGGCTGGGTTGATTGGGTGAAATTTGGCACTCGTATAGTTAAAGCGGCCAGCCGCGACTTGGTCATTTAGTGGATAAAATTGATCTTCCAAAGGTAAATTTTGACTTGATACTTTGTTCCCAGGTCTTGGAGACTCATGTTATAGAGCAGTTGCAGAGTCACAGTGTAGTAGAACACTGCCTTGAAATATTAGTAAGGTTCTGCAAGGAGAGAAGCTATGAGAGTACTTTTGGTAAGATACTCGAGTTACTACTGTTTCAGAGAGTTATTTATTATCATAATCACCATGTTTTGCAGTTAACGAAAACGATTTCGATGTAGTTTGAAAACTACATAGTTACAGCGATTGTTATTGTTGTAATTAAGTTTTAAAGTATTAACAACCATAATGTATTTTTCAAATTCAAACATAACACAAACGAAATCACTCATTTCCCATTTTAAATATTTCATTACTAATCTTATGCCTAGTACACGTGATATTTTATTCTATTACTCCATATTTACTTACATCTAAAAACCTTATTAGAATTACGAATAAGCAGTTATTTTATCTAAGGAAAAAAATCCACTCTGTTCAGGTTCCAGGCTGAATGTGCCTTTCGCTATTCGGTCGGATACTATGATCTTCAGGGACGTGTGGCATTTATTACAAAAATAAAATCAATCAATATTAACTCTGCGCTTGATTGTTCAGGACAAGGCATGATGATAATATAAGTATGAATATACCTACATACACCGTTTTTTTCATATCCAGCAGTAAAGCAGGGGCGTATTTTAAAATGAGAAATAATAAGTCACCCACAAAATTTTTGTTTCGACATGTTAAATTAAACTGCTCTTTTTATAACTAAGCAACGGGATTTCCTAACCATGATTTTTATTTTGAGACTTTACAATAAACACTCATAATTCATAGCTTTCATTGTTTACTCCAAATTATGTAATCGAAGGTGTCTTCATGCATTATCCTATATCGAAAACAATTTATTCAACAAGACGCCTCTTCTCTGTTTTAAAAAGGGAGAAAAAACCAGCCCTTCTGAGTTGCTTACTGCTTCCTTCAATTTAACGAACACCCATAAAGTTTCTGTGACATGTTAAACTAAATAATTAGTACTGAATTTGATATTTTTCAGAGCCGAACGTACCACTATCGGTTCTTGAACGTAGATCGGAGTTAGAAGTGCGTGCTCAGAAGTGCGGAGACGTGCACGTTTCGCCCGCTCCTACTTCTATGCGAGCTCGTCCTCCGCCGACTCCGGCCTTAGTAGCTGCTGTGGCGGATCTCCTTCATAATGTTTGTGGGTTCGCTCGCTTCCCCGTACAACTATGGAACGAGCGAGGCGTCTACCGGCTGTTGTTCAGGTTGAGTAACATTTTTGGAGTAGTGAATGAAATCTATGGTGTCGATTCTGGCATGATTTTCTAAACCTGAACTTAAAATTGACAACAGTGTATCCACTGTACAGAATGACAAGGAGAGACTTATGTTAAATTTAGTTTTAGGTATAGAGAATCATGCTAGAATCGATGCCATTTTATAATTTTATCTGTACAAGAATTGTTAGAAGCTATAGACTATAGAATTTTGGTTGCAGGAATGAATTTAAAACTTTGAAAGACTGTTAATTAATTTATGTGGTGAGTTTTGGAAAACCATTTCTTAGCGCACGCAGGCACATTATGAAAGCTTCATGATAGCTATATGTGAGCTAAAAAATAACAATAACTGTGGTCAATAGTCAAATAAAATTAAATTAAATGTCAATATTAAAAAAAAAGAACGCAAGGAGTTAAAATAAGTGAAGTAATGAGTGAGAAAACAGTCATTACCTACGGCGTTCCGCAGGGAAGTATCCTCGGTCCAACCTTGTTCCTTATTTATATCAACGACCTCTGCAACATGAAGTTGAGGAACACCAGGATCTTTTCTTACGCGGACGATACCGCTGTAGTTTTTACTGGGGAGTCCTGGTCTGATGTTAGGAGTGTGGCATAGAGTGGGTTATCAGAGATCGCTAAATAGCTTTTATTAAACGAACCCATACTTATTTTGCTAATATCAATATGGCTACCTATCTTCGTTTTTATATAACTCAATAAATAAGAATTTAAAAATTTATCCATTGACTCCGCGATGTAAACAAAAATTATCAGCTTGACTAAAATCCTTAGATTATGATGAGACTGAAAACTTTTAAAAATAGTCACTCGAAACACACTCACACAAACACACTTGCTAATAGAAAATGAGAATAACTAGCGCTTAAGTACCATACTTTACAATATGTATATTATGAAAGAGCGACTTCTTCTGGCACAGGTGCAGTTTTCACGAGCTCTGAAGATAATTTTTCTTCACACGCAAACGGAATCCGTTAGAAGTATTATCAATTTTGCGGTGTCGATAAATTGAAGTCAAGCCCTTTTGACGTAAAGAACTTGTAAAAATGAGAGTCGTGATTTATTTGTACACATTTTAAATATGTGCAAATGCAGGATTTGGCTGTATATTGTGTCATTTTGGATGTGAGAATGTCGTAATTATAATTTCGTTTTTTGCAAGTGCATTTGTGTCCATATTCCTCCCCCCGCAAAAAGTGGCAGAATGATTTCAGTAGTATTATGTCACTATGGCTACGCCCCCCCTGGCTGTATTTAATACTAGTGGCCCGCCCTCGCTTTGGTTTGGTGTAGAGCTGTTTTGTATTTGTTCAAAGACTTGTATTATACACAATGACTTTCTTCATCTAATATATAAAATTCTCGTGTCACGGTGTGCGTAATTGAACTACTTCGAAACGGCTCGACCGATTTTCGTGAAATATTATATGCATATTCAGTAGGTCTGAGAATCGGACAAAACCTATTTTTCATCCCCCAAATGTTAAGGGTTAAAATTTTTTTAGACATTTTTTTTGTTTTTATTTTTTATGATACTAAAATACATACATCCCAATGTACCCCCCCAACACCAATTTTCACCCTTCTACTATCAACCCCTATTTTTTATGGCGGTACGAAGTTCGCTGGTACAGCTAGTAATAATTATAAACCTTCCATTCCTAGTAAAAAAATCGTTGCGTAGTTTAGGAACCGTTGTACCGAATGCAACATTGCTCTGCTGTTCCGATATTACCGGGCTACGACCAGTAGCAGCGGAGCATCGATGAAAAATGTTGCAAAAACGGGTAAAAAAAATCCATTTGTGAGAAGCTGTTGCGTGAGCTGTGTAAACGGTTAAAGTTACACAAACATGCGAAATAATTAAAAGTTCTGTAAAAAAGTCCACGACAGCCAATGTCCATATTTTAAGTTTGACTCACTATAAACCTTTTCCTTCAAATAAACGCCGGTGAAACCGCAGGGGACCTCTAATTGTGACATAACTGTCATAGTTAGACATATGGTATCGCTGACTTTTTTGTAGATATTGGTATCCTCTAAAAAACTTTAGTACATCACTTTGCTGTATTGTCAATGACTTCCGCAGCGTACGAGCATTTTTTGGTATTTTTTCATACGTTGGGTTACATTATCAAAGTTTTCATACTGAACCCTAGCTTTTTTGAAAATACACTATAGCCTATATTGATCAGTGATAATAATGTAGCATTGAAATGGTGAAAGAATTTTTAAAATCGGTCCAGTCCTTTTTGATCCTATTCGTTACAAACATACTTACATACAAACCTTTCCTCTTTAATATATTAGTTTAGATGAATAATAGCAGTGATTTTACTATTCTGAGAGAACAAAAAATTAATACCATTTCTAAAAAATAATTAAATAGAAATGTTTTTTTTTATTCTATGGTCATATGACCGAAAACGCTTGGGATTGGCGAAGACTAAAATGACGCTAGTAAACTTCCGGTCAAAGTGACATTACATTGTATCGTTTGACGTTTTAATGACAGTCGTGTGACGTCACATGCTAGTGGGACGCCATAATATCCTGAGAAACTATTTCGCTGCAACTTGAAAATGGAATTTTAGATTTAGGTTTTTTTTACTGAATTACGGAACAGAATGATATCCACTTTTTATAGACTCCATAAACATTAATAAATAATTTATTTATTTTTATTTATTTATTTAATCTTTTTTGAATGGCGGACTTAATGCCAATATGGCATGTCTCTATCAGTCAACCGGAAAGAACATACAGAGCTAAAAAAACGGCAGAATCAAAGAAGAGAGATTAAAATCAAACAATGAGCAAATATACTAACACTTTTTAATAAATAATGTGAGATCGTTTTCTAAAACTTGTCAAATACCCTATTATATGAACTTAGGTTGGGTACGGTTAGGAGCACAATAGCGCAAGTGGTCAGCGCGTCCAGTCTGCGATCGTGGAAGTTAAGCAACTTCTGCAACGGCGGTCATCGGCTGACCAAAAATCTATTTTCTTGAGCTGCTTCGTGCTTCGTTAATCCGTTGGTCTCGGCTGCATCTGTAGTCTTTCGTTTCAACTCAGCAAACAGCACTGGGTCCGTACGGTGAGTCTGGCCCAGTCTCCCTATTCTATTCATTCATTCATAAAGAATGCCTGTCCTAGCAGTGGGGACATTGATGATGATATTTAATTATGGTTTGATTGGCAGATGTGCGTCTCTGCCTATTGGTTCGCCTTTGGATATACAACGCGTAAGAGCGGCCGCGTGCCGTACGCTCAACGCCGTGACGTCACACAAATGCGTGCGTACAACACTCGCTGCCACCAAGGATTGTCTGCACAATTTGGTGGACACACTCACACCATTACAGGAAGGTAAGTTTATTGTGAACTCAGCTCGAAGCGTGCGTCGTCTTTGAAGGTCTTTGGACGTACAACGCTTTTTATATTTTTTTGAGTATGTACGCTGTTGGTCGCAGATGACCTTTACAGCGTCACCGGGTTTGGGGACGCCGAAATCCTAAGGGGACCTCAAGCCGAGAATTGGCGAGTGTCTCTAGAGGTATTCCAGGCGGATGGCATCTCCTCACGTGGGGGGTCTCCTCTCCGTAGGGGGTCGGGCTCAACTAGAGGGCGCGTTTGAGACTCGGACCTCGGCTCTAATTAGCCATTGTCGCCGTACGCTCGGTGCAGTGACGTCACACAAGTGCCCGCCCGCAAGGCGCACTATCACCAAGGATTGTATGCACAATCTCATGATCACACTCACACCATTACAGGGAGGTCAGTTTATAGTAATAAAAATCGTTATTTAATTATTACATTATATGTCAATCAAAAAAGACAATAACAAAATCAAAAATACCAAATGTTATTTAAACGTTTTATTAAATATAGTACATATATGCTATTTTAATCACATTTTATTTTTAATCGTTCTCTGTATCTTCATATGTCATAAATTGAACTAGAAGAAAACTTCTTGTAGGATTACTTTAGTGAATTTAGTGAACGGAACTCAAAGTATGCGTCAAGTTTGAAGGATTTTTTATATCATAGGCGCCATTAGACGCTCATGCATCATGAATGATAAAAATGTGATGGTGACTAGAAAGGCATCAATCTGCCTAATAGACGACAGGTTATTTCATCAATCATATTGACTGCCACCAAACTGACAGCTAAACCTACCGGCTAATGAACGGCCTACCATTAAACTTTTCCAAAGTTAAACACTCGTGATAAAGTTTACGTAAGAATTTGCGTTGTGGCCTATTCGGTTTCCATTTCCAGGCGGATTAAATTAGAAAACAATCTTGTTCGCATTGTCTCGAGTCCAGGTGGTTGGTTGTGTAATTGTTTGGCTATATCTTTATCTCTCATTGCCATAACTTTAGCCACTAACCTTAACTATGAGTTTAGAACAATTAGTGTGATATTATCCATCCGAGACATGGATGTGTGTGTGTGTGTGTGTGACATACTTTCTGTTATGAAACTATTTAAAGGACGGACAGTCATAATTTCAATAGGACTAGTAAAGCTAAAATATATTTGAACAGCAAAAAATATATTCGCTACTACTTTTTTTATACTGCATTTTATCTATAGATAAAATTGCTACTTTTTATTAAAAACAAAGTTTCAGTGTTTCATTTTAATCTTCTATTTAAGAGCCCTTTTACAAAATTGCGCCTCTCTTGTTTAGGTAAATACGGCCGCGAGCGTGTCCGAGTCGCACGAGCGAGACATCGACGCGGCGATGTTCAGTATAGCGCGCTTAACCAAAATTGATACTTTAATATGCAATTATTGATTATACAATGAATGCCATTATAAAATAAAGTTAATTTGAAGTGCTAAGATAGATCCCGACTGTAGCAACGAACGATTCTAGATAGGAATCCTACTTCGCGAAGTCTACTTCCAATAACAATATGAAAAACTTACAGTTTCCGTTGCAATCGAATCCATTGAACTTATGGTCGGTATAAAATAAAATAAAATTTTGTTTCCATATAAAATAAATAGAACTGTGAATTTCTATTCTAAATATATTATTATGTTGGGCCAATATGTACTTTGGCCGCCCAAGAGCTTATACTTGTTATACTTGATCGAAATGCAACATTTTACCTTACGCTAGCTTTTTTTTACAGACGTAAGGGTAGATTGTAAGAAGTTTAAGTTTAAATCGGGGAATGTAGGGTGGTCAAAACTGACCGCTTTATTGGAAAACGCGTTTATAGCTAATCTCCTAAATTATTGACTGTACGGAAAAAATGTAGTGTTTTTTGTTTAATACTAAATTTTCTAACTTCTTTCTCTCAAACTTTTTATTGTAACTCTTACCGTTTTTCAATTGTTGTTGTTTATTTGAACATGTTTGTAGTTTTTCCTTTATAAAACCTTAAAAATGTCATTAATTGATAAAAAACGTCATATACAAGTTATTCGTGATTGAATTCCCTACAAGTTTTGTATATTTTTTTTATTAAATATATACTTTTGAAGTTAATAGTCGTTAATATGCGCAAAAACGAGCATTGAAATGAAATTACAGAAGTATCCGAAAAATTCACTTACTTTCATACAAATTGAAGCTGATGATGATTTGTGTTGGATTGTTATCAATTAATTGTAAAAAAATGTAATAAAAAAAATTGGTGGAAAAAAATATAAATATTATAAATAATATTAGTGATGAGAATCAATTAATTGCACGTATACAAAACTCTGATATACTGCGTTATTGCTACGTTAACGACTCATAACTTTAAAAGTATTTATTTAGTAAAAAAAAGATTTATGCAAAAGTTGTAGGAAATTTAATGATGAATAACTTTCATAACATGTTTTTTTATCAATTAATGGCATTTTAAAGGCTTTAAAAATAAAGCGAAATGTTATAAGCATATTCACCTTGCTTCACAAGCTTTCTTTATGGCTGCATTATTCTTTCGTTTTCTTTTTTTGACACAATGGTAAGCAGGAATTTTACGCCCCATTGTAAAAGCTAATAACAAAAATATTGGTTGAAGCAACAATAGTTAATAACTAGGGAGGTACTTATAATAATAAAAATTAATACGGCTGTGGAAACTTACATACAGTCAACGATTAAAGTTTTGCGGTCGTAGTACATCCAGCCAGTTTTACGATGAATGCACTCGTAGCATCGCTCGGGACGCGTGCGGCACAAATCGACATAGGTCCGACCTCCAAAGGCGCTGGCGCCGTACTGAACGGCGCCTAGATTTGCACTAGTAAATATTGCATTTTACGGGTGATGTTCAGGGTCTTATAAAATAATAATTAATTAACTTATTATAAAAATATATACATATTTCAATAGTTCAATGATTGTAGATTAGTTTTATGAAAGTTTTTTATAGTAATTCTATTTAATTCAATATCAAAATACGAGGTAAACCTGCGTTATTTTTTGGGGAAACTCACGGAGGTTAGATGTTTTTTTAATAATTAATGAGATGGAAAATCAAGATTCTAATACATTATGTTGCAACAAAAACATATTTCTGATGTAGTAGTAATTAATTTGATCTAATTTATTGACCATTATTGTGAGATTTAGGCGTTTTAAGTTGTGAATATTATCGTCTTTTCCGTAAACTAGCTGCGGTAGAACGATCAGTACAAAAAAATGAAAATAGTATTTGCAAATATTCTACATTAATTTTCAATAGGAAGCATAAATCTACTGTTTACTTCTATTGGAAGTAGTCAAAACCTCTTCTAAGGGGGCAATCGAGGCGCTCAAAAATTGCAATTTATTGCAAAAAATGTGAAAGGGCTCTTAAATACAAAATTTCCTGTTCCAGCACTTAATTCCTTGGCTAAGTGGTATATTTATCTAGTAAATCTTAAGCATACTTGCCAATACTTAGTACTGCTGGAATACGATGTATTGAGAATTCTTGTTTAATTTAGATTAGAAATCTTGGCGAGTACTTAAGCTCTATAAGATACGATAAGATAGCTTCAATAATATAATAGTTATGTGTATTCCCTCATATAATGTAAATATATAATGACTCTCCAAGCATTACTTCAAATCAGAATCTAGTCTTGATAGCTGCTCTGACCATACACCAGTGATTAGCAAGACTCTTATAGAGTACGAAACATATCCGACACTAACAAACAAACTAAAAATATAACTACTCTAATCCAAGAAGCGTGTTGGAAGTGCACTCCCGAAATAAAACAAAGAAATAATTTGGAAATTCATCCACTAGAAATAAAACAAAAAAATCTGGAGAAAAGACGCTTGCGAAGAGTGTGGTATCAAACCAGGCATCCAATGGATAAAACCGCCTTGAACAAAGCTATTGCGGAACTTAAAGCTGCATTATCGGACTTGCAACATAACACTCTGCAATCAAAACTGGAATCTCTAACAGCTACATCTGCTTCAAATTATTCTCTTTGGAAATTTACCAAATCCCTAGATCGACCTCAAGAGGCGAAGCCCCCTATAAAAACTGCTACAAATAAATGGGCCAGAAGTAAACAGGACAAAGCAAATGTATTTGCGGAACATCTCTCAAAAGTGTTTACTCCCAATGAAATAGGGGATGTGAACTTCGATAAGAGCGTGCAGAGCTTTTTAAACCAAGACTTGCAGTTGGACTTGCCACCCAAGCCAACTTCAACTAGAGAGGTATGGGCCCTAATAAAGAGTCTCAAGGACAAAAAAGCACCAGGTTTCGATCTAATCATGAAGGAAGTGTTAAAAAACCTCCCAAAGAAAGCTGTAACCTTTTTGGCAACATTATTCAATGGCATCTTGCGAGTACAACATTTCCCGAGTATATGGAAGATATCACAAATAATAATGATTCGGAAATTGGGAAAACCAGCACATGAAATAACTTCTTATCGTCCGATAAGTCTGTTACCAGTTCTATCAAAGTTGTTCGAGAGGGTCTTAAAATCTAGACTTGTGTCAATGCTTGTACAAAATAAAACAATTCCGGACCATCAGTTTGGATTCAGGGAGCTTCATTCGACTTTCGAACAGGTTCGCAGGGTGTGCAGTGTGATACGAAACACTCTAGAAGATAAAGAATATTGCTCATCTGCGCTCCTACATATACAGCAAGCTTTCGACAGAGTCTGGCATCATGGATTGCTCTTCAAAATCAAAGCAAATATCTCACACAGCTACTACCTTCTCATGGTTTCATACCTGTCGAATCGTCTGTTTCAGGTTAAGGAGGATAATTTCACATCGTCTTTCTATGAGATAAAAGCAGGAGTGCCCCAAGGATCAATTCTTGGCCCCATTCTCTACACGATTTATACTTCGGATCTACCGGAAGTACCAGGAACTACAATGGCAAATTATGCTGACGATACCGCCATTTTGGCAAAGAATGACAGCCCAGTCTTAGCTTCAGCAATGCTTCAGAAGGGACTAGATGAAGTAAATACCTGGCTAAAGAAATGGCGGATAAAAGCTAGTGCTGAAAAATCTGTACATATTACCTTCACACTGAGACGGGATAACTGCCCACCAGTTCACCTTGGCAGTAATATACTCAAACATAATGATTCCGTAAGGTACCTTGGCATGCACTTGGACCGGAGACTTACATGGAAAACCCATATAAAAACAAAAAGAGACGAGCTCAATATCAAATATAGAAACCTGTACTGGTTGATGGGACGCAATACTAAACTGTCTATCGACAACAAATTGCAAATTTACAAAAGCATTCTAAAGCCGTGTTGGACGTATGGCATTCAGCTATGGGGAAGTGCTAGTGACTCAAATATCAACATATTGCAACGATTTCAAAACATTGTCTTAAGAACCATGTCAGATGCTCCATGGTTTGTCACTAATAACGAGCTACATGATAATCTGCAAATAAGAACCATAAGGGAAGAGATCTAACAGTATACACAGTCATACAAGAAGAGGCTTATTAATCACCCGAATGACCTAGCTTGCCAACTAATAAAAATAAAAATAAAAACAAGGTTGAAACGCCGTGTAATACTGGAAAACGACTAGACTTAGTTAATGTGGCAGGAGTAGATATCTCCAATGGGAGATACACTAAGGAAAAGACATCATATTCACACATCAAATTTGCTTATAGTCAACGACTGATTGCAGATCTAGAACAAAAAAAATATATAAATTAAATGTAATAAAAAAAAGTCACGGCAAAAATTCATGAACATAATCTGGTTTTTTTAGATAGGTCCGATAAATGACTCCACCCCACCTGATGTTAAGTGACGGTGAAGTAAAGACGCGAAGGTAGCTGGTACAGCAGTTTTACCTGCCACAGCAGCCATCCTCACCTTGCCGGCCTGCATATTGCTTCTTCACGCCTCTTTTAAAGGATCCCAGGTTGTAAGAGGGAGGGAACACGTGAGCGGGCAGAGCATTCCATTTACGAATAGTGCAACAAAGAAATGAGTCACCAAATTTCTTTGTACGTGTTGGAATTGTGGCCACAGTTAGATTAGATAAGAAGTGCAAATGATGATTTAATGTGCATTATGCAAAACCGCTCGAGGAGGTGGTCCACATACTTATAATGATTGATGCCAGTAATGTTTTAAATTCTGATCATATATGTCATAATCATATTCAAATAAGTAAAGTGCCGATATAGCTTGATATCAATTAGTGTCATTCGAATTAGGAATAATTTCGATATCCTATGAAAGTTCTGAAAACACAGTATTGTACGGCACCCCAAGCACCAACTCTGACACATCCGTATTCTTATCACCTTGTCACAGTTTTCATGGAAACTAAGCAGCGCCCCTAACGGCTGTAAAACAAACTAGCTTTTTCCATAGGAACTTTGACATGGCGCGGTACGAATACTTTTTCGCTTGTTGTTCGTGCTTGGAGTACTGATATAAGTGACGTAATAAACTTCCACATAATCGTCACACAGGGAAAGAACAGATGAGTGTCCACTCCAAACCGTTTATTTGCAATTGAAGTTATCTCATTACTGTTTTCTTTTATATTGATGGCATACACGTGTTTAAAGGAGAAAATTATTATAAGTTAATCTAAAGACATTGTAGACTGATGCTGATGATGAGTCTGTGTCCATCTGTAGTTGTAATTTAGTTATTTGAGAATACTGTCGAATAACTGGGACGCTAATATAGGTAATATATAAAATCTAAAATAATAGGGATGATGACTAACTTTTTTTTATTTATCTTCGTGTGTCAGGAAGATTATCATAAAGAATTAGACACATATTTTTTCTTTATTTACATAATCCAAACATTACAGAGATATATTGATTTGAAATGTCGCATGACGTCACGCGTGAATACAATTTCTACTTAGAAGTGACGTCACGAACCCCCACTCCCAAACTTTGACGCACTTTGTCGTTGTAATTTTATGGTTGATTGACAAAAGATAGAAAATAAACATTGTTGATGTTTCAAATATTCCTTTATTATGATTCCTTTTCCACCATAGGTTGCCTGAAAGAGATTGCTGTTTAGCAATACGGCCGCCTAAGTGTCCATTATTTTTTGATAATCTAACTGACGACGGACGAAACAGACTATTGTGTACTTTACCCCGTCATCATCACTATTTCAGAGGAAATGTATGCAGAGCACATAGAAGCGCGGGCGCAATCGTTGTTTCTACTCGCTTCATTACTCGTGGATCGATCAGCGGCGGAAAGTTTATGGACGCAACTACGAGACAACCAAATGACAGCGTTTTTCTGTTGTCTACTGCAAGGCTTGGAAGCAGACCAGACAGGTTCGCTCAGTCTAAATCTAAATATTATTTTTAAATTTTATCGCAGATGTCTTTATCTTTTTAAAAAATCTTTGTTCTGCAAGAATGAGTTGAAGTGCTTATTATAATTATATCTAAAGATTATGGTATCTTGTTAATAATAGTTATCTCATATACGTGGGAATGTGTGTTTTCACATAAGTCAATTATCTACAATGCACATCCGATGTACTAAACATAGTTTTATTATTTATATATTTTTTCAAGTGAAACTTCTTTTCGGACGGGGTGTAAATGGAAAAGTCCTATGGAAAAGATGAAACAGAAATGCTGTCACGAGCGTCACGCGACTATATATATATATTTATATGCATATATAAGCTCCATTCCCCTATGCCTTATACACTGCCTAATGTGAGGTTATTTAAGAAAAGACTTCTGATATATTGTCCAACAATTTTTTTTAAAAGTAAATAAAAGAGAAGCACAGGCATTGCTTTCTTTTCTGTAATAAAACATGTTAAAGCGGTATTTCTTCAAGCACCTTTGTTTTAGGTTTCCTTGAATTATAATATTAATGCGTTTGCAGAACTTCGAACGGCTGCATTGTACTGCTTATCGCAGCTGACACAGTCGCTTCATAAGACACATCAAGACAAGTCCACAGACAACTCCTGGCTTCCGTACTTCGATAGCGTAAAGTCGCCGTATACTTCAAGCGCTTTCACTTCAAGATCCGGCGCGGGAGACTGGAACGATCGAGATTGTCAGCCGGAGTATATGGTCGAGGAGATGTGCAAGATGTTAATGACACTTTACCGGAAAATAGATCTCGTAACCATGAACTACCAGTGCTCTCAAGGTTAGTTATCTTCGTTGTGCTTTACTTTTTCAGGTTCAAAAGTAGTCGGAAAGGCGAATATTAGTCCTTGTTGACCTAATTCGAATAATAACTGCCTTGCATGTTAACCTTGCTTTAAGACATGACAAACAAATGAACCTTGATACTAAGCCTCCGTGGTCCGTCTGTTCGTCCGCCTGTCAGCGACCTGTATCTCAGGAACAGCTATATTTGTGTATTTTTAATGCAACTATAAGAAAAAATAATAACAAAATTTAAAGATGAAAAATTGTGCAATCCAGCCTCACACATTAAACGTTCCATATCAGGCTTTTGAAATATAAATATTATATGATCTCTTAAAACACACAGCATTAAGTGAACAATCACATTTATAACTAGGCGTCTTCTTCTTCTTCCAGTGCCTCTTCAATGCTGAAGGTTGGCCGTTAGCTTCCTGTATGTAGTTCTGTCAGCAGCCAGCCGGAACAGCTGTCCGACGGAGGCAATACCGGTCCACTCCCGGATATTCCGGAGCCATGACTTTTTTCTTCGCCCAGCACGTCTCTTTCCGTCCACTTTGCCCATCATTATCAACTGCAGCAGCATGTATCTATTGTTCCTGAGCACGTGGCCAAGATATTCTATCTTGCGCTTTTTGATAGAAGGCAATATTTTCCGGGATATATGAACGCGCTGAAGCACGGTTTCGTTCCTGACCCTCTGCGTCCAATTAATGCGTAACATGCGACGGTAACACCACATCTCGAATGCCTGTAGGCGTCTTGTAGTGTCTTCTTAATATTATAACTAGGCGTAATCAATGGTAACTTTTACAATGAATATAGAGTTTTACTTACAGTTTGCTCTTCTAACTTACCAGCGGTGCCACCATCCTGGGTTGTTAGCGTTGATAGCTTTTCAAATTCATAGCGTTTTATAATTTGGCACGGTAACGTGCAGTGAATGAAAAAAATAGATAAAAAGTGAATTAGTAACATATTTGCTTAGTGTTTCGATTGGAAAAACATAAGAATTAAAAAATAAAAGTGACCGTTTGATGTTTCGTATAATAAAGTGAATGCAATGTGTGTTAGTTGGTGCAAAATATGAACATCAAACGTGATACACGTCTTTCTAGGTATAATGTTAATTCTTTCTAAATAATTCACGTAGCGTTTTATATTAATTAACAATTACTTCTCACCAGCATATAACAAACAGGTCTGCACTTAACGCTTTGTTTTTAAGAGATCCTATATTAGAACTGTTTTGTATTACAAAAAACAGATATTATATGTTGAATAAAACACAGCGTTTCAGCAAGAGTTTTGCTGGTGAGTGAAGTCGCCTATGAATTTGAAAAGCTGTCAACGCCAACAACCAAAGATGGTGGCGCCGCTGGTGAGTTAGAAGAGCACACTGTTAGTAAAACACTTATTCACTGTAAAAGTTACCATAGATTACGCCAAGTTATAAGACTGCTTCTTCACTTAACGCTGTGTGTTTTATTCAACTAATAATATCTGTTGTTTTGTCATGCAAAACAGTTCTTTTATTGAGTCATCGAGAAAGAAATGCCGAAAAAGCTTGTTTCTTTAAGTAACAGAATTCCATAGTCCTTTGGATACATAATCCGAAAATTAATAGAATTATAAAATTTATATTAACTATTTCGCAGACGAGTTTTGGCCGCGTGTGTGTTCGTGCCTGTCCTCTGTATTAACCGTGAGTCCTCGCGGCCGGGCGTATACGATCCACAGGGAATTTCCCAAAATATTATTGGGATCTCTTCAAGGAGTACGAGATCACCTCTCCGTTCTGGGGAAACCTCTCGACGTCATACGAAATGCTAACCATGTACGTACCCTTCGGTGATTAATGTTTATTTTAGTTATATAATTAATTTCTAAGCTTACTGATAAAAATATCGTAGTTTTTATTAAATGTACAACAATTAAACATATTTGTTGATGATTACTCAAAAAATAAACTTGCTTACTTACTAACCATCTTCCGGCCTCTTTTCTTCTTAGGGTACTTTTCCAAGTAGTGAAGGGTAGCAGTCAGCTTTACCTATTTCTCCCGGTCTTTGGCGAGGTTGAAAAGCTCCGCGGCACTCGTGATTCCGGGCCATTTTCGGATATTACGCAGCCACGACATCTTCTTCCGCCCAACAGCTCTTTTTCCGGCCACCTTGCCCTTCATTATCAACTGAAGAAGCTCGTATCTGGTAGTGTGTCGTGGCCTAAGTACGTGAAATAGATAGGGAACCTTTCTTCGTTTGATGGTCTGCATTAGTTTTTCGCGTTTTCGCTTATGGCAACATGTCAAATACTTCTACACGTTTTTGGAGTTGCTCTTTTAGGGTCCAGGCCTCACATCCGTATATAAGTATGGGTCAAAACAGTGGTGGTCATATAATTAGGAATGCTTAATAATACTATGTTTTGATCATATTTTAAGTGCATGGTTTCTTTTTATTTTATTTATTAACATGTTCGAATAGCATTAAACAATGGCATGCGATAACATTTTAAACCACTAAGGTTTATACAGCGCTATCGGAGTTTACATATTTATAACCTTATTTAAAACATAGTATTTATCTATTAGACAAGTCCGTCCGTCCGTCCGTCCGTGGTGCTGTTTCAGCGGCCAAACCGTAAGAGATAGATAAAGAGAATGTTTAAGTTATAAGTTAAGAATAGTCTGATAAGACTACAAACCGGATTTGAGTAACGTAGCACTTCCGGTTTTCGAGAAATAACGTGATTTCTATTTCAAACGAAACCACACAAAATCTCCGAAGTTCTCAATTAATTAAATACATATTTTTTTTTTGGTGAACATTTGGTTCACTGGTTTGCTAGTTATGTATAATGCTCTTATACAACCGAGTTACAGCAAATTAAGAAAGTAATCTTTCAACTTATAATTTACATTCATATGTGTGATGCTGTCTCGTAATTCTGGCGGCAATTTATTAATATGTAAGTCGGGGCAAAAGGTGGGTAGTTGTCCGCTCACCGTATGCATTGTTTCCGCGCGGCTCGCAAAGCCGATTCTTATCTGTGGCCCGAGTGTATACAGAAAGTTCAATTGGTATTTTTAAAGAATTGTTAAAAAACTGCTGTTTGAGTTAAGCATATTGAACTTGCATATGTATTGGTAAGGTTTTACAGTGGTTGAAAATGCCATTTATACTACCCCGGTTATTATTTTTAATATTTTTAGAAACTATAGTTTTAAGTATTTTTATTTAAGATTATTGATTTGTTTTGTATAGGTAGGATTTGTATGTTCGACCGTAACTACTAAGTCCATATAAAGTTAAGCATACTCGTTAGTGTTGTAGAATATTCTTATGATAGATCTGCATTATTCATGTAAAAGTTTCGTCGAAATAATGTACCTTCTTATTTGTCTACTTATAAAATCATAGGAACTCATAAAGTTGCCGGAACACTGGCTGGACACATAATTAAGAACGAAAATATTTAGATTTTTTTTTTTTCATATTCTTCAAAATGGAATGCGGTGTTTGTTTGTTTCATTACTCTTTTTATAGAATTTTCGCGCTATTAATGTTAGCATATCCGTTTTCTGCATTTTTTTTATTTAAATGGGAAAAAATCAATCTTGTGACTCTACTGCTAGAGAAATAATAATAAACCTGCATGCTTGTAATTGGTCGAATAAAAAAATTGCTCATCACTTGCATTGCTCAAAAACGATGGTGTACCGAGCTGTGAAACATTTTATTACACATTAGAAAACCTCGAATGTTCCCCGCAAACCCAAAGCAAGAAAAACGTCTCCACCAGAGGATTTAAGAATAGTTCGCCTCGCTAAGCAGGCCGTTTAAAGGCTCAAACGAAATTAAAAATGAAGTTTTTGGTGAGAATAATCCTAGCGTAATCTCTGCGCGAAACGTCCCCCCCCCCCCCTCACCCCGAACAGCCGCCGAGCCAGCCTGGCTGGGCGGGTGGGCGGGATTTGGGGGGAGGAGGAGTCCCACATAACCCCGCCACATACCGGCGGGGTATGCATAACGCATTTTCCCAACATAAAAAAAAAAAGGTTTATACAAGTTAACACTTACCAGTCTCAATACAAAGAGATACTCGAAGAATGTATGTTGCCATATGTAGATGACAATCTCCCTTGGAGATTCCAGCACGCTGATAACCCGAAGCATACTGCACTCTCTGTAAAAAGATACCACGACAGTCAACTGGTAACTGTATTATAGTGGCTACCGAATAGCCCAGATTTATAGCCCGTCAAACATATTTGGTACCAGGTGAAAAAGAAACTATCAAACAGACGGTATGGTAACATTAATGAGTAGTGCGACTCGTTTTTGGAAGAGTGGAATTCTATTTCAGTTAAAGGTGAAACCGCACTATAGTGACATTGTAACGGAGAGGCGCGTAGCGGCATCGGAGCGGGGCGCGTCAAGAAAAATATTTTTTCTACTGTTTCTTATGAAATAAAACGCATTATAGCGGTACTGCAGTGAAGCGGCGCGGCGCATCGGGACACAGTTGACTCCCGGAGAATATTTTGCCGCTCCGCTCACGCCGCGACGCGCCGGTCCGCTGCCTCTAGTGCGACATAGCTCGCGGCGGATCAAGACGAACCACGTATCCAACCGCCTGTATTACCGCTCGCCCACTCCGACAAATATATGGAACAAAATAAGTACATTAATAGGTGTAACTAAGTAAATTCATACTTTTTATGTTAATAATTATGTTTATTTAATAAAGTTTAACAAATATCCCTTAAGCATGTTTTATTGTAATAATGTAATAGGAGATGGAATAGGAATGTAATTATTCCGTCCATCTTGTTCGTTGGGTAACCACGAATGAAATAAAACAAAATGCCGCTCACTGTAGCTCCGCTGCAGTACAGTGCGGCTTGGTAATGCCGCGCCGCTCCGATGCCGCGACGCACCTCTCCGCTAGTGTCACTCTAGCGCGGTTTCACCTTAAAACCTGCCAAAAGTTGATAGCGTCGAACCGCGCCGCTGTCATGCAGTTATCCACAGCCAAGGTCATGCCACCAAATATTAAATTATATAATTTATTTTCAAAAAAGAATTGTTCTAATTTATTACAATACAGCATTATATTATTTATAGTCGAATCATTAAATTATTGGTAATATTACATAGGTACTAAGTTTTTCTCTCGTTATTAATTATTTGTCCACCTTCTCACCTGTTGCTATGAAAACAATATTTAAATGACAGTAAATTAAACAGTAGTAATACAATATATTTCCGCATTTATTTTTCGATTATATTAGTCTTCTTAAGGTATTAGGTTACAGTATATCAAGAAGTAATACTTTTTTTTTATGCACATTGCAATTTTAAAATGTTGACTTTGCTAGAAGCCTTCTTAATTATATGACCACCACTATATAGCATTGGAGTAGACGAGTGCGCGAGATGTTTTGAGGCTGCAAAGTATCTTTTAAAGTGAAACTTTTTCGGACGGGGTATAAATGGAAAAATACCATGGATATATGTCATCGGATAAATTCTGTAAGTTGATCAATTTCCTAGTAAATTGATCAACTTTCGTAAGAATGTAAACGAGAGATTAAATGTATTATCTTACGGGAACATTTTCGTAAATTGATCAATTTACCGAGCTTAGCCGTAAAATAATACGTTAGTTGATGAACAAAAATTTTACATAGAGCTATAAAAGTTTTTTAGTGGACATGACCAAACCAGTGAAAAGTCGGAATAGACCGAACAAAAAGTAAAAAATATGACGAAGGTATTATAGGGTATAACTGTACTTCCAGGGCCCAAGAGGTGATACTAACTAGGCAAGCACCGAAGTCGCTAATAGCGACCAATCAGAAAGCTGTGTATTATTTTACTTAAATTTAAATGACGTGAAATTATACTCTGTTCTGGGATTGGTCACAGTACTTAGAACTTTACGTTGAAAGGTCTTGAAATTTTATCTTAGTTTATCTATTTACAGCGAGACGTTGTAAATTGATCAATTTACCAAAATGTTCCTGTAAGGTAATACATTTTATTTCTCGTTTACTATTTTACACAAGTTGATCAATTTACTAGGAAATTGATAAACTTAAGGAACGGATTATATTCCGGCATATATATTATGCAGTTTTTCCCGACGAGCATGAAATTTGGAGAGTAACTCCGCGAAGGCTGAAATGCTACGAGCGTCACGAGCGTCACACGTGACAATATACATATACATAGGGTTATTTAAGGAAAGATGTGTGGTCCGTCCACATAATCTGTTTAATATTAATGGCACTACAGTTGATTTCAATGCGGTATTTTAATACAGAGTCACTGTCCCAGTTTTCATCCACCCTCTTCCGGCTGCAGGCAGTTAATGAGTGGAGTCCAAATTTAATACATGAGCTAATAAAGGAACCAATCTCTTTTTTTATTAAGGACTAGCTGTGCCCCGCGGTGTTACCAGCGGTTTATTAGGGATATTTTCCCGCAGTAAAACGTAGCCTATGAGTTAATCCAGGGTGTCAGCTAACTCCATACCAAATTTTTTTTCAAATCGCTCCAGCCGTTTAGACGTGAAGAAGTAACAAACATACACACTCACAAACTTTCGCCTTTATAATATTAATGTGATTAATGTGATTATTTCCCGCCTGCTGGACTAACTTATTCTCTATTATATAACTTTTTTATTGTGTTTTATAACTTACTTGTGCTTACTTTTCATATTAATTATGTTTTTTATATTTACCTTTATTTTTACAAGGCACTAACTAGCCCCTGTTATTTTACTTCTTTGGTATAGTTATGATTTTTTTTAAGCATTTAACTGCTAAATGTTTAAATCTAAAGAAAAGTTTATACTAGAAAAAAAATCCACGCGGACCAGGCAGCGAACGGGACTCGAACCCGCATCCTTCGCTATCCGGGCGAATGCACTGACCATTATGCTACCACGGCCCTATTAGCCGCGTCGAAATTTTCCTAGCCTTAAGCTGCAAGGCAGCGCCATCTCTTCGCATTGTAGGTAACCCACAATGTCAAATCCTTAAAAAATAAATAAAATCATAACTATAATTGCTATTTCTTCTCTCAAATGTTTAATACTTGAAAAAGTATTCATTTGACATTGTGGGTTACCTACAATGCGAAGAGATGGCGGCTAAAATTTCGACGCGGCTAATAGGGCCGTGGTAGCATAATGGTCAGTGCATTCGCCCGGATAGCGAAGGATGCGGGTTCGAGTCCCGTCCGCTGCCTGGTCCGCGTGGATTTTTTTCTAGTAAAAACTTTTCTTTGGTATAGTTTCATTTAGCCCAAGGTTGCTGACTCAGCAATTTGGTCGCCTTTTGTTTTTGCAATCCTGTGTTTGTGTGTTTTTGTAATTTTTTTAAGACTGCAACGAAGAATATTCGTACATTAAAATCTAAAATGACGATGCTCGGAATTCTATCCTTCTCGCACCTTATTCCTTAAACGAAGTGCGAGAGGAATAGAATGTGTTGCATGGTCATTTTGTTTTCGTTTCATTATTGGTGCTAGTTATATATGTAAAGACGAGAAGATATTATCTGCACCCCTTTTAAAACCAGTCTTCTTGTTATTACAGAACCCAACAATGCGTGTACTCTACTGGTTGTTAACAGTTGTAAACTGTTGCATGGTGGATTGTACGCCCGCCAAGGAATGCTTCGCGGACGGCGGCATAGCCACCTCCCTCAATAGACTGTGGCCATGGTGTATGACCACGGAACAATTAAGGAATACTACGCTAACATTGTTGTTCAATTTCACCAATGAATGCGAAAAAGGTATAATTTTATGAATCTATACTAATTTTATAAAGAGTATTATTGTGTTTTATTTTAAATATTTTTTTGTGTTTTTATAGCTAAATAAAACTAGTTTTTACGGGTTAATGCACGAAACTTTATTTATTTATTGACGTTTCGCAGCCTTTTCAGGTCTGCATCGTCAGAATAATGATTTTATTTAAAATTGTCGAGCTACCTTCGAAAGAATTATATTGTGCGTTCGGTTATTTCATTGGAAGATTTTTAAAATTTTATTGTCTATGTATGAATTTATTATTTAATTTACTTAATAAAGTATTTTATTTAAAATTCTTGTTTGTAATTTTGAGTTTATTTATTTGACCCTAACTACCGTAAACTACCACCGGTTCCAAAATTGGGAGACCTTCCTGAGAAGAACCGGCGAAACAAACTCAAGAGAGGCTTTCTATCTCCTTCTTATGTTAAATTATGCAAACAAAAAGAACTAATAGTATCTGATGGTCTTGCAGTGTGTGCTCGGGGTTGGGATTTTTAATGCATGTGCATTAGGGGGACCAAACCACTACATTAGATTTGATAGACCACAGATCCTTGCAGCTGAGCGGCGGTTCGTTCCTCGAATGATGCGCGAGGCTATTGAGATTAAAAAATATCCAAATTTCAATAGGGAAGATGGTTGGTATATACCACCAGCTTGGGAACCTATTATACAGGAGATAAAATCCCAACCCCGAGCACACACTGCAAGACCATCAGATACTATTAGTTCTTTTTGTTTGCATAATTTAACATAAGAAGGAGATAGAAAGCCTCTCTTGAGTTTGTTTCGCCGGTTCTTCTCAGGAAGGTCTCCCAATTTTGGAACCGGTGGTAGTTTACGGTAGTTAGGGTCAAATAAATAAACTCAAAATTACAAACAAGAATTTTAAATAAAATACTTTATTAAGTAAATTAAATAATAAATTCATACATAGACAATAAAATTTTAAAAATCTTCCAATGAAATAACCGAACGCACAATATAATTCTTTCGAAGGTAGCTCGACAATTTTAAATAAAATCATTATTCTGACGATGCAGACCTGAAAAGGCTGCGAAACGTCAATAAATAAATAAAGTTTCGTGCATTAACCGGTAAAAACTAGTTTTATTTAATGAGTGATGTGCATGAAAACCTAAGAAACAAATATGTTTTTATAGCTGTTGGTTTTCCTACAATAAATAAATAATAAGGATTGAGCTGAAAATTTAAGAACATTTAAAAACTCTACTCGGCAGACGGCGGTACAATAGGGTTTTTTGTTTTTTTTTTCTCTTCTGACTGTCCAGTTCCGACAGCTATTTCTGAAAATGGGTTAAAAAATGTAAAATTTTGTATCATGTCAATAAAGTTACGTGGTAGTCTCTTTAGTAGCCTATTGTATGCGCAATCAATCGTGATTTGGGCAGATGTTTATGTGATAAATACTAGCATTTGTACTCCTGCCATGGATGTTTAATATGCATTTCTTTTCAAATATACTTATATATGTATCAGTATATGTATTCTATCCGTTACCCTAGTATCCCATGGTTACATTGCTTACTTTGAGGCTTGACTGTTTGGTGTGAGTGTTAGAAATGTTTATTTATTTGCACTTTATGTGGCATTCGATCATCTTTGTTATGTTAATATCTGTAAAGGAACAACTAGGCTGATATTTAATTTGTCTTTTTATATAAGTTCTCCTATATTGTAGAATTGTTTTGGTTCAGTTGAATTGTTATTATCTCATTCTGGTGGGCCGAGGGCCTGGTGATCTGTAATACAGGTATTTCTATACCCATGTCTGATACCAGTTTCTCATAGCCTACAGATTTATCATTTCTGTATTAACCTATTACAATATAATCATATTGTGAGGAGAAATAAATAAATATATTATTATTATATAATATACTAGCTGACCTAGTGAACTTCGTATCGCCATAAAAATATGGGTGGTAGAAGGGTGAAAATTTAGAGCTGTATGTATTTTTCATGCCACATTATAAAAAAATAAAGAATAAATTAACAAAAATCTAAAAAAGTATTAGGGGTGGATGGCCTTATCACTTAGGGGTATGAAAAATAGAGAGTAGCCGATTCTCAGACCTAGTGAATATGCATATAAAGTTTCATAAAAATCGGTCAAGCCATTTCGGAGGAGTATGGAAACTAACATTGTGACACGAGAATTTTATATATAACATTATTTATGTCGCAGCGTGGTCGTGTATGTGCATCTGCGTTGGCGGACGCAACCTAGTGGGCGAAGTTTGCGCACTAGCGGCGCGCGAGGGTGGGCTGCAGTCCCGCACGCGTGCGCCCAGCCTGCTGTTGCTGTGCGCGCACACGCTGCGACACTGCGCCGCGCACGCGCACTGCCGCACCCACACGCTCAAGGTAGATAACTACACTAGCGGCCGCTCGCGTCTTCGTCCGCGTTCTGGCCGATTTACACTACCCAATTTTTAGGGACCCTTACCCTGACTAAATTGAGTTAAGGAGTAAAGGACCCGATCTAGGACGATCGGCGCGATGTCAAATTGCTACCACCCCAGATCCCCTATCTGGGCACTAACACGCCCAACCTTTCGATCGGGCCCTTAAAATTGAGAAGTGTGAAGCCCGTTTTTACTTTAGATTTTTTAAGAAACTCGCAGGAACCTGTCGTAAACTTAATGCATATCAAATTTTATCCAAATCCGTTCAGTAGTATTTGCGCGATTGAGTAACAAACATACAAATTTTCACTTTTATAATGTTAGTAGGATAAGTAGGATTCTAGATGGGCCGACGAAAAAAGCCGATTGATGAGCATTGCTTGTGTGTTTTTGAAAAATAAAATTGCATTCCGTTAATTTTGCAGTTGATTACAACATTACTGTTTTTCTTGTAATACATTTTGTATATTCACAAAAACTGTTCTCTGTTCTGTACTGTTCACACTAAATGATGTTGAATGTGTGGTTCTTCATTATAATGCATTCTTTATCTTTTGCAGAGTGATATCTTGTTGACGTTGTGCAAAACGATAATCCGCGAGCGCGGACGCAGCGTGGGCACAGGCGACGCCTGGACGAAGCTGGTGTGCGTGCTGGCTCGACACGTGGACGGTAGCGCAGCGCTGCTGGCGATGCGGCCTCATCTACCCGCGCTACCGGCGCCGCTGCTAGCGCGCGTGCTTCCAGCGCTGGCGCACGCCGCACACCACCACCGCCAGCCCGTACTGCGAGCGGGTGAGTACATCGCCCACAGCCAGCCAGCGCCCGTTTGCAGGCGCGCACCACCGCCGCCAGCCCATGCTGCGAGCGGATCAGTATCTCGCCCACTGCCAGCCAGCGCGCGTTTGTTGGCGCGCACCACCACCGTCAGCCCGTGCTGCGAGCGGGTGAATGTCGCCCCGCAGTCAGCCAGCCCGCGTTTGTTGGCGCGCACCACCACCGTCAGCCCGTGCTGCGAGCGGGTGAGTGTCGCCCCACAGCCAGCCAGCCCGCGTTTGTTGGCGCGCACCACCACCGTCAGCCCGTGCTGCGAGCGGGTGAATGTCGCCCCACAGCCAGCCAGCCCGCGTTTGTTGGCGCGCACCATCACCGTCAGCCCGTGCTGCGAGCGGGTGAGTGTCGCCCCACAGCCAGCCAGCCCGCGTTTGTTGGCGCGCACCACCACCGTCGGCCCGTGCTGCGAGCGGGTGAGTGCCGCGCCCACAGCCAGCCAGCCCGCGTCTGCTGGCGCAACATTTTTATTATTTGATTTCTGTTCTAATTTTGCGTGTAATTTATAATATCATTGTTGATTTTTTCTATTGGGACTGGGACTGAAATCCAAATGTGTTTTCTTTTAATAGGTAATATACACGAAATCAGAGAAGCCTCCACTTATGGACAAATCAAATGGCCACCATACCGCAAGATCTAACCGATATAGATTTATATTTTATTAGTTTTTAAGAGTGTTACTGCTCGATGTTTAAATCTAAAGAAAATATTGGGGCGAATGCACTGACGTGCACTGACGACTGATCCGTATGACCAGTATGAGCGCAAGAGTTTTAAATTTTACAAAATTATTTTGCGAGTGATAGTGATTGTGTGTCTTCTATTGAAACTGGCAGTTGTTAATGAATTTGTATAATGCCCTTAAACTTATTATCTTAATTTTTTTTGTAAATAAGTGTAAATTTTCTAAATACATGACGCATCGCGTCGTTCGACTCTGCGCCAGTGTGAGTTGAGCCTAAAGACTGGAAATACATTCAAGCATCTTTGGCTTAGAGCCTTCTAAATATTTGGTGAGTTGGAGAAAAAAAGGCTTTTTTATCTCAAGAAATGCCTGAAAAAAACTATTTAACATCGGTTGAGTCGCGACCTTTTGCTTTCAAAGATTGTTGACCTGTTCAATGAGATGTATGCCAGCACCCATATCACGGGTTGTAAAGACGTCACCAAGCTATAATTGAATTAGTACACGATTTTAATCTATTCTGATCTTAAGAAGATCCTTTTAGGCATTTTTATTTGCATATTTTCGACAACAAAGGTGTGTTTATTAACGATGTTTGTTGAAAAACTTTAATTCACAGCGTTAACACGTTCAACTGACGTGAACTAGTAACGTATCGTTTGCTGAGGTGCTAAATGAAATCTCCATGCAAGTTTCTCTCTTGTAATTGTATGTCCAATGTCAAAAGATAGTTTAAAATTTTAATTTAATAATTTTGTTGCTGTGTTTGAACCTACAAACATTGCACCTGTGATGTAGGTTGCAATTTAGGCAAGACTGCTTTGTTTTTTTTGAAACAGGTTAGCTAGGTAGGATATTCACTGTGTGTACTTTTATCAGTTCAAAATGAAAACTCTGTTTTTTTTTGCAGCTGATTTGTTGGAGTTATTGTCGGGCACGCTTCTGACTTCGGGGGATACATCGGAAATTGTATCTGCCGCACGAGCCGTTTGGGCACTGGCTGCTAACAACCATAAGGTATTTTATTATGATTTATAAGGTATTTTAGGTACATACAACAAGTATAATTGACGGTCAGAAAATAAAGTTAATATATTTGTTTCTTAAGTTTTTTTTAAACTTTATTGACTAAAATAAATTACAATTCTGCAAAAGGCGGACTTAATGATAAAAGCATTCTCTCCCAGTCAACCTTTGGGAAAAATGAAAAACACGAACGTTTTCGTTTTCGAACGAAAGTTTTCACGCACACCACGCATAAAAAGAAACACGCTTAAACGGGTTCAATTAAAAAAGTAATAAATAGGCGCATTTTGAACCCGTTTAAGCGTGTTTCATTTAACAGGAGTAAAGTTTTAAGTGTGACTAAAATTTGTGCTGTATCTTTCTTTCTGATGAAATTAGAATAAGATAGTATGTGATTTACATATATGATTACGATTAGTAATAACGGTTCTAAAGATGTCGGGATCAAATTAGTTGACTCTACGAGCACACATCCCATTTCAAACTGGAATTTTACCTAGTTGGTGCGGTATACAGATAAAAACATAGTAATAAACGCAGTCAATATTTGAAATCATATAAACTTAAGTAAGTAATCTACTATTGCAAATTTCGCCAAAATAACGATGATTTTTCAAAAGGGAATAAGTGACGAGAGCAACATTTCCGTAGCTACAGCTTATCAAAAATTATCATTTTGGGACATGGTGTATTTAAAAAAATAACGTCGTCGCAGTAATGATGTCCATGAAACTGTATAATTAAATATTTGTATGAAAAAAACCCAGAATAACTCTCATTGTCTTCTTGACAAGTGAATTGCTATTCTTTACGTCATATGTCTTGTTAGTATTAAAATATTACAAATGGAATTCTTGGAAAATACGACGGAAATTATTTCATCTGCTATTTGTAAAAAAAATCTGTGGTCTTTGATAAATAAACACCACTCTTTCAACATAAGAAAGGCACTAATACGACATATCATAAACGCTTTAAAATAAACGTGGATTGGCCATCCTGTGTCCCCAGGCAAACATAAGGGATGATTTTACATGCTGCCAACGCAACGCTTCCATACATGAATATCATATTGCCTGGGCCTGGGGACAAATAGAGTATTTGACAGTATTAAAAATAAGGTGCCAATTGTTAGCATCTGTGTTTAGAATGAATATTGGCAGGGGAATTTTACTATTCTTAAAAAAAATATTCATAATTTTACTAAAAACCCACGAAAAAGATAATAGTTTTCTTATCTATTGTCACGTGACCCAAAACGCTTGGGATTGGCGGAGCCTAAAATGACGTCATACGCAAGTAAACTTCCGGTAAAAGTGACATTACATTGTATCGTTTGACGTTTTAATAACAGTCGTGTGACGTCCAAAGACTTTATATAATACCTAGACTGTGCACGAAGAAAATCGTTAATCTAAAGTAAGATTTATATCTGTAGTAATAGGATAGTTATTATCTTGATAAGCGGTTGCTGGTAAAAGCGGTCCTGAGTGAGAAAGCACCCAACGGGAGTGTGTCCCTTTCTAACGTCTTGCCACCTCAATTTATCATTGGGTTTGGTAGAAATGATAGAAAATGTCATCCTTTTCTATTTGTGATTTACTAATTAATTACCGATACGAACGATTCGTAAACTATGAAACGTATTTAAACATTTTTTATCCCTTACAGTTCCTATAAATAATAAAATAATCATTGATATTTTTAAAATAAATCTAAATACAGAGTAAAAGTAGTATTTAAATGGTTGAGCCTGGTAATACTGAATGTAAGATGGTGATTTGTTCACTTGATCGTTAAATTGATTTACCCACTTTGATTTGAAATATTGTAAATTTGCTTACTAAATTGTATTTTTTTTAAAATGGTGAACTCGAGTTGTGTAACAGGGTGCTACAATGAATCTTATCCCGATAGCCCTTTTTCTTTTCACGGGTAAATAAAACTTACAATCATATTCACTAGGTGAATCATGAATTTTGGAGGTAGATGAGTTTTTTTTTTCTTAACATGAGTTGTGTGAATTTAATGAATCAATTATTAAATAACGCGGTCGCGGTTACTTCCTTGTTTCGTAGGTACTTTTTAGAGCGTTTTTAGATTCGTCGTCTGTCTTTTTTTTGTTTTTATTTTAACTTCTCATCACAAATTACTTACATGCTTAGACAATATCAGATACTAAACACAATCCTCTCTACAAGCTACATTAAAGAACAAATACTAATAACAAATTTTGTCCCGCGTTATGCTTGAATATGGTCACCTCATGAGAAAGGAACACACTACCATTGGAAGCCCTCGTGCCCGGACCGTTTTTCACGCGATGGTGCACAGTCTAGGTATTATATAAAGTCTTTGGTGACGTCACACACATATTGTCCAGAGAAACGGTTTCGCAGCAACTTGAAAATGGAGTTTTTGATTTGGTTATTTTTACTGAAATACGCAACAGAATGATGAATATCCACTTTTTACGGACTCCATAAACATTAACTTGTCAACGTTTTGTGTAACGTTTTCTAAAACTTGTCAAATACCCTATTGAGATTTGTGTAAATGATTCCCAAAAAATGGTTAACTATTTTCTCCCTACAGTGAGATTCAAGCCTTATGGCGGTGGTGAAGTTAGTAACGATCGGGCAGTTCATATTTCGTCTAAGTATTGGTTGTCCTTTCTCTTTTTCTAGAAAGTATCTTTCTATCCCATGCCAGTGTTGTTCGGACCATTTTCTTTCTACGAGTAAAACCCCACGCGTAGCTGCATAGCATTTACTTCGGCGCGACGCAATCATAGAGGTATAAGAATAGAGTAGGGGAGATATAATAGACTCTGCTACAAGTGGAAGTGTCCCTCTAATTGAAAGAGAAAGAAGATGAGAGACTGCTAGCTTTCTCTCTCTAATCGTGCATGCGCATTGGCAACCATAAGCATCTTATTATTTCGATGTGATGCTTGGACCAACTATTGGACAGACGGCGCATGCATCACAAGAGGGAGAGATAGCTAGCGGTCTCTCATCTTCTTTCTCTTTCTACTACACGGACACTTTTAGAGCCGCCTTCCCTACTCTATTTTATACCTCTATGGACGCAACGCGGTTTGTGTTAACTTCACAGCTCTATTAAGTATCAATCACACTGTATTATTGTTTGAATTGTTGCAGGCGAAGCTTCTCCTTCGTAGCGCTGGCGTGGCTGCAGCCGTGCAATCAGCGCTGCAGCGTTTGCAGCGCTGCAACAAAGATAGTGATTTGAAGCGAGCCTTAGAACTCCTTACGTACACTAACACGGTACTACAGACCACGTGACCACAATCATTATACTGTCCCTATTGGAATATGACACAAATGTACCTTATTGCAAATTTTCTTTGATAAAGTAATTGAATGAAAAAAATATGTATTTATTTTTGAGTGTATTTGTATTATCAACTAGTTCTCATTTTTTTGTTATTTTTGTTTTCTGTAATGTAATTTATATCATTTGATCTCTTAATAAATAGAATGATCAAAATCATGCATTTATAAAATTTAAACAAAAGACTGATTGCATTAAATTTGTGGGTTTATGGGCCTTGCACAAAAAAATTGCTTCTCGTATTGTATAGGTACGACCAGACGCGAAAAGAGGGGTGTTACAAGTTAAAAATTAGCTTTCAAACGAAAGGACCAATTTTGATGTTTATTTTGTTTTAGAGCTGATGTGATTGCTGGTGGTTCTACGCTGTATTCATGAAGATCTGTATTCTGATAAGAGGTTTTCTATTTCAGAAAAGGGATTTACCAACTTATTCCGTTGATTTAAATATTACAATTACGAAGATGTCGTTCCATTGACCTGATATTAAAGCAGCTGATTTTAAACCGCCTAAATTATTATTAGTGTACGATATGATGTGGTTTGATTAAATGAATGAAAAAAATGTCGAGACCGGGAAATTTATTTAATTATGTATCAATAACTCGAAAAATACGAGCTTTAATTGTTCCTTAAATTACAATGTACTTAAAGTAAGGGGCTAACAACACATAATTATTTTGTTACTTAGGAATACGTTTTTTTGTGTATGAGGTGAACTTCACTGGTAATAACATAATTTACATATGAAATTTACAATGATACTGGATAGCCTGATGCATTACAGAATCCAAAGAACTAAAGCTACATTGTGATCATTATTATACACACAGTTTCATTTGTTTTAATGAGGAATATGAAATAGTAGGTGTGTGTGTATTTAATAAATTATTGCTTTGTATTTTGCGTGTCATGTGATAATAAACAGCTCTTGGAAAAAGAAATACAGCAACTACTTAAAATTTTCAAAATATTGTTTTATTTCATAACAAGTAAAAATGATATTACCTTATCTTAAATAAACAAAGAACTCGGTGGTTAAGTTCGTGATAATAATGATTCACTAAACATTTATATAATTATTATATTTCATAATTAAAATCTGTATAGCTACATAGCGATATGCTGTAATGCTTGGAAACATTACAATGAATAATGGCGTATATTGTCCTTGGAAGTTGTACGTTTATTAAAAATATGTAGGTATATAATAAATTTATCGCCGTGACAAGATGAGCGAATACCCGTAGTTCCAGTTGTTGACTGTGACGAGGACTGTATGTGCCATCCAGTCTCGCGGAGGCCGGGCTGCGATAAGGCCCGGCGTCGTCGCACAAGCATCGAGTCAGGAAGTTTGCGTTACTCATTATCGGCATATAAAGTTGCGATAATCCGCGTTCGCATGGGCGCCGGCGTCTTGTCAGTGCGCCAGCGGCCCAGCCAGACGCACCTACGCATGTGTTAAGTGTTCATTTAATTAACAATGGATCTATCGTCTCTAGGCCGGAACTAGGCGCTTTATTTAACAAGAACATTGTCAATAAGTGTTAGTGTCGTCTGTAATGGCATCTCAGCCGTTCAACTTCCCGCCTGAGAGTTACTCGGCGGTGTATACAGATGGTGCGAGCACTACGAATGTGAGTATGGGGTACCGGCGAGTGGCGTGGCGATCGGCGACGTTATCGCGCGTGCGTACGTGTGTGTAAATAGCAAGGTCGCGCACCGCGAACCGGTGCATTCAACTCGTATGTCAATCGACTTGGTATTTTCGCGCTCTGCCGCGTTACCGGTCACTCTGCTATCCCTCTAAGACGTCACCGGTGATCGCATGGCTTGTGCGTGCCCTCCGAGAGGCCACAGTGGAAAACGTAGGTTTCGGTTACATAAAGATTTAGCAGGACCCTAAAAAATGTAGCCAAAAGGATAAATTTGTAGCTGTTGTAATTCGTACGCTATGACTCACCGAATGTGGGCTTTCAGACGAAACGCCTTAATTTTGATATTTCTTTATCTGACCAATTAAAATAATTTTGATTAATGGTAATATCTAGAAGGTAATTTTTAAGACTACGTACAAAAATTTGAGCTCTGTTGAGTGACTACAAATAAAGAAAATCCAATCAGTTGGGGGGCCCAGATATTTCTCATGGATTCGTTTTTGAGCGTTTCGACCGAGGGCCCACTTACTAGAGCCTATTATTCTGTACTGGTAGAATATATTAACCTCGTACTCGCAGGGTAGCATTTTGATTATTTCTGCTAAATTGTAAAGTTTGTCAAAGAAACTTAGCTTTCACTACAAATTTGGAGAAGTAGAGTAAATTTTTAACACGTAAGAACTGAGGGCCCACCAACTGATTGGATTTTCTTTATTTGTGGTCACTTAACAGAGCTCAAATTACTGTACGTGGTCCTACAAATTACCTTCTTAATATTAGCATTCATCAAAATTATTTAAATTGGTCAAATACAGTTGAAATTACCTATATGAAATTTGAGGCTTTTCGTATGAGAGCCCACATTCGGTGAGTCGTAGGGTTCGACTTAAAACAGCTACAAATTTATACTTCTGGCTACAATTTTTTTAAAGGACCTGCTAAAAAGATATGTATACGAAACCTACATTTTCCACTGTGGCCTCTCAGAGGGCAGGCACAGGCCGTGTATGGCTTGTTTTCATAAAGATATCCTAACTATTTATTAATAAAAACGAGTAATATTGCTTGCAGATAAGTAGTTACATAACATGAAGTTCTTTGATATTTAACGTGTTTGTCGGTCTTAATTATAGAATTATGATGGTAAAATTAATATAAAATTAACGTTTCTAGAGTATTGTGTATATTACAATGTTTACGTTGTTAATATTCATTAGCCGCGGCGTCAGTCGGTACTCGGCTACGCGTACCCTACAGGCACATCTGCTTTGTGCTTTACACTGTCAAGGTTAACACGACGTAATACCGTTAGCCAAATAAACTAACAAAGTAATCGCCTTTACTTATTTTGATTACTTAACTGCGTAAATTAACAGAAAATAATATATACCAACTACCTATTAACATAGTTACGTATTTCAGTTACAGTTTTTTTTAATAATAGTTACTTTGAGCAAAGACATTGAAACTGCTGAATAAATTAACGAAGAGTTTATGGAAAGATAAAAGACAGTTTGAATCATCTCAAAAACACAGAGCGAATTTTCATTAAAATTATTAAAATTTCGGCAATGCCTTTGATTTGTGATATAAATATAAGTAAACGTTTTTTTGGTGGATTTCCGTTCGCAAAGTATGAAAATGTTAGAATTGAAGACCCACAAGATCTCAATAGAAGGTCTGGAAATGAAATGAAACAAAATGAAATTTATTTATTCACATATAATAGAGTAGATACATTTTGGTGGAAATGTTGATTTAGATCTTCTATTTTGCCAACGACAGGGTATGTGAATGAAAACTTATTTTAATAATAATATTATAAAAATTATATGTACTTATGTCAATTTATTTATTAAATTCGATGTGAATTTTCGATTCTAAATGTTCTCTGAGTTTTACATAACATTTCGTTATTAGCTACATTCTAAGCTTTCTTTTAAATATTGATAAACTAAGCTTTATGCTACTATTATAGATTTTTATAAAAATCGGATAAGTAGCAGTTTTTGTTGTAATAATGAGTACCCATATTGGGCAACATCAATCTACTACGATGTCTCGCTTATCTGCGGGTATCTGTGTTTTTAGATTTAAAGTTATGGATGTATCATAACAATTATACAATATTCCAAAATATACATACAGGGAAGTGTAATTAATTTTAATTTGGGAAATAGCTTGCCTGCGTCACGGTAATATTATATACAGTATTCTATCTTCATACAAACGGTCGAAAAGCGAATCATACCTACGCCACTCGAGTTCGCGGGACTCTCGGTGGACACCGAGTCGCGAATGCGCCGCAGCGACGACCGAACGGTGTGAATTGTTTTTTATGCAGTTAGCCGTGCTTAAACGTGCGATTTGTATTGTAAATATTTGATGGAATTAAGTAAATACCTACATAATTTAATATGGCAAAGAACTAACGACGATATTGTGCTGTTTTTGGTTGCTTGAACTCTTCAAAAACGCACCCAGAGATATCATTTTTTAAATTACCTGAAATATTACAAAGGTAAGACTATAGAATATTTTTTTATATACCTACTAGTACGTAATTTGTTTTTAATATTTAGGTATTTCGATTTTTCCATCGGGCAAAATATCTGGAATAATATATAAATAAGTGGATAGGGTGAAAAAAGAGACAAACGACTAATCTATCTACACTCGCGTTAAAAACAAAACTACATAATAGGTAGGTAGTTTCCTAGACTAGACTAGGCTATCTACTTACTTAACTACATACATTATTGAATTAAATGAAATATCATTATGAAATAATTTATGAGAGTAATAAATGGTAGGTATTGTAGTGATCGGATATTTTTGGTGTATACTGGCAGGTTATTATGTAATTTGGAAAAGAGACGGATTGTATGGGCTTGCGGAGAATAGCTCGAAATATCAAGTGACGTCACTCTAAATCCAACATGGCGGAACACCCAAGATGGCAGACTTGTTATTTTCATTGCACTCATACAATATGGGTATCAAATGAAAGGACTAATGAAAGGAGATAACGAATGCGAGTTAAGCTCCGTTGCTCCATTAAAATTATATGAAATAAAAATAAAAATTAAATGCTCTAAGAAGAATAAAATAAACTTTTGAGTTATGCTATCAACTTATAACGTCAAAATAAAATACATATTTACAATCACAAAACTAGAAATAAAAACTCAATTATAAAGATTAAATTAAAATACTGTAGGCGGGCAGCCCTACCGCGTGGATCAGCCCTGCTCGGCCGTAGGTAGTTATTTCAAGGACAGGGCCCAGTCACGATACTGTATAGATAATATTACCACGGTAATATTATCTATACAGTATTGTGACTCCGCCCTGTCCTTGAAAATAAATGCCTACGACCGAGCGCTGCGTTGGCACGCTGTAGGGCCGCCAGCCTACAGTATTTTATGTAGTTTTGTTTTTAACGCGAGTGTAGGTAGATTACTCGTTTGTCTCTTTTTTCATCCTAACCACTTATTTATATATTATTCCAGATATTTTGCCCGATAGAAAAACCGAAATACCTAAATATTAGAAACAAATAACGTACTAGTAGATAGGTATATAAAAAATATTCTATAAAGGTAAGACACCTTTCCAATATTTCAGGTAATTTAAAAAATGATATCTCTGGGTGTGTTATTGAAGAGTTCAAGCAACCAAAAACAGCAATTGTGCTGTTGTACGATATTGATCGTCGTTTGTTCTTTTCCATACTAAATTATGTAGGTATCTACTTAATTAAATCAAATATTTACAATACAAAACGCACGTTTAAGCACGGCTAACTGCATAAAAAACAATTCAGACCGTTCGGTCGTCGTTGCGGAGCGGCGGCGCATTCGCGACTGGGTGCCCGCCGAGAGCACATCGAACTCGAGTGGCGTAGGTATGACTCGCTTTCCGACCGTTTGTATGAAGACAGAATTTGAATTACAAACTAATGTAATTTAAATTACTTCGGACTTAAGTATTTGAAATTACTGTAATTCAATTACTTAAGTCCGAAGTAATTTAAATTACATTAGTTTGTAATTCAAATTACTCAATTACTTTTTAAGGGTAACATAATAAACTACTAAAATTGAGCGGTTATTAGCTTGATGCCCGTACGCAGCACAACAAGCACAACACAAACAAAGTTTTAGTGTATAATTTGCCATGAATTTATGAGTGTGTGCCTCGTTACCAGTACTTACACAGCTACCTATCCCTTTTCTAGTCTCTCGGCGGCGCGCACCTTTATTTCGATTGATTGTTCTCATATGCTATAATGAT